CTAACTCTGCCAGTCAAAAAATAAATAAAAAATAAATTACAAAACATTAAGGAATAAAATAGAAGACAGAAACATACACAAAAATGGAAAAATCTTCCATGTTTGTGGATCAGAAGAATCAATATCATCAAAATGTCCATACTACACAAAGCAATTTATAGATTCAATGTGATCCCAATCAAAATACCAAGGGCATCATTCTCAAATGTTAAAATTCATATGGAAACACAAGAGACTATGAATAGCTAAAGCAATCTTAAACAACAAAAACAAATCCAGAGGCATCACAATACTGGATTTCAAGACATAAAACAAGGCAGTAATATTCAAAACGGCCTGATATCGGCACAACATGGGAAGCAGGATACACAGCAGACTCATAGAATGATTGATGTCCTAAACAGCACTCTGGCCTCAGAATCAGCCTGGCTTAAGAGCCCATGAGAGTATTTCAGGCATGGAAAGCCAAGACACTCTGGGGAAAAAAAAATCTAAATGAAAGATCTCTGTGAGTGAGATCCTAGTGGAAAGAAGGGCCATCAAAGAAAGAGGTACCTTTCTCCGAAGGGAGGAGAGAACTTCCACTTTGACTATGACCTTGTCTAAATAAGATCAGAGTTGGCGAACTCAAATGGCTTCCATAGCCTTGGCAGCTCATGACAAGAGCCTAGGGTGATTACTGATGCCATAAACAAGAGTGTCAATTTGTTAAGTCAACAACAGGGAGTCACTGTGCACTTACTCCCCTTTGTATGATCTCTGTCTTTAATGTGTTGTACATTGTGATATTAATGCTATAACTAGTACAGTATTTTTCACTTTGTGTTTGTATGATAAACTGATCTTCTGTATATAAAGAGAATTGAAAATGAATCTTGATGTGAATGGAAGGGGAGAGGGAGTGGGAAAGGGGAGGGTTGCGGGTGGGAGGGACGTTATGTGGGGGAAGCCATTGTAATCCATAAGCTGTACTTTGGAAATTTATATTCATTAAATAAAAGTTTAAAAAAAAAAAAAGGAAAGTCTTCCAGCCACTGGTTCACTCCCCAAATGGGTGCAATGGCCAGAGCTGGGCCGATCTGAAGCCAGGAGCCTGGAGCTCCTTCTGGGTCTCCCACATTGGTGCAGGGGCCCAAGGAGTTGGGCCATCTTCTACTGCTTTTCCAGGCCATAGCAGAGAGCTGGATCAGAAGAGGAGCTGCTGGGACTCGAACCGACACCCATATGAGATGCCAGCACTGCAGGCGGCAGCTTTACCCACTAGACAACAGATCAGCCCCTAGTCATTTCATTTCATTTCTGTAAAAAGCAGTAAGCAAAAAGAGGGCTTCAGAAAGTTCAAGAAAATGGAATTTATAGATAATGAGAATTTACCATCAACTTTCTGAAGTTTTCTTCTGTATATACAGACACAAACAGAAAAAAAAATGGTAAACTTTATGATGTTAACAGAATTCTAAACACTGGGGTTAGATATAGTAACAAAAAAAGAGAAGGTCTTCACTCATGGAGAATTCATTCTTGTGAGAGAAATGCATAACATTAAAAAAAGCTAATAAATAAATATAAAATATGTACCACATGTTGTTCTTGATGCTGTATAATTTTGTGAACAAGGTAGACAGATAAAGACTCTGCCTGACAGAGATCTCAATCCTTTTGTGGAGGCAGACAAGAGAATCAGTTAAGTCTGATACTACAATAAATACCCTTTTTTTAAAAAAAAGATTTTATTTACTTTTTTGAGAGGTAGAGTTACAGACAGTGAGAGGGAGAGACAGAGAGAAAGGTCCTCCTTCCATTGGTTCACTCCCCAAATGGCTGCAATGGCTGGAGCTGAGCCAATCCGAAGCCAGTAGTCAGGTGCTTCTTCCCGGTCTCCCATGTGGGTGCAGGGGCCCAAGGACTTGGGCCATCTTCTACTGCTTTCCCAGGCCACAGCTGAGAGCTGGATTGGAAGAGGAGCAGCCAGGACTAGGACTGGCGCCCATATGGGATGCTTGTGCCGCAGGTGGAGGATTAACCTACTTCGCCACAGTGCTGGCCCTTACAATAAATATTTTCAAAAGGGACATGAGGATGCCCTAGGAACATATGAAGGGGACCCCTGACCTGGCAAAAGGGATCAGGCAAGGTCCTCCTGAAGAAGGAAGCCCAAGCTAACAGCTAAAAGATATGTTAGGAGTTAGCTGAAATAGGAGCTTTCCAGAAAGAGATCCTAGCAGGTTTGAAGACCTTGAGGAGGGAGGGGTGGAGGAATGGAGGGAAAGCAGAGAGAATGGCAAAGCGATCCACTGAATTAGTCCAGGAATTGATCCTGGTGTCTGTGGCACTTAGAGTTTGAGCATGGATATAGCAATGGGAAGAGGAAGATCACAAATCCCTGTACAGGAGAGCTTGGGCTTGACCTTGAGTGACCTCTCAAAGATCATCGTGAGTGGTTCAAGGGTACAGTAAACAGATTTAACACCAGTGTGTACTCTTTAGGAAGAGTCATCAAGGACTTGGCTTCTCTACTCTCTTCTCTGTATCTTTGTGTTCCCACATCTCCATGAATCACGACCACATCCCAAGCAGGAAGATGGGGAAGGCAAAAACTGTGGGTTTGCTAATTATTTTTTATGAGGAATTCAACAGCTTCAGAAGCCTCAGTTGGCAGATTTTTTGCTTACCTCTCATTGGTCACTATGAAACAGGGCCATGTAGCCACAAGAGTTGAGCATATTCCATTCCAAATGAAATCAGTGTTCTGTAATAAAAAAGGAGAATGGATATCCCACAGGTAATGAGCGGCAGTTTTCTTTAGGTTGATATATTTAGAAATAATTCAGGGTTTTGCGGAAGTATATTCCATATTATAGGTAATGTTCAAATGGCAAGGTAACTACAATTTTTCACATGTTAGCTGAATTTACATCAATGTACTTTTTGTAAATCTTGCTCTGCCCACCTTCTCAAGATTGTCAGACACTTAAAAACATTTGTAATAAAATTTTAAGTTAAATGACTTGTCCAAGGACAAATGGGCTCAAATGAATTCTATCTTCATCAGGAATTTAAGATGTAAAAAGTTATTGATCATGGATCATTGATTTAGAAACAGAAAAGCCCTCAGAGATCACTGACACTATAAATGGGGAAACCAAGGCCCAAAACATATAGCTGATTTAGCCTAGGCCTAATTATCAACAGCAACAGCACTGACACTGGAACCTTTTGACCTCTGTTCTTAGTGGACTTCACATTATCCAATTCTGTCTTGTAAATGTATGTCTTAACTTTCAGCCCATTTCTTTTGCGAGGAATAAATGAGTCAGAGAGCTTTCACTTTATCCCCTCTTCATTTCAGATTCTTAGTACTAACCCACTTATTTACAGGCTCCCTCAGGACAATTCTAACAAGGCTTGTTACTTTATACATATAGACGTATACAGCATGGGATGAGTTACATTTCTTAAAAAAGAATAACTATATATATAAAAAAGAATCTGTTAGGACCCAGTTCCATTTCTTAAAAAATAACTGTGTATATATATGTGTGTGTGTGTGTGTGTGTGTGTGTGTATATATATAAAGTCTGTTAGGATCCAGTAAGTCTCTGACCCTTGAGTTTATTCCATCTGCAAAGCAATTTGCTTTAAGAGGTCTTCAGAACTTTGGTTCTCAGGCTAATCAGCCTAGGATGCCAAAGAGCCTTGCTTGATTTTGTGATGTTATTTGGGAAGGCTTCATGTACATGCCAGTCCTTCCCTCGATGTAGGAAACCCTTCTCAGCATTCCAGATTCACTGCTAGAAGGCTACCTGATTGACAAGTAGCCACTATTATTAGAACAGCTTTAAATTATCTGAACATTCTCCCTTCTCCTGAACTGAAATCCACCATTTCGTAGCCTCCATTTATTGATCTCAGTTAGGTACTCAGGAGCTTTCTGGATGGTTAACTCCACCTTCCATGGAAGAAGGATCTGGAAACAGCCATCATTTTAACCTGTTTAACATCTTCTTGGCTGCTTCTATTATTCTCCATGTGGCATCTCTGATCATCTCTAAATAAAACCCAACTTATCAAGGTTAGAACCAGATTATGTCCAGAACTAAACACATTACCACGGATAAGGTGTGAACAGCACATAATAGAGTCATTTCCTTATTTTTGGATTCCCATGAATGTGGCCTTCGATTACATCATGGTCTCATTCTCATGTTGTTCCGCATTGAGCTTGTTCCGTATTGAGACTACTCTTTTTTTTTCAGGGGCACCGCTGCTGGGCCAGATCACCTACCCTGGAAAGCCATATCTACATTTACCCCAGGAGTTCCAAGACATGTTCAAATAAGTAAACATGTCACATTATTTTATGATTGTCACAATCATCCATACTACATTCATTGTGTGTTAACTTCTTCCAGGCATTATGCTAGCAACTTTACTTCTCTCACCTCCTTCAATCTTTACAATTACCCTCTTGATACAAACATAGCCAGTTTTACAGATGAACAGGTTTATGGAGGTGAAGAGTTTGCACGTGATCACACACAAAGAAAATGCAGGAGAAGAGCGTTCAGTCAGGCCTATCAGAATTCAGTGTTTTGTTTTTAGCTAAAAAGCTATTTTGACTCTTTATCCTAAGTATACAGAAAACTAAAAACCAAAACAAACAAAAACATTGAGGATTCTTCTGCAGATTTATAATACCCCAGGAGAGCAGATAGAATAATAGGAGTGGGTTTAAAGTTTTATTTTGGTTACTGTCTAGGACTGAAACTCACATACATAAAATCTCATAACCTTTTACTCTCTAAGGGTAATAGCTGAAGTGGTCAAATAAACAGTTAAAATATCAATTTAATGAGTTTCCCTGCAGCCGGCATAGCTGTACTTGTATAAGATAATGAAAAAGGACACATAAACAGTGCCCAAATATTTCTTAAGAAATTGGGACTCACAGTGTCATGCAAACACTGGTTCCACAGATTTCCAATAAGAGCTGACTTGAGCTTTAAAGCTTAAGAAGTGACGTAAGAGGAAAAAGAACTCCATGATTCAGTTTCCAAGTATTTTTTAGATGCCCAGGTCTGCTACCAGCTGTTTTTCCCCTGCTGTCAGTTCTGTCCACCAGCTCCTCATGAGAACGGCTGCTACAGAAAACTGACAACATGAAAACAGGATCAGAATAACAGCTGACTCTGGGAAGGATCAGATCTTTCCCAAAGAGGATTAGGTCATGGTCTGGCTTTGTGTTCTGAGCTTAGGCTCTCCAATTTCTAGATAATGATCCTTTGAAACTCCGCAGTAACAGCTTTAGGAGAGGCTCCAGAAGATGGGAACTATTCAGTGGATTGCACTCGAGTTAGCAAAACCAACCAACCAAACAAAAAAAAAAAAACAACTTAACTAAAACAAAAATCTGTGTCATAAGGGGGAAGACTGGAAACATGAACTAGATGGAATAACGCACTTTGGTTTTCCTTGCCTTGAAGCTATAAGCTTGCCTCTAATCAAATCTTTTCTAATGTTGGTCAGTTCGGCCAAATGGCCAATCCAGAACCTCTGGATGTTCCCACCAGAGGAATGGTCCCACCTCACGGCCTCTGCACATGCCATTCGATCTGGAAATCTTCACTCTCATATCCATCTTACAGTCCTGGCTGGCTTCTGCTCGTCACTTATCTTTCAGTTAAAGTATCTCTCACATGCCTTTCCAGACTACTCAAAGCACTGCAAGCATGCTGGTTTGAAGTTCTCCTTGTATCCTACAGTTATATTACGGTGCTTCTTACAGGCAGGATAGAGCTCCTCCCCATTCCCGAGATGCCTATGCCCTAATCCAGACTTTAAGGGCTTGATTAAGCTAAGCACATGAGATGAGAAAATTATCTGGAATTATACAGATGGCTTAATGTAATCAGTGATGTCCCTGTCAGTGAATAAAAGGAGCAGGGACAGGGCAGGAAAATCACAGTGAAGGATCTGAAGATGCTGTGCTCTGGCTTTCAGATGGAGGAGCAAGAGCCAAGAAATGCAGGTGGCCTCTAGGAGCTGGAAGACAAGAAAATGGAATTGTCCTTACAGCTTCCAGAAGACATGCTATCCCGTTGACAGTCTGATTTCAGAGCAGTGAAACTCATTTCAGGTTTCTGTTGTTCAGAATTCTGAGACAATTTTGTGTTGCTTTAAGCCACAAAATCGTAATAATTTGTTACAAAGCAAGAGGAAACCAACACACCACTTACCCCTGTATCTGTTGTTCTCTTTCTTCCTGTTCAACTGTAAGCTCTATGAAGTGCCAGCCCTGTCCTACCTCCATATCCTGAGCACATGGTGCAGTACCTGGCACTTGTAAGCACTGGATACCTAACTACAAATTGCTTATGCCCTAATCCCGAAACCTTACTCAGGGGCTCTTCATTACGATACACAGTAACCCCAAACAAAACACGTATTTCTTCCTTCAAATATTTACTGAGTGTTTCTACTATATTCCAGGTGCAACACCAGACAACGGGATAAGACAGTGAACAAAATGGGCCTGCCTTTTCCCTTGAGGAAGAGTGTAGGTAGCACCACCAGCAATCTCGGAGCATCCTTTTCTGTCACATGGCTGTGCTCTGGTGTCCAAAACGATCAGGAGGTGGAGGTAGGGGTGATGGATATAAATCTTTGATGAAAAATCTCGTTTATATTTGTTATATCATTTGCAAAAACAAAAAGTGGATTTAAAGATGTACATAAGAAAGCTGTTTGGGCTGTGTTGTTGTGCAGCAGGTTAAGCTGCTGCTTCTGACACTGGCATCCTCTATCATACTGCCAGTTCCAGTCTTGGCTACTTCACTTCTGAACCAGCTCCCTGCTCCTGTGCCTGGCAAGGCAGAGGATGAAGTGCTTGAGACGCTGTCACCCACGTGGGAGACCCAGATGAACCTCCTGGCTGCTGGTTGTAACCATTTAGAGGATGAACCAGATGATGCAAGATCTCATTCTGTCTCTCCCTCTCTCTGCCAATCTGCCTTTCAAATAAATAAATAAGCAAACAAATAAATAAGAGAAGGTTCTAATTTCAAAAAGTTACTGGGAAGTTACCTGGATAAGCAACAGATCAAAACAATTATTTTTTACTTTTTTTATTTAATGAATGCATTTTTTCATAGATACAACTTTAGGAATATCTGTTTCTTTCCCCCATACCCCCCCCCACTCCCATCCCACCTCCCTCTCCCATCTCCTTCTTCATTATGGTGCATTTTTAGTTTGACTTTATATACAGAGGACCAATTCCATGCTAAGCATAGACTTCAACAACTTGCATCCACGCACACACACAACATATAGAGAGTACAGTTTGGAAACAAAATTTGCAGCTGATTCTCAGGACAACTCATTAGGGATGGGGAGTGAGTGCACAGTGACTTCTTTTGTTCCTTTAACAATTAACTCTCTTATTTGTGTTGTCAGTGATCACCTGAGGCTCTTGCCATGGGCTGCTGAGGCTATGGATGCCTTCTGTGACCACAGACTCCACTGGTATTTGGACATGGCCATAAGCAAAGTGGATGTTCTCTCCTCCTTTCAGAGAGAAGTACATCCTCCTAGGCACATTAGGTGGGAGCTGGATCAGAAGTGGAGCAGCTGGGACATGAACCAGCACTCACGTGGGATGCTGACATCCAGGTAGTGGCTTTACCCACTCTCTCACAATGCCAATCTCTCAAAAACACTTTTGACTATTATACATAAATTCTACTATTTTCTCAGAAAGGAAAAGAAACAGGTACAAGTTAGGGGTATCAAACTGGTAGAGACCAGATCCAGTAACAGGTTTGTTTTAAGTTCTCTCAGGTCAAAACTTTACATCATTATTTTTCCTTTTTTATTTCTGTTAAATAAAAAGAATGACTAAAAGATATATAGGCTGGAAAAGTAAGTGTAATAGTATTAAAAAGTATAAGTGTACTTTGTAAACAAAAAATAGGAGGCATACACATTTGTATACAGACATGTGGAAAAACATAGTTCTTGTAATCTTGCGGAATGTGGAGGCCTCGTTCTTAAAATAAGATAATCTAAGAAAATAAAGTGGGCTCAGGTTTTTTAAACTATATTGCCTTTTGGTGAAGACATAAAGTTGTGCCATTACAATATAAACGTCTATGATAACATTAACACATAATGTAGTATGCTATATATATTACGATGCATTAAATAGTATATAAGGGAAATTTTAAAAGGACTCCATTTGAGGAAGACTGTACGTGTAAAAGGTGCCATAAAGGGAGGCAAAACAAGCTGGTAGTGGCAGCAAGGTAGTTGGGGAGGGAATGCGGACAGTGTTTTTCTTGGCTCTGCAGTCCTCCTGTGAGGTCGCCTTCCTTTGACAGTCCGAACAGCCTAGCCTGATCCTGAAAGCTTAGTGTGTGCTCTACTGCCACCTGGCGGTCCACACACAAACTGCAAAGATTTCAGGTCTTCAAATACAGAATCGTCTTAGTGGAAAGTTACAGATTAATTCCTTCGTTTTACATAGTAAATATAGCATGAAAATTTGTTTCACTTATACTTACCAACAAATAAGCTTTTTTTATTTTTTGACAGGTAGACCTATAGACAGTGAGAGAGACAGAGAGAAAGGTCTTCCTTCTGTTGGTTCACTCCCCAAATGGCTGCCAGGGCTGATGCTGCACCAATCTAAAGCCAGGAGCCAGGTGCTTCTTCCTGGTCTCCCATGCAGGTGCAGGGGCCCAAGCACTTGGGCCATCCTCCACTGCCCTCCTGGGCCACAGCAGAGAGCTGGATTGGAAGAGGAGCAACCGGGATGAGAACCCGGTGCCTACAAGTAAGTTTTTTAATGTTGGCCATTTTTTTGTTTTGCCTTCTCATGATGACAAAATCGAACGCTTTTCATACATGCTTTTTTTTTTTTTTTTTGACAGGCAGAGTGGACAGTGAGAGAGACAGAGAGAAAGGTCTTCCTTTGCCGTTGGTTCACCCTCCAATGGCCGCAGTGGCCGGCGCATCGCACTGATCCGAAGCCAGGAGCCAGGTGCTTCTCCTGGTCTCCCATGGGGTGCAGGGCCCAAGCACTTGGGCCATCCTCCACTGCACTCCCGGGCCACAGCAGAGAGCTGGCCTGGAAGAGGGGCAACCAGTACAGAATTCGGCACCCCGACCAGGACTAGAACCCGGTGTGCTGGCGCCACAAGGCGGAGGATTAGCCTATTGAGCCACGGCGCCGGCCTCATACATGCTTAATGGTCATTTGGAAACTTCTTTTGAGGGATAGCTCCTTAAGCTTTTGTTCATTTTTTCTATTGGGCGGTCTTTCTTCTCCATATTGATTTGATGAGTTCTTTGTTCTTGATAGGAATGCTTTGTCAAATATCTGTAAATGTAAAGACCACTCTACCAAACTTTTCCCTTAGGGTTCAGCTTTTTTGAGTCTTAAGAAGCCTAGCCTAAAGTCATAATATATCGCCCTATCTCAAGCTTTTTTTTTTTTTTTTATATATATTAAACAGAGTTAGCAGATAGAGAAACAGAGAGAAAGGTCTTCCTTCCATTGGTTCACCCCCAAAATGGTCGCCACGGCCGGAGCTACGCCGATTCGAAGCCAGGAACCAGGTGTTTCTTCCTGGTCTCCTATGTGGGTGCAGGGGCCCAAGCACTTGGGCCATCCTCCACTGCCTTCCCAGGCCACAGCAGAGAGCTGGACCAGAAGAGGAGCAGCCGGGACTAGAACCCCACGCTCATGTGGGATGCCGGTGCCGCAGGCGGAGGATTAAGCAAGTGAGCCATGGCACCAGCCTCTATCTTTTAGAAGTTTTATCATTTAACCTTTCACATTTAGATCCACCAACTACCCAAAATTGATTTTTGTGTGTGACACAGGGGTAATGATTCATTTTTTTCCCACTGGGATGTTCGATCAACTATTCTCAAAACACCCTTTCCTCACCACATTACACACCTCTCTGTTCCCTAGGCTCCATTCTAAGGATCACTTGTTTATCCCTGGGTAATAGCCATGTATTTCTTCAGAATAATAATTACAATAGAAGCAATAATTTAATTATATTGTTACAAAACAATTAATCCCTCTTATAAAACAGGGAAATTTAATCACAATCTTACTAAATCAACCTGCTAAGAGGTATAACCAGGCCAGTCTGGCTCAAAATTTGTGCATAACCAGTATCACTGGTATCTCTCTTATGGGTAATGCATTTATCTCCAAACCATATAATGCAGTTAGGCAACAGGGAGCAGGGTTACCATCTCCTGATACATGGACCATCAACTATTCCAGGCCAACAGGACTGTGGAAGATCTCTTGCCCTTCTGCCCATTCATCCTCTCTGGGGTACAGAAGAGCTGATTTAAAAGTAACCTGGCAAATTTGGCTAGATTAAGCTTACACATGATATAAATGTGGCTTGATATAAAAACCTTAAATGATGTGACTCCTGTTTTCCTTTCAATTCTCATCTCCCTCAACTATACTGTTGTGCATTCTTTTATGATCAGTCAGGTGCTACCACAAGGGAAGACACAGGAAAACACTTTTTTATACTCACAGGTCTGAGAAGCAAGAAGCACAGTGCACCATGTACGGCTACATTGGAAAGCACCAGTCAGGAGGAAGCCATATGGGTTAGGGGTAAGGGGAAAGATCAGGCCTTTATTGGAGTGTCTTTTTGTTTTACAAATTATCTTCTAAAATTTGTTTGAAAGGGTGGAAGAAGGAGAGAAAGACTGAGAGAGAGAAATATCTCCCATCTGCTGGTTCACTCCCCAAATGCCTTCAAGAGCCAAGGCTGGGCTAGGCCAAAACTGGGAGCTGGGAACTCAATCCAGGTCTCCCATGTAAGTGGTTGGGATCCAGCCACCTAAGCCATCAGTTACTTCCCGCAATGTGCATTAGCAGGAAGCTGGAATCTGGAGTGGACCTGGGACTCAAACTCAGGCACTTTGATATGGGATGTGGGTGTCCCAAGCAACATCTTAACCACTACGCCAAATGTCCACCCCCTATTATTGGAGTTTCTCAGGAAAAGGCAAGGCAGGGTGAAGTGAACAGTTAAGGACTGCCTGAAATGATAACTGAGTTCTGACCTATGTGGTTGGCCCCTAGTTGCTGAGTACCTGGCCCTGGGACGATTAAAGCAGAGCAATATTGCTTTGTAGGGTGTGCATGACAGATAGGGGAGGGATGAACAAGGGTTGATTAATTTATACATCAAAGGCATGCTCCCACCTGACCCTTTTGCCATTTCCAAGAACTGGCTAACCTCAGGAGGGGCATTCTCACTTCAATCAGGACAGTTAAGATGCCAAAACATAATATGCAGAAAATTTAAAATATAAACAACATGGAGCCAGCGCTGTGGTGCAGCAGGTTAAAGCACTGGCCTGAAGCGCCGGCATCCTATATGGGCGCTGGCTCTAATCCTGGCTGCTCCTCTTCTGATCCAGTTCTCTGCTATGGCCTGGGATAGCAGTAGAAGATGGCCCAAGCCCTTGGGCCCCTGCACCCATGTGGGAGACCTGGAGGAAGCTCCTGGCTCCTGGCTTTGGCTCCAGCTCCAGCTGTTGTGGCCACCTGGGGAGTGAACCAGCGGATGGAAGACCTCTCTCTGTCTCTACCTCTCTCTGTAACTCTTTCAAATAAACAAAATAAATCTTAAAAAAAATATATATAAACAACACATGTAGTATGAATTCAAACTACCCCAAAATGCTAAATGCATCCTCATCTCTGAGCACATATTATTCCTTGCTTCGGCAGCACTTGTTTTATCTTTAACTCTTAGAATAAGGTCTAAGGTCTCTGAGATCAAAGCCCTGATGACACAGATGCAGTTAAGATCCTCCTCTCCATCACAGCAGTCATTTTTATTGGTTAATATCCCTGTTTCTTTTACTAAACTGAAGACCCTTCTGAGGGGCTGGGGAGTGGGAAGAGGTAGAAGCAAAGTACACAGCAGCTTAAAAGCAAGCTCTCTAGGGTTTGTTTCATTATGAAATGAAGAAGAGACAGATCAAATGTTTCTAGAGAATCAGTAAAATTAAGGAACCTAACATGCAAAAGGAAGGAACTAGGTAGAAAAGAAATATACAGAGGATAATGGACCTACTGGAAAATTATGTACCTGGTCATAAAATTTAAATTGTGGCTATTTGTGGGGTTGATGTTGTTAAACTGCTGCTTGCAATGCTGACATCCTTTATCAGAGTGCTGGTTTGAGACCTAGCTGCTCTGCTTCTGATCCAGATTCCTACAACGTGCCTGGGAGGGCAGTTAAAGATGGTTCAAATACTTGGGCCCCTATCACCCACGTGCGCAATCCGGATTGAGTTCCAGGCTCATGGCTCTTTCCTGGCCGAGGCCTAGCCATTGCAGCCATCTGAGGAGTGATAGAGCAGATGGAAGATGTCTTTCTCTCTGCCTCCCCTACTCTCTGTCATTCTCTCAAATAAACAAAATAAATCTTCAAAAAAATTGTGGCAAAGTGAACCAAAAAAAAGCCAATACTGTATGAAAATCTGAATGTGTTTATCTGAATAATAATAAAAGTAGTATTGTACATACTTATCTAGGATGATGTTTCAAGTATTTTGTTTCAATTTATCAGCAAGTGAGCCAATTGATCCTATATTTTGAAATTTACCATTTGAAAACATTTGCACTAATATTAACTTCTCATATGTGGAATGAGGGTTGAATTTCTTTCATATGCTTCCAAGGGGGGGGAGGGTGTTTTAAAAATCTATGCCAGTACATCTACTTATCTCTGTAGCTTTATTTATTTATTTATTTGAAAGGCAGAGTTACAGAGAGGCAGAGGCACAGAGAGAGAGAGGTCTTGAATCCGCTGGTTCACTACCCAAATGGTCACAACAGCTGGAGCTGTGTCAATCGAAGCCGGGAGCCAGGAGCTTCTTTCAGTTCTCCCACACAGGTGCATTGGTCCAAAGACTTGGGCCTTCCTTTACTGCTTTCCCAGGCCATAGCAGAGAGCTAGAGCGGAAGTAGCGCAGCTGGGACTTGAGCAGTGCCCATATGGGAATGGGATGCCAGCACTGCAGACTGGGATTTTAACCTGCTGCACCACAGTGCTGGCCCTTCTCTGTAGCTTTTATAAAGTTATTCCTTTACAAAATCAAATTTCAAAGACTTATTAGCCCTCTCTCTTTTTCCTTAGTCATTCTTAAGATTCAGGGAAAAGTGGAAGATTCAATGTTGGCAACAGCTGGAGACTAATAGAACTATATTCCTAAATGCTTGTTCATGATTTATATATTCATCAAACTGGAAACTGAAACACCAAATGGTTTATTACATATTTACAATTTAAAAGTAAAAATAATACTTACATAGGATGGCATTTAAGTATTTACACATAATTAACATAGAAAGCAATAAGAAATGTTAGTTTAGGGATTGATGGCCATTACACTTCAAATATGAGGACCTTTAAAGTACCTGGTACACAATGAAAAAAACATTAAAAAGTATAATGAAGAAATATGGAACATTAGCTACGTCCCTCAGAATACAAGCATGCTCACCTGCAGAGCCTAAGTTTGCTTTCAATAAATCACCTTGTCAACTTGACATGATAAATTTAGTTTGTTATTTATAATTTTTAACATAATTGAAGAACAAATCTTTGGAGCAGTACCTTTAAAAGATTAAGTAATTAAAAAATGCATATAAAACCACATTGGGAAAAATATCCTACATTATAGCTTAATAAATATAAACTACATTAGAGATGTAAATATACCTTGTGGAAAAATTATGCTAATCATATAGGCATACAAAGCAATGAACAGTTACCATTACATGAGATGCATGCTAACCCAATAATGCATTAGTTCACTGTCAAGCAGGGTAAACAACTGAATTAGCAGTAATATAATTGAAATCTATGGAAACTTGAAAATATCTTTCAATATTTAACCAAAAATTTATAAAACATAAAATACTAAACTGAAAACTAGTCTTGAACGTGGAATCAAATAATTTTGCCAATGAGACAAAATACAGGCAAGCCATAGTTTACAAAATGACCTAGAGACAAATGATGGGGATTGTTTTGATTATTATTAAAAAATGTTATACAGAACACAATGTTTTTTGGCTTTATTGTCAGTGCTTATTTATTAGAGAATTATATTCCAAAACTACTGAGAAAATGATATTTTCCATCATATTATATATTTATAAGTTATAAAAATAAATGTGCAGATAAAAATGAATAAAAACAAAATAATCTATATTACAAGTGTTAAAAAACATGGCAAACTAACCTGATACCATGACATTTTTTTTTTTTTGCCATGATTACGATGTCTTTATCTGTTCAATAAATTAAATCAGAAATCTTTGATCCACCAGTGTTTTAGCTGCCAAATTCTTTTGTCCTATTGTATTACGGATAAATCTAAATATCTGGAAAATTAAAAATTCAGAATGAAAATAAACATATGAAGTCAATTAAATAAGAGCATCAATTAACATATCTAAATTAAGCTAGATAATTCTCTCAACTATTTTCATGTATTAGACATCTCAATTTCATGGTGATACACAAAATTATTTGAAGGCTATTATGATCTTTTACAATATCAAGGTAGTGCATGTTCTTATTTAGAATATGTTTTATCAATTAATAAAACAAGGCCTTCATGTTCACAGGAATATACTTATAAATCTTCTGAAAGGCAACTTTTATAACTCCAAAAGGTATGGGAATATCAAAAGAATTTACTTGCTACAGGCAGATTTTGTTCATAATTCTAGACCTCTATTAAGGACTAATAAATTACATTTTACTGATTCATATACTTCCTTGATAAAGTAGAGAAAATTTGGGTTATAATTAAGAACATTTTAACAATCATGGATTTACCATTTCTTAAAGCCTCCATTTCAGAGATTTTATCCATGAGGTTGTTTGTTATCCACACAGGCTGGGGATGTATGAGAGCTAAAGGGGCTTTTTTTGCATATTGAGCTGAACTAGAAGGTGAATGGGACTGTAAATATTGTTCATTTTTGGCATTTAGCAGAGTAGTAGTTCAGAGTTCTTCTTCTAGATTCCTTTCACATTTGTTTAAGCAACTCAGGCCCTCCACTATACCCCTATTTCATTTGCCCTCAAGGACAAGGTATGGAATGCAGTTGGTTGAACTTCTTTGTTAGCTTTACAAATTCCTAGTGAGAGTAGAGTCATTCTCTTACAAAAATAATTATTTATTTCCAAATTATTCCCTTTTAAAGAAAACCAGAAAAATCTTAAAAATTTACCTCTTGTTGTAGGTATGTAAGGAAGGCTGCTAAAACAAAATTTTGGCAAGCCAAGTCCACAATACAGAAGAACAGCAGATCAAAAATAAGAAGAGTGGCTTCATTTCCATAGTACAGAACACTGCTGAAAGAATAACCTTCATCTATTAAAAAAAACACAATTTTTAAGATATAAATTTAAAAGTATCATGAATCTGTGATAAATTTCTGGTGATAAAATTTGTGTATTTAAAAACAACATATTAGAAATATGGTTCACCTAAAAATAAACAAAAGGTGTTAAGACTCGCTAATCTAAAAGGTTAGTCACACAACTCATAAAAAGTAGTTTTAACATTTGGACCAAGGGTTAGTAATTGCTAAGATTTCAGAGAGGGGTGTGTGTGTGTGTGTGTGTGTGTGTGTGTGTGGTGTATAGTCAATGTTTTTCAAAGACCAGTTAATGAATATCCTTTCTCTATTTTTTTATAGAACAACAGATCCATTACCCTTAGAAAACTTGTCTAAGATAGAGTAAGTTAAAAATAAAACAAAACAGATCAAAACCAGCAAGGTGAAGAATAGTGCACAGTGTTCTAGAATTTCTGTCTTTGGTAGTACCCAAAGATTTTTCTCTAAGATCTCTTCTAACTTCAAAATGGATTTGTTGCTTCTGGGATACAAAGACCATTTTAAAAAAATTAAGATGTGGGGGCCGGCGCTGTGGCGTAGCGGGTAAAGCCACTGCCTGCAGTGCCAGCATCCCATATGGGCACCAGTTTGAGCCCCGGCTGCTCTGCTTCCAATCCAGCTCACTGCTATGGCCTGGGAAAGCCGCCCCTGCACCTGCGTGGGAGACCCGGAGGTAGCTCCTGGCTCCTGATTGGCGCAGCTCCGGCCATTGCAGCCAATTGGGGAGTGATCCAGCGGATGGAAGACCTATCTCTCTCTCTGCCTTTGCTTCTCTCTGTGTGTAACTCTTTCAAGTAAATAATAAATGAATCTTTATTAAAAAATTATCATGAAAGCTATAGATTATTTCACTAGAAAACAAAGAAAAAACATATCCAAATCCTGCAAACAATTTCAGGGGGGCCCAGAGAACCACTGGAGCTGCTCATGAATACTTAGTTGAACCTGTTTTATACAAGGGGATGTCTGGGGTACTCATAATGCTCTTTCTTGATCAGGGTGCTAGGCACGAGGGGTACATTCAGTTTGTGAAAAGTTACTGACCTGTAAGCTCTATCCTTACAAAATATATACTTCTGTATGTGTATTTGTATGTGTGTGTGTATTAAAATTCAAAATATAAATCTTCCTTATATGCTTTCCCTGGGTGATCTTCTAACACTGCTCCAGTAATAACTTTCTATAATGGTGACTTCTCCAGTTTATTGTATGCCTTCACTTTGTCCTAAGATCTAGTTCTTTATATTTGATGCCTTACTGGACACCTCTCCCTGGATGTCCCAAAGGTACCTTAAGATCTAACATATTCAAAACTAAATTCATCCCCTTTCCCTCAAAACTGTTCCTCCATTGGCATTCCCTGTTTTAGTGAATGGTGCCACTTAGTCACCAATTTAGTCACATGAGCTGGAAATCTGGATAATTTCTGACTATTCTCTTTCTACTATATTTTCCCCCTTAATCTCTCTAGTAAACCTTTCTTCTATATTCCAATTGCAAATACCTTAGTTTATATTCTCATCATCTTGTGATGAAGACAGAGGGGAAAAAAAAACTGTTAGAAGGAGAAGAAGGAAGATGGGAAGAAAAAGAACACAGGAAGATGAAAAGAAACAAGGTAGAAAAGAAGGAGATGGCTATATTAGAAATAGCAACAACACCCCATTTCTGGGTACTTATCTGAAAACAGGTAATGTATTAGGCTCTTAACACAAGATAACCCTACAAAAATCTTTAGAGGGTAATACCTAATTTTACAAAGAGGCCAGTAAGGTTCAGAAAGATCAGCAACTTTTTCAAGTTTACAAAGCAAGTAAATTAAGTAGAGTCAGGGTTTGAATTCAAGAATAAAAGCCTCTGAAAGTTATATTCTTAATGACTTTGACTAAGATATAGTCTTAAAATCTTGGAAACCTTTAATTCAATCTACCCTATAGCCAGAGTAATTCTTTCAACATACAAGTCAAATCTATTTAGCACTTTTCAATGATATCCACGTTCATTAATAAGTTTCCAAATTTTCTGATTATGTATTCCTATCAGAAAAAGTGTTGAGTATATACTAAAATAGATGTATTTTATTAATTACTTTTCTATTTATTACAAATAGACATTTAAATATTTTCTTCTCATATTTTCATGGACCAACATATGCACATATGCATATTTTGTGGTATAAAACTTTTTTTTTTTTAACAACTGGACTACAGAATAGAGAAACTCTTTAGGGTGTTAGACAAGACCTTTGGGATTTGGTTTCTGCCTTTTTTTCTTTCATACTCTCTGTCCCACCTAATACCAGATTTAATCATAAAGTTCATAGCATAATGCACGCTGCACACTTTTTCTGTCCTTGGCATAACCTGTGCTAGCACACACTTCTATCCAGGCATCACTCCATTTACTTATTCACATGCCTATCTTTCATAGTCTACTAAACCAAATGCCCAATGGACGGCCATGGGCTAGGTACCCTAGGGCTGGCGTTGGCATCACATCAGGCATACAATAACACAATGGATAAATGATATCTAGGCCAGAACAGTTGTTATATCATCTCCATTCTTACCAACACACACAACTAATTATCACACAAGTCACATATATATTGACGTTTTAAAGATAATAAACCAAGTTTAATTACTATTTCTCTTACAGTATCAGTGATTTTTAAGAAATCAGATACAATAAAAATTAGATGTTAAAGAATAATCACAAATGTTACTATTCTTTAAATGTTTCATAGGGGCCGGCGCTGTGGCGGAGCAGGTTAAAGCCCTGGCCTGAAGCACCGGCATCCCATATTAGCGCCGGTTCTAGACCTGGCTCCTCTTCTAATCCAGGTCTATGGTATGGTCTGGGAAAGCAATAGAAGACAGCCCAAGTCCTTGGGTCCCTGCACCCATGCGGGAGACCCAGAAAACGCTCCTGGCTCCTGACTTTGGATTGGCTCAGCTCCAGCCATTGCGGCCATCTGGGGATGAACCAGCAGATGGAAGACCCCTTCTCTGTCTCTACCCCTCTCCGTCTATCTTTCAAATAAATAAAATAAATCTTTTTAAAAAATAAATGTTTCATAAGTTTTCCACTGAATAAATCTTCCAATAAAATTTTGAATTTTGTGTTACTTATTTTACTATCTCATCCATGGATATTGTTGATTCTGAAATTCAGCGTTTTGCTTTCTTACAGAATCTTTTATATATTTATTTTCTGCTACTTGGCATAATAAGATAAAATACAGGAAACTACAATTCCATTAGGTGAGCTGAGTTCATTATGTTTACTTTGTTTCAATATAAAATTGTAAATCAAATGATAATAACTACAAGACTGTTTTTTTCAACTTTGAAAACAGTAATGAAATTCAGCAAGGGTTTTAAAGGATACCATTGTAAAAGATGCTTTTTTCCATTGGTTCCATGAATTCCATTCCAAGAATTCTTTCAAGAAGCAACTTATCTTTTATAAAGTAATCCATTTCTTTATGAACCTAACATAAAAAGAGAATAATTTCAAAAACAGTGAAATATATGCTAATTAATGTAAAATCAAAAGGAGGAAAAATGAAAAATGAATCACACACAAAGATTGTTCTTCAAAAAGATGAATTTACCACACTGAGATTTATAACAAAATTCAGCAGTGTTTTAAATTTCAAATGCCCTTAGTTGTGTTTAGGTCTGGACGGACTGAAAATCAAAACAAGCTTTTTAGGAATATAATCCTAGCATAACATAAGGATTTCAATAATGAATAATACCATAGTACTTTGGTAACCTGCTAACAAAATTTCAATATAGGCATATGTTAAGCAAGTTATCATATTAAAAGACAATATACAATCTCATTTTACTTCTACATAACCCAATTATATTCCTAAGCCATAACTGTTAATGGTTAGAAATATGTTTCTACGTATTAAATCTGACAAGATAAAAAAAATGAGGGTTCTAAATCTACACATTGATTAACTGACATTCCAATCTCACTTTTTAAACTGCATTTAATCACAGCTTAAATATAAATGTTGACATACTTACATGATCAATGAAAGAGCCAAGAAACTTATTCATGGTATGATATGCTTTTATACTCTGCTCAAAAGTACTAGCTGATGAACTCAGTAGTCTAGCAGGGCCATTTTTCTAATGTAAAAAGAGAAATGAATAAATGTGACACATTTTGTTTTTTAAATAGCATTAAATATTGGCAAAATTTATCTGAACTGTACTTTATACAAACCCTTGTCAGTGTTTCATGAATCCTGTCATAATGTTGTCTCATCTGGCTAGAAATTGCAATCTGAAAAGTCTGACCATCAGTGTTGGGTACCAAACCTCTTTGGCTACACAAATTTTCCTGAAAAGTTAAAAGATTTATATTAAGACCAAAGTTACAATTACCTATCTCAAGGAGAAAATGCACCTTCCTTTTAGTTGGCATCATACATCACATTACATGCATTACAGAAACCTAGTGAAATTGACTAAAATTATACTTGAAAGAGTCTAACTTTATCCAAGTTTACCATTCCCCTTCAAATTTTATTCATTTCTATTTTATTCTAAATCATACTACCCTACTTTACTTAAAATAAATTAAAAAATTAAAAGCTAAATGTATTATAAATAGATATTCTTAGCTTTCCTTACAATTAACCTTATTGCTCTTAAATATTTGCCAAAAAGCCTAGTCTTAGAATTAACTAGTCTTATAACTGTAAAATTTTTGTTGTTTCTCAAACATTTTTAAAATACTTCCTTTATTTCAACAAAAGGTAATGATGGTAAGACCAGAGTTCAAGTTATAGATCAGATATCCATTTCAGGCCTCCCTGACAAGGCAAAAATCCTAACAACAAACATGCACAATTCCCCACCTGATCATCTAGTCAATTATCACTGAGGCATCATGGTTCAGTATAGTTTTCTTATCTCCATAAAGCCAATTCACCTACACTAGGGCTTAATATTCTCTTTTGTCTAAATCTAACCTGCAAACACAATATAGCAGTTGATTTTCTATATACTTAAAAGGAAGAACATACATAATAAATTTTTCTATTAAAAAAAGTGACAAGATGGGGGAAAAGATGTTTAACCCAGTAATTAAGACAATGGTTAAGAACTTGTGTCCCATATTTGGAGTACCGGAGTTTGATAGCCAGCTCTAGTTCCTGGCTCTAGCTTCCTGCTAATGCAGATCTTGGGAAGCAGTACTGATGGCTCAAGTGTAACTGCATCCCTGTTGCCCATGCAGGAGAACTGGATTGAGTTCCTGGCTCCTGCCTTTGGCATAGCCCAGTCCCAGCTGCTGTGGCCACTTGGGGAATGAACCAGCAGATGGGACCTCTTTCTCTATCTGTCTTTCTCTCTGTCTCTGAAATAAAAATCTCAAATATTTTTTCTTGATTAAAAACACTCCATTCTACTGTGGAAAATTTATAAAAGATGAAGTACAAAAAAAGAAAAGAAACAAAAGTCACCTATAATCTCAACATGGAGAGACTGAAATATTTTTTTAAAGATTTATTTTATTTATATGAAAGACAGAGTTATAGAGAGAGGTAGAGACAGAGAGAGAGAAGTCTTCCACCCACTGGTTCACTCCCCAGATGGCTGCAACATCTTGAGCTGCGCCGATCTGAAGCCAGGAGCCAGGAGCTTCTTCCAGGTCTCCCACACGGGTGCAGGGGCCCAAGGACCTGGGCCATCTTCCACTGCTATCCCAGGCCATAGCAGAGAGTAGGATTGGAAGAGGAGCAGCCAGACTAGAACTGGCACCCATATGGGATGCCGGCACTGCAGGCCAGGGCCTTAACCTGCAGTGCCATAGCGCTGCCCCCAAGATTGAAATCTTTTAAGAAATTTCATTTCCAGGCATAAAATTGGTATCACATTAATTTCTCTTTCACTTATTATATCCTTGGTAACTTCCCATGTTATTTAATATTCTAAAATATGATTTTTAAATATACTTAAGAATTCATTATAAAAGTAAACTTATTTAATATTCTCCAATTTTTGCATATTTTCTTCTCTGACAAATAACCTATAATAAAGACTGTTAATCTAATTAGCTGTTCATACTGCCAACTTTTCCTTGAATTAAATTCATAAAGTTGGGGCCAGTGCTGTGACACAGTGGGTAAAGTTGCCATATGCAGTGCCAGTATCCCATATGGGTGCTGGTTCGAGTCCTGGCTGCTCTACTTCTGTTCCAGCTCTCTGCTGTAGCCTGGGAAAGTGGCAGAAGATGGCCCAAGTCCCTGGACCCCTGCACCTGCATGGGAGACCAAAAAGAAACTCCAGGATCCTGGCTTTGGATCAGCCCAGCTCTGGCTGTTGCAGTCATTTGGGGAGTGAACCAGCAGATACAAGATCTCTCTCTCTCTGTGCCTCTGTCTCTGTAACGCTGCCTTTAAAATAAATAAACAAATCTTTTAAATAAACTTTCATAAAGTAATTGTAAAACAATTATAAATGATTATGGTATATACTGCTCAAATGCGTTCCAGAAGGTTTGCAGATTTATCCTGACAACAATAGTTTTGTGGCTGCCCATTTTCACTTGATGCTGTTAAATATTAACTTTTAAAGTTTGTTAATTTGAAGGAGAAAACTATTTTATATTCAGTTATTTGATTACAAGTTAAAATTATATTAGAGGTCTCCTACTTTCTTTTCTTTCATTATTTTTATAGTTTATTTAAAAATATTCTAGTCATTTTACCATTGTGATTTTAATTTAGGGTTTTTATTATTGATTCATAACTTTTGATATTATTAACATCTCTCTTCTACTTCTTTTGTCATTTTACCCTAATTTGCTATATTTATTTAACTGACATGTAAATGTACTATATTAATAAGGCAATACCAATTAATATTCTATTTTTGATGCTTTCTACTCTTTACTGCTTAGAATGTACTCCCTACTCTTTTCTAGGGGTTTATGATTTCATTTTTTTACACTTAAGTTTTTAATCTCAGAGTAATTTCTAACAGCTAACCAAGTGATTCAATTCAGTGTACTAAACAAATTCTCTGAGATACTATTTTTGGTATTTCTTCTTTTTAAAAAGATTTATTTCTTTGTTTGAAAGACAGTTACTCTTCAACTGGCTGTAAAGGCTGGGGCTGGGCCATGCCAAGCCTGGAGCCAGGAACTCCATCTGGGTCTCCTGTGTGGATGGCAGGGGCCCAAGCACTGTGAACATCTGCTGCTGCTTTCCCAGGCACATTATCAGGGAGCTGGATCAGAAGTGGAACAGCCAGGACTTGAGATGGTACTCCAATATGGGATACTGGTGTTCCAAGTGGTGGCTCATCCTGCTGTACAACAAAGCACAATCCCAGTATTTCTTCACTGATACATACCATGTATCAAATTCATAAGTTGGGCGGCTCTGTGGCGCAGTAGGTTAATCTTCCGCCTACGGCACTAGCATCCCATATGGGCGCCGATTCTAGTCCCGGCTGCTCCACTTCCAATCCAGCTCTCTTCTGTGGCCTGGGAAAGCAGTACAAGAGGGCTCAAGTGCTTGGGCCCCTGCACCCATGTGGGAGACCAGGAAGAAGCACCTGGCTCCTAGTTTCAGATCAGCACAGCTCCAGCTGTTGTGGCCATCTGGGGAGTGAACCAATGGAAGGAAAACCTTTCTCTCTGTCTCTCCCTCTCACTGTCTAACTCTATCTTTCAAACAAATAAATAAAATCTTTTTAAAAAATTCATAAGTCAGAGTTATGGCCCCTTAAGCACTAAATCCTCTTGGTTTTTCCATGTATTTTATTCTTTTAAAAATTTTATCCTGGAAGTTCTAATGTGCACTCTAGAAAGAATAATAAGCACTCATCACACCCAGTTTCAAATATTACCAAGTTTTTAGCAATTTTGTTTCATCTATCTTCCTAGGTTTCTTTTTTAAAAACTTTACTTATTTATTTTTATTCGAAAGGCAAAGAGACAGAGAAAAGATCTTCTATCCACATATGGGCTCACTCTCTAAACACCCACAGTAGGTAGGGCTGTGTCATTCTAAAGCCAGAAGCCTGGAATTGAATCTGGGTATCTCATGTAGATGGTGAGGACCCAACTTGAGCCATTATCTGCTGCCTCCTAGGGTGCACAGAAACAGGAACCTGGACTGGAAGTGGAGTAGTTAGGATTCAAACCAGGCATTCTGATATACGGTGTGGGCATCACAAATGGCATTTTAACTGCTGTTATAAACACCCACTCTTCTTAGAGTATTTCAAAATAAACTACAGATCACGTCATTTTATATGTAAATATAAGAATATTTCCAAAAGCTCATAGGAAAATAGAATTAAGAAATAATTTTGGTGCCGGCGCCGTGGCTCAATAGGCTAATCCTCCACCTAGCGGCGCCGGCACACCAGGTTCTAGTCCCGGTCGGGGCGCCGGATTCTTTCCTGGTTGCCCCTCTTCCAGGCCAGCTCTCTGCTGTGGCCAGGGAGTGCAGGGGAGGATGGTCCAAGTGCTTGGGCCCTGCACCCCATGGGAGACCAGGAGAAGCACCTGGCTCCTGCTTTCGGATCAGTGCAGTGCGCTGGCCGCGGTGGCCATTGGAGGGTGAACCAACGGGAAAAGGAAGACCTTTCTCTCTGTCTCTCTCTCTCACTGTCCACTCTGCCTGTAAAAAAAAAAAAAAAAAAAGAAAGAAAAAAGAAATTTTTTAAAGAATATTGTGCAGAAGTCTGAACCATGACATTCTATAAGATTATTATTGAAAGTAGAGTCTAAAGAGAGAAATTCTCCCCCTTGGGGGCTCTCCCCCAAAGGGCTTAAAAACTGGGGATTGGGCCAGGCCAAACCCAGGAGCCTGGAACTCCATCCAGGTCTCCCACATGTGTGGAAGGGGGCCAAGCACTTGGGATACCCACTGCATTCCTAGGCACTTTAGATTGGAAGTGGAGTAGCCAGGACTTGAACAGGCACTCATATGGGACACTGGCATCATAGGCTGTTGCTTAACTCAGAGTGCTAAGATACCAGCCCCCATGCATAGTTTTTATCATATGCACTTTCCATGAACTTTCTGAAGATTCCTCATACTTCTGTATTTATCTCTGCTAATGATTTAAAAATAATCAGGATACAAACATAGTTAACAAAATTAACCATTCACCGATGTAATTTAACATTTAGTCATTAAATCTTCAGATTTTTTCTAAAGTTTTTTTTTCTTTTTTAAGAACTGGTATGGCCGGCGCCGCAGCTCAATAGGCTAATCCTCCACCTAGCGGCACCGGCACACCGGGTTCTAGTCCTGGTCGGGGCGCCGGATTCTGTCCCGGTTGCCCCTCTTCCAGGCCAGCTCTCTGCTGTGGCCCGGGAAGGCAGTGGAGGATGGCCCAAGTGCTTGGGCCCTTCACCCCATGGGAGACCAGGAGAAGCACCTGGCTCCTGCCTTTGGATCAGCGCGGTGCGCCGGCCACAGCTCGCCAGCCGTGGCGGCCACTGGAGGGTGAACCAACGGGAAAAGGAAGACCTTTCTCTCTGTCTCTCTCTCTCTCTCACTATCCACTCTGCCTGTCAAAAAAAAAAAAAAAAAGAATTGGTTTGTGGGTCCGCTGTTGTGGCACAGTTGGTAAAGCCGCAGCCTGCAAGGCTGGCATCCTATATGGGAACTGGTTCAAGACCTGGCTACTCCACTTATGATCCAGCTCTTTGCTCATGTTCCTGGGAAAGCAGCCGAGGATGGCTCAGGTCCTTCAGTCCCTGCACTACCTGGGAGATCTGGAAGAAGCTCCTGGCTCCTAGCTTCGGATCGGCATAGCTCTGGCCGTTGCAGCCAATTGTGGAGTGAACCATTGGATGGAAGACCTCTCTCTTTCTCTCTCTCTCTCTCTCTGCCTCTCCTCTCTCTGTGTAATTCTTTCAAATAAATAAATAAATAAATCAGAAAAAAAAAGTGACCAACAAGGATTTAAAAAATACACACACACACACATAAAATATCAAACATTAAGAAAAGAGAACTCATCTCTTAAATAAAGACATAGAATACATTCATACCGCTTCTCTTTTAAGATTCATATTCATTTCTTCCATGTTAGTATCTGCATGCCCATGTACTGATCTACCATGAATGTAATATCCAAAACATTTATGGGATAACACAAACACTGATATCTACAAAAAGAAAAGAGGACCAATTAGCAGCTAATTTGCAGAACAATGAAACATTAAACTTTTCTTAAAATTGCTTCCTTTCTCCCAAAATAATGAAGAACAAATTCCTAAGAAATATATGTGGAGGATAGAAAGGTAATAAATGATAACAAAGTAGCAGACGGAAAGGAGAACAAAGCTACTTCCTAAGAAAGGAGACAATTTGATATATGAAAACATTTTCAGGGGCCATCATCTGAATGCATTATTTGGTAGTGCAGGAAATTCTTATTAAATAAATGCAAATAAAGATAAAAAATTAGGCAGTAAGTACTAAAACTTATAGCTCATTATAACCTCCTCTGGAATTAACAATCAGAAAAATTAGTTTAAAATGCAATCACACCAAATCACTTTTAAAGCCTCTGTTAATGTACTTATGTCCTTTAAAAAGGGAAAAATAGCATTTGCAAGAAAAGTCATAAAATACTTACATTACTCATAGAGCATAAATCAACGAACTGTCGAATTTTATCCTCTACAAATCTCTCATAAAAGACAGCAAAGAACACGATCTGAAAGATTAAGCCAAGTTCATACTTATCAACTTTTAAGATTTCAATTTTCTTTTACAGTCATAGTATAGTATTTTAAGAAAAGAGAAGTTCCCAGTAAGAACACAGTGGCATCTTAACAGTTCCCCGAGGATAATATCCTACTTGTCATTTCTGACTCCTCTGTCAGAGGAAGGAGGGTTTTGGGCTTGTGTTAAGAATCACTGAGGGACCACACTTTGACTTTTACATACTTTTCTGAGTCATTAAAATAAGATAAGACAAATGTGTCAGAAGGAAGAAAAAGTCTTTAAAAATTTAGGACAAACCCACGTATTAATGGCCAGATTATGTCTGGTTCAGCAATTTTGCTCATTTCCTAAATTCCAAATGAGTAGAAGACTGTGCTTTTCAAATTAATCTCCTCTGACAGAGGAACACACAAAATCATATTTCTAGTATTCTATTTTGACTAAGACAGTGCTAAATATTCAAATGGATTTCTTTAAGTGCCTTCTTAGACATGCTAATAACATTACTGGAAGGGAAATTTCCTTTCATAGACCTTTCTACGTATCTTTCAGAGAAGGGTAACATTTCCTACTCCCTTCTTTGAAAGCTGCTCCCGCTGTCACCTACCCCAACTTCCACCTCCCTCACCTCCACCGGACTGCTGATTCGCTTCACAGAAGTTGCCACAATTTGTAACCTGTACTTGTTACAGCACATTTGTGAGCTCAGCACAGCGCCCCCAAACAATACACAACTATTGACTATGGAGAATAGTTTCCAAACTACTCTACATACATATTTTTTAAATCCCTTTAAAGGACATGAAAAAACAGCTATATTTAAAGTTCAAAAATTACAGAATATAACATGAAAGTAAAAGAAGCTAGATTTAGGGACATAAAAGAAATAAATGAGAAAGCTTGACATTACTGGAATCAAAAAGAGTTTAGACAAATATATAACTTTAACAAGATGTTAAAGGAACTCATATGCTTATCTGAAGAACAAAACATTGATAATCTTAGACCACTACCATGGAGAGAAAACACCTTCCTGTCAGACAGTGAAGTGAGAACAAGGCTAGATGTTGCTGTCCAAGATTGCGAGTTGCTCTCCCAACAATCCTTTCCGCTTTCTCCCTTCCTTTGAGCAGAGCACACAGCTGACTAGCTCAGGAAGTCAGCACAGCTAGGTGTTGCCATGCAAGCAGGTGCTGGCCGAGGAGATGGTGAATGGTAGGCACTTTGAAAAAGGCTGTAAAGAGGAAGTGAGCCTCATCTTCCCTGACGATCTCCTGCAACTGCATCAGCCATCGGGGACCATGAGGTGACCTTGGAGATGGAAGTTCCAAGTGGAAGAGCACGGTGACAGGCTTCTGAGTCCCAACAGCAATAACAATTCATATTCTAGCTGTACACTGCTGACCTCTGCTCTCCCTATTCATCAGAGACAAAGTTCTCTGATTTCAGTCACTCTTATTTTATTCTGTTCTCTTGTTATGGTCAATCAAATATGAAAAACTTCAGGGGATGTTCCTTTAAATTCTCTACATACTGGCCTAAGCACAAAGTATTTCCTTACTATGTTGATGATAAACATCAAACCCCACACTCCTTTTATCCCATCTTATTTTGTATTCTAATTTCAGTTTGTCTTCCTTTTCTGGTTGTTAACTAAACTCTCACTAGCTCTATGCATGTAGCTTCAAGTTTGAACAAGTCTCATCAATAAATATGTCAACTAAAAAAGGCTCAGGTTACAGAACACCTACCACCTAGGTCCACTTCTGTAGGTAAAAGCTCTGTTAAAGGGATTTTAATCCCAAAAGATCTTAAGCTGTGTTAGGTAAGGTAAATACACTCATATTTATTTATCAGGCTACAGGAAATTAAACCTGTTCTCTTAGAGGTCCTAGCTTCATTAGCTGATTATAAAAGTTAAAGAAGGAGCCGGTGTTGTGGCGTAGTGGGTTAGACTGCCGCCTGCTATGCCACCATCTCGTATGGGTGCCAGTTAGAATCCTGGCTGCTCCACTTTCCTGCTAACATGCTTGGGAAAGCAGAGGAGGATGGCCTAAGTTTGAGTCCCTGTACCCACGTAGGAGACTGGGAAGAAGCTCCAGGCTCATGGCTTCAGCTTGGCCCAATGTTGGTCATTGCAGACATTTGTGGAGTGAACCAGTGGATGGAAGATCTCTCTTTCTCTATCTCTCCCTTCCTCTCGATAACTCTTGACTTTCAAATAAATAAATCTTAACAAATAAAAAAATATGTATATAAAAGTTAAAAAAATGTTTAATCAAACAAAAGCTTTTTCTATTCATGGGAGTATCTGGAAGCAAGAGAAAGAAGTGCAGATATCAGAATTGAATTCTTTACTGGCTGCTGCTTTTCCTTTTCTTATTTTCATTTTTTGACTTTAATAAGATAAAGGAAGTAAGCACAGACAAGAACCTCTGCTAGAGCCATGGGACATGAGGCTGAGGGTTACTTTTAGTTTCAGTCATGTCAATATTTCAAAGGAAATCCCCAAGGAGTACTAGCAATTAGAGTGACATTTAATGATACATGAATAAATGCAAACAATAAGTTATATTTTAAACGAAAAGAAAATATTTAGAGTAGCTTAGCTGTTTATATAGATAAATATAACTAAAAAAGAAGTCTGTCCTATGACCAGAAAGCTAAAGATTCTGAAATACTCTTCAGTTCACATCAAGCCACCTGGGTTCAAATTCCAAGTTCTGCCACTATTAGTTGCAGTGATGTTAGGCAAGTATTTAACTTTCTTGTCCTTCAGTTTCCTCATCTGAAAAATGGAAATACTAATAGAACACATCTCTGAGGATTACTATAAAGATTAAGCAGTTAGAATGTGTAAAGCAATTAATTACTTTGCACAGTGCCTGCATACTAATGCACTATAAGAACTGGCCATTACTGTTACTGCTTTTGTCGCCTTTCTGCTACAGAAACTAGGATGTGGTCAATATCTGTGGGTAATCACTATGTAAGCAGAAGTATAAATACAGAAAGGCAATGTTTTAAAAGTATAATCTGTGATTACCTGTATAACTCCAATGACTAGCCAAAGAGCAGTGGACACTGCATATCTCAAAATGCGGCTATAAGGAGCTATGTAGCCAGGCGGGCTACTGGAAAGAGTAGAGGATGAGTCCATTAATGCTAAGTTCTTGAATCCCACAACCTAGAGTAAAAAAGGAAAAAAAATTAAAACAGGTGTGGACAAAGAAAACTCCTCTCTATAACGAAAATGGAATACTCCTCTCTACCCTTCACCTTAAAAAACTATAATATCCAAGTTCATACCAACAGCAAAACATATAAATAATTAACATCTAACATTTTAACTACAAAGCATTTATTACAAATATTTAGTTACTTCATTTGGATTGTCCTTATTAGTACGATTAAGAGCCAAATATAACCTTATTGTCATACATATTGACAAAACGCAAATATTTCTGTTAAAAGAATAAAAACTTTCTTCAGTAAACTACCAATGAGTTAAACAAATACTTCATGCTTACTTCACATATGCAAGGCTTTATACCTCATACTTCTTTTTTTTTTTTTTTTTTTTTTTTTTTTTTTTTTTTTACAGGCAGAGTGGACAGTGAGAGAGAGAGACAGAGAGAAAGGTCTTCCTTTGCCGTTGGTTCACCCTCCAATGGCCGCCGCGGCCGGCGCGCTGCGGCCGGCGCACCGCGCTGATCCGATGGCAGGAGCCAGGATCCAGGTGCTTTTCCTGGTCTCCCATGGGGTGCAGGGCCCAAGCACCTGGGCCATCCTCCACTGCACTCCCTAGCCACAGCAGAGGGCTGGCCTGGAAGAGGGGCAGCTGGGACAGAATCCGGCGCCCCGACCGGGACTAGAACCCGGTGTGCCGGCGCCGCTAGGCGGAGGATTAGCCTAGTGAGCTGCGGCGCCGGCCTATACCTCATACTTCTTATACTCAACGAGGTAGCCCAAATGTCTTCTAAAGAAAATACTTTCTTTAATAAAAGGAAGCCATTGTTAAATAAGCTTGGTCTGCACATTTACACTCACATTCATGCCTCCCATCAATGCAGAATAAAGGCTCTGGGAAGTTTTACATTTTATTTGATCTAGTATTTTTCAAACTTGACAGTAAACTTTTTTTTTTTTTTTTTACTTATTTGACAGGTAGAGTTAGACAGTGAGAGAGAGAGAGAGAGAGAGAGAAAGGTCTTCTTTCATTGGTTCACCCCTCAAATGGCCACCACGGCCGGCGCTGCACTGATCCGAAGCCAGGAGCCAGGTGCTTCCTTCTGGTCTCCACTGCCTTCCCGGGCCACAGCAGAGAGCTGGACAGGAAGAGGAGCAGCTGGGACTAGAACCAGCCACCCATATGGGATGCCAGCACCTCAGGCGGAGGATCAGCCAAGAGAGCCACGGCACCGGCCCCTGACTGTAAACTTTTTAATAATACACCTTGTAAAGTTGATCAGACACTCTTTTTTTTTTTTTTTTTGACAGGCAGAGTGGATAGTGAGAGAGCGAGACAGAGAGAAAGGTCTTCCTTTTGCCGTTGGTTCACCCTCCAATGGCCACCGCGGCCTGCGCGCTGTGGCCGGCGCACCGCACTGATCCGATGGCAGGAGCCAGGATCCAGGTGCTTTTCCTGGTCTCCCATGGGGTGCAGGGCCCAAGCACCTGGGCCATCCTCCACTGCACTCCCGGGCCACAGCAGAGAGCTGGCCTGGAAGAGGGGCAACCGGGAAAGAATCCGGCGCCCCGATCAGGACTAGAACCCGGTGTGCCGGCGCCGCCAGGTGGAGGATTAGCCTATTGAGGCGTGGCGCCGGCCCAGATACTCTTTTAAGGTGAGTGTTTGGCCTAGGTGTTAAAATGCCAGTTGAGACACCTACGTCCCATATTGCAAGAACTGGGTATGATATCTGGCTTCACTCCTCACTCCAGCTCTTACTGACATGGGTCCCGGGAAGGAATATGGTGGTTCAAGAGACTAAATTCCCATCACCCCTGTGGGAGACTTGGATTAAGTTCCTAGCTCGTGGCTTGCACTCCAGCCCAGCCCTGGCCACTGCAGCTATTCGGATAGTGAACGAGCAGATTGGAGCTCTCATTCTGCCTGTCGAGGGAAAAAAAAGGAAGGGTGGGTGGTAATGTTGCACATTGGGTTAAGCTAAGGCTTGCGACACCAGCATCCCATATCAAAGTGCAGGTCTGAATCCTGGCTACTATATGTTTCTGATTCAGCTTCCTGCAAATGTGCCTGAGAAGGTAGGAGAAGCAGCCCAAGTACCTGGATCCCCAACACCCATTTAGGAGACCACAATGGAGTTCCTGGTTCCTGGCTTCAGCCAGACTCAGACCTGGCCAGTAAAGTAGTAGATGGAAAATCTGTCTCTCTGTCTCTTCCTTTCACTCTGTTGCTCTGTCTTTTTTTAAAAAAAAAAAAATTTATTTTATGTTTTTGAATTTTTTTTTCTTACAGAGAGAGGTAATGACAGAGAGGTCTTCCATCCACTGGTTCACTCCCCAAATGGCTGCAACAGCCAGAGCTTGAACCAATCTGAAGCCATGATCCAGGAGCTTTTTCTGGGTCTCCCACATAGGTACAGGGGCCCAAGCACTTGAGCCACCTTTTACTGCTTTCCCAGGCCATTAGCAGAGAGCTGGATTGGAAGTGGAACATCCGGGACTTGAACTGGTGCCCATATGCGATGCTGGTGCTGCAGGCTGGGGCTTTAACCCACTGTGCCACAGTGCTAGCTCTGCTCTGACTTTAAAACAAACAAACAAATAATCTTTTAAAAATTCATAAGACAAATGGAATTAATAGATTTTTTTAAAAATTGGTTAAGATAGCAAACTTTTGTATTTCATCATAATTTTAAAGTCTTTTATTTTTATTATTTTTTTGAGATGTATTTGAAAGGCAGAGTGACAGAGAGATAGAGAAAGAGATCTTCTGTCTGGTGACTTATTCCCCCAATGGCTGCAGAGGCTGGCACTGGTCCAGGCTGAAGTCAAGTGTCTGGAACTCCATTCAGGTCTCACAGTGGGTGGGCAGGGGCCTAAGCACTTGGGTAATCACCCACTGTCTTCCCAGGTGCATTAGCAGGGAGCTGCATGGGAAGTTGACCAGCTAGGACTCACACTGGCACTCCAGCAGGATGTTGGCATTGGAAGCAGTGGTATAACTCACTGCACCCCATGCCGGCCCAGAGTCTTTGCTGTTAAATGGTGTGATAACAATATTTCAACTTTTAAAACACTCTGTCAGGCTGGCGCCGCGGCTCACTAGGCTAATCCTCCGCCTAGCGGCGCTGGCACACCGGGTTCTAGTCCGGGTCGGGGCGCCGGATTCTGTCCCGGTTGCCCCTCTTCCAGACCAGCTCTCTGCTGTGGCCAGGGAGTGCAGTGGAGGATGGCCCAAGTACTTGGGCCCTGCACCCCATGGGAGACCAGGATAAGCACCTGGCTCCTGCCATCGGATCAGCTCGGTGCGCCGGCTGCAGCGCGGCGGCCATTGGAGGGTGAACCAACGGGAAAGGGAAGACCTTTCTCTCTGTCTCTCTCTCTCACTGTCCACTCTGCCTGTCAAAAATAAACAAACAAACAAACAAACACTCTGTCATGAAAATTTAGTTGAATTATCCTCACATTTATGAAGTACCTATAAGTTGTATACAATTACATCCAACAGTTTATACCTCCAAAAAGAAGAGAACAGTAAGTATCTGAAAGAGTGGATTAATTTTTCTCACAGTCTGAATTTCATTCCATTCATTTGCTACAAAATATGTTCTCCATATGCTTACTGGAACAGTGGCGCTGCGTACACCACCTTCACCTGGTCAGGGAGACAAAATGAGTAAAATAGTTTCATCTTCTCTGCTCTGCAAGGATAGCTGAAGAACTGTGGCAAAAACAGTGATTTTAGTTACCTTCAACAGCTTTCAGAACCTTCCCTTTAGGTCGCTCCCAATCAATAAAGAATATATCTATGGTAATCTGGGACATGAGTTTATGCAAAAATTGCACAGCCTGAAAATGACATACAATAAAACATCTGAAAAGCATCAAAATTAAGTCTGCAATTGATTCTTTAAGAAACATACTATAAACATGAGAACATACAATTTTTTAGATTGACTTCATATGGAATTATATATACTATTAGGGGACCATTAGAAGCTTTTCAAAGTAGAATCACCAGATTCACTTTCTTTTCTTTCTTTCTTTAAAACATGGACATAAAACAAGGAGACTTCCTATCTTCTCCTTACAGAGGGGACTTACATACTTGAGTTTCATTCCCAAGGTTTCTAGAAGCATACTCTGTTTCATAATGCATCTGACTTCCTTATATGTAAAGATATTTTTCATTTGTAATTTGCTTATCCTATTTAAAGTTTTAGTATGCTCTCACTTTATTTTTTTTACTATCTTTGGTATTAAAATTTATTAAAAACTAAGTTGTAACTTTTTCTCACATATAGAAGCAGCATGTTTATACAGAGGCATCCTTCCTAATAGATGCATTCCTGATCAAACAAAAGACAACAGTGTGAGTACGGGATGAAACCTCTCACCTAGGAGCTCCCAGTTCCTTGGGAAAAGCAGATACCTAATAATCACATCACAATGGGATGAAAGCTACCAAAGAGGCACACACACTGAGAGAGGACAGTAGAGCCAGGGGAACATGGCCGCAGGAAGAAGAGGAAAGGAATACAGAGACAGAGAAAGTAACTTTGAGATTTCAGCATTTTATCCATCTAGAGTGGTACCTTTCTGATTTTTCTGATTATCAGAAACAAAAATTCATGCCTGAGGGCATTTTGTTCCATTGTGAAATCATCACCAGACTTTAAAAGTAACTTCCTATGTAAAACAAAGTAATACATGCTCTCTTTCAAAACCAAGGTAAATTTTACACCCATGATTTTCAAAGCATTTTAATTTTAAAGGCTCATTAATCTATTAGCAATTCTTTTAAATTGGGAAAGCTCTCCTTTGAAACTTACCTTCAGAGCAAAAGCACATCCCACATAAATTACAAAGTCTTCTTCCTGGACTGGTGTTGGTAGCAAAACAGAGACAGACTTCTGTGCCTATAATAAAAATGACTTGATTAAATATGATCACCCAAGGTTTTTACTGCATACAATTTATAACCCCCTAAAAGAGAAACAAGCATACAAAGAGATAATCATGCACTCCATAAACTCAGCATACCCAGGGAATGGTGAGTTTAGCACGATTTTAATACTGTCGATCAGAAATTACCTCAAATAAAAACATTTCCTTTATAAAAACAGTTTTTTCCAGTCATTCAGATACTGGCATTCAGGTAAAATTCAGAAACTCACTCACTTTGAAGAAAATAAGCCAATAAAGACCTGTTCCCACTGTGATGGTAAAGAAAACATTGGCCAGATCGCCAGCATAGTACACCAAGAATTTCATAACCGTCTGCAATTAAAAAAAGACAGCTATTAAAGACTCAATCTGTTTACCACTTTCAGTATCACTACCACTTTTTTTTTTTTTTTTTTTAAGATTTACTTTATTTATTTGAAAGGCAGAGTTACTGAGAGGCAGAAGCAGAAGCAGAGAGAGAGAGGCCTTTCATCCACTGGTCCACTCCCAAAATGGCTGCAATGGTCAGAGCTGGGCCGATCCAAAGTCAGGAGCCTGGTGCTTTCTCTGGGTCTCCCACATGGGTGCAGAGGCCCAAGGACCTGGGCCATGTTCTACTGCTTTCCCAGGCCATAGCAGAGAGCTGGATCAGAAGTGGAGCAGCCGGGACTTGAACCGGCATCCATATGGGATGCCGGCACTGCAGACAGCTGCTTTACCTGCTACGCCGCAGTGCCAGTTCCAGCACTACCACTTTTAGTAACACATCATTCACCCAGTTTCAAGCCTGAAGCCTTGTTTCATATATTTGTGTATGACTAGCTACAAATTTCAGAGCAACTGAAGCCCCTTCCTAGATACCTTTTGGTTCCTTACCTTTCAAAAAATCCTCTGTCATTTTTTTATTTTTTTTTTATTTTTTTTTTTTATTTTTGATAGGCAGAGTGGACAGTGAGAGAGAGAGACAGAGAGAGAAAGGTCTTCCCTTGCCGTTGGTTCACCCTCCAATGGCCGCCGCTGCAGCCGGCGCACCGCGCTGATCCGATGGCAGGAGCCAGGATCCAGGTGCTTTTTCCTGGTCTCCCATGGGGTGCAGGGCCCAAGCACCTGGGCCATCCTCCACTGCACTCCCTGGCCATAGCAGAGAGCTGGCCTGGAAGAGGGGCAACCGGGACAGAATCCGGCGCCCCGACCGGGACTAGAACCCGGTGTGCCGGCGCCGCTAGGTGGAGGATTAGCCTATTGAGCCACGGCGCCGGCTCCTCTGTCATTTTTTAACCCTTCTTATTTCACTGCCTAAGAAAGTTGAACCTGCTTCCTCATTTCCCTCAGAGGGGAACCCTCGACCCTAAACTACCCTCTTCACTATCACCAGAGTTCGTTCGTTCGTTCGTTCCTTCCTTCCTTCCTTCCTTCCCTCTCCCTCCCTCCCCTCCCCTCCCCTCCCTTTTCTTGCTTTCTTGATGTTTCTTCTCTTCTTTTTTTTAAGATTTATTTATTTATTTGAAAGAGCTACAGAAAAAGAGAGACAGATTGATAGGTCTCCCACCTTTTGGTTCACTCCCCAGATGGCTGCAACAGCCTGGATTGGGTCAGGCGGAAGCCAGGAGCCAGCAGCCTCCTCCAGGTCTTCCACATGAGTGGCAGGGGCCTAAGCATTTGGACCATCTTCTGCTGCTTTTCCCAGGCCATTAGCAGAGAGCTGGATTGGGAGTGGAGGAGCCAGGACATGAAACAGCACCCACATGGGATGCTGGTATTGTATGCACTGGCGTTATCTGATATACCACAACACTGGCCCTAGAATTAGTTTCCTAAAACATTAATCAGGTTGTGTTGCTCCCCTTCTTAAAAATGTACAATTACTGGGTAAACGCTGTGGCACAGGATAAGCTTCTGCCTGGGGTGCCAGCATCCCATATGGGCACCAGCTTATGTCCCTGCTGCTCCTCTTTCAATCCAGCTCTCTGCTATGACCTGGGAGGGCAGCAGAAGATGGCCTGAGTGCTTGGGCCCCTGCACCCACGTGGGAGGCCTGGAAGAAGCTCCTGGAATCCTGACTTCAGATCAGCCCAGCTCTGGCCGGTGTAGTCATTTTGGGAGTGAACCAGTAGATGTAAAACCTCTCTCTCTGACTCTCCCTCTCTTGTCTGCAACTCTACTTCTCAAATAAATAAATAAAATATTTAAAAAATTTAAAAAGGTACAATGACTACTCACTAAGTTAAAAATTCATAACCTACAATGTCCTTTAAAACATGAACCAAAATCAACCTTTTTTTTAAAAAAAAGAAAGAGAGGGATTGAGAGAGGGAGACAGGGAAGGAGAGAAATATGGTCATCTTCTTTTTTAAAAGATTTATTTATTTATTTGAAAGGCAGAGTTACAGAGAGAGAGAGAGAGGGAGAAAATCTTCCATCCACTGGCTCACTCCTCAGATGGCCAAAATAGCTAGACCTGGACCTGGGCTGGTCTGAAGCCAGGAGCTCCTTCCAGGTCTCCCATATGGGTGCAGGGACCCAAGCACTTGAGCCATCCTCTGCCACTTTCCCAGGCTCATCAGCAGGGAGCTGGATGGAAACTGGTGAATCGGGATGCCAGTGCTGCAGGCTGTGGCTTAACCTGTTGTGCCACAGTGCAGGCCCCCAAAATGGACACTATTACACAAAATAGTCTTCCCTTCCTCTCTGGCAAAGTCTCCTGAGCTCTGAAGATTCAAAACACCTCTGTCTAGGGACTTACATCTCCCAGTGTCTGGTAGAGTGCTGGGCACTTAAGACATGCCTAGCATGGGCCCTCTGCAACTACAGTGGAAAGAATCAATAACCTAAATTAAACCTCACTTTTCTGGGAAGCCTTACTTGATCATCTCAAACAGTAAGTCATGCCCCCTGCTCTGATTCCTTAGCACTTTGGCTTTGGAGTCAGGAAGCGGCTATGGTTTAAATAGTTACTATACAGCCTTTCTCATGTTCTTCACAGTAAAATCAAAATAGCTGTTACTAAGTTGTAGTAAAAACTGAGTAGAAAATTTAATCTCTGTCTCAATTTCATCATTCGTAAAATGGAAATAACAATAGTAATACTTAACTTCACTGAGTTATTGTGAGGATTAAAATAACACGAAAAGCTTTAAAAAGTATCTGGTACATGGTAAATATTTTTAAAATGTTAGATAAGTAAAAATTTTAAAAAACAAATGAGAAGTAAAACTATAAAGCCAAATAAAGAAAATATGGGAAAGGGGCTAGTGCTGTGGCTTAGCAGGTAAAGCCACTGCCTGCAGTGCCGGCAACCCATAGAGCTGCAGGTTCGAGTCCTGGCTGCTCCACTTTGATCCAGCTCTGTTCTATGGCTTGGGAAAGCAGTAGAAAATGGTCCAAGTCCCTGGTCCCCTGCACCCGTGTGGGAGACTGGGAAAAAGCTCCTGGCTCCTGGCTCCGGATCAGCATATCTCCGGCCACCTGGGGAGTGAACCAGTGGATGGAAGACCTCTCTCTCTCTGCCTCTGCCTCTCTATAACTCTGTCTTTAAAATAAATGACTAAACATTTAAAAAATAATAGAAAAAATAAAATGTGTAAGCATATTTTTGTGATGCTGAGATAGGGAAGGTTTTCCTAAACAAAATCCTAATGGTACATATCTTTACATGAAAAAATATTCACATGTGACAATAAGGAAATTAAGCTTCTGTTAAACAAAAGACCACAGGAATGAAAAATAAAACAGGCATCATATATTTGGCAAAAATCAAAGTAGGATTAATATTTAGAAAATACAACAGAACTCATTCAAACAGGGACAGGCATTTGGCAAAGCATTTAAGTAGCCACTTGGGACAACCACATCCCATACCAGAGTGGCTGATTCAAGTTCCAGGAACTCCACTTCAGATCCAGCTTCCTGCTAAAATGCACCCTGGGAGGCAGCAGGTGATAGCTCAAGTAGTTGGGTTCCTGCCACCCACACAGGAGATACAGACTGAGTTCCTGGTTCCTGGCTCTGGCCTGGCTCAGCCCTGGCTCTTCTGGGCTTTGGGAAGTGGGCAAGTGGGTAAAAAATCTCCCTTTATCTGTCTTCCTCTGTCTATCAAATAAATAAAATAAATTTTAAAAATGGAAAACAGGGGCTGGTGCCGCGGCTCACTAGGCTAATCCTCTGCCTTGAGGCGCCGGCACACCGGGTTCTAGTCACGGTCGGGGCGCCGGATTCTGTCCCGGTTGCCCCTCTTCCAGGCCAGCTCTCTGCTGTGGCCAGGGAGTGCAGTGGAGGATGGCCCAAGTACTTGGGCCCTGCACCCCATGGGAGACCAGGATAAGTACCTGGCTCCTGCCATCGGATCAGCGCGTTGCGCCGGCTGCAGCGCGCCAGCTGCGGCGGCCATTGGAGGGTGAACCAATGGCAAAAAAAGGAAGAGCTTTCTCTCTGTCTCTCTCTCTCTCACTGTCCACTCTGCCTGTCAAAAAAAAAAAAAAAAGGAAAACAGGTAAAGGATATAAACAGACAATTAATAGAAGAAAAAACCATAACAACTAAAAATTATATAAAGAATAATCAAAGAAGTGTCACATCTAGTGTTAGAAAGGATGTGCAGAAACATGAACATTACTGCTGCTCTGGCCATTGTGGACATTTGGGGAGTAAACCAGTGGATGGAAGACCTGTCTCTCTCTGTATCTCTGCTTCTCTGTAACTCTGCCTTTCAAATAAATAAATACATCTTAAAAAAATTACAGCTGATATAAGTATAGATTGGTGGGAAGAAAATGAGCAGTACCACATACTCTGTGATGCAGTGATACCTATTCTATGTGTTCTAGAAAAACTCAAGGCAACTTTCTTATTTATTCTCTAGCTGTGTCTTCTGAGAAGAATCCAGACACAACTATGAAGGAACTTAAAAGGTTTGTGGAAAATTATAATTAAAAGTTCACTTGGATGCAAAAATATGTAAATTTATACATAGTTTTTTTTTTTCATTAATATGCATTTTCTATAAACTTTCTGATGACATCTTATACACTTAGAAAATCCCTGATAGCATACCTGTAAATCAATCATGGGACTCCCAATGCGCCTCTTCCACCCTGCTGTCTTCAAAAGAGATGATAAAACAGCTAGCCCACCCAACACACCCAAAGCAATCTAAAAAACAAAAAGAACATTTTATAACTGATATTAATTTTTTATTAAAAATAGACTGTAAATATTTTAAGAGGTTAAAATAAACTCACATCTGTCTGGACATGTGCTTCTCCTTGATTCATTTCATATGTGACTGAGAAAGAAACCTGATATTAAAACAAAACAAATTAGCCATGCTAAAATTGTGTCTCACAAATCTACTTTTATTATTAAACACGTGTTGCTGGATTCTACCATAAATGCTAGATTCTTAACTTCTCCGTATTACTAGAGTTGACCCGTCTTTACACATAAATGAGATTTGCTGTTAAGAAATTTTTGTGCTGCTTTAAATATCCCCTGAAAACACACATTAAAAAAAGGAAAGGTTCACTTGGAGATAAGTTAGCCTCGTTAACAGTAGTTCAGGCTAAACTAATCATATTTTCTGACAGACTTCTGTAATGGAGGAACTGTGTATCAAGAATTTGGCCTGGCTTGGGGCCAGCACTGTGGTGTGGTGGGTAAAGCCACCTCCTGCAGTGCCAGCATCCCATATGGGCGCCAACTGGGGAGTGAACCAGCAGATAGAAGACCTCTCTCTGCCTCTTCTCTCTCTGTGTAACTCTGACTTTCAAATAAATAAATAAATCTTCAAAAAAAAAAAAAAAAGAATTTGGCCTAGAAAGAAGGGCTCTGGTTCTTTTTAAATTTGAGAAGCAGAGAAAGAGGCAGCAGAGAGTTTCCATCTTCTGATTCACTCCTCCGATGACTGTAACAGCCAAGGTGAGGCCAGGCTGAAGGCAAGAGTTGCCAACTCAATCCAGGTCTCCCATTGAATGACAGGGACCCAAAGAATTGACCCATCATTGCTCCTTTCACGAGCTGCAATTGGGGTCCAGAACCCAGAACTGAAGCAAGGCACTCTGATATGAGATGCAGATGTTTTAACCATTATCTTCACTGCGAGGTCTAGTGTCTACTGGTCAATATTTTTTTTTTTCTTAAAGAGGGGAATAATGCCTGTGTCAAAGAATCATTATGATGAAAACATTAAACAGTATCTCTAACTCAAAAAAAAAATGAATCTGGCAACTGCTAACAGACATATTCTAAATTGGCAGATTAATAAAAAATCTGAACAAGACTCTTAAGGATACCACTATACTGAGACAAGAGAAAGAACAACCAGGGAAGGGTGAAAAAGCAGGACTATGAAAGGAAGGACACACAAGATACCTAAATACTACCAGGACCATAGAATAAGGGGTTTCTAGAAAAAGGAAGAGGTCAAGAGTACAGTGTCAAATGCTGCACAAATGTTAAGTTCAAAAACTGAAGCCCTGGGGCCAGCACTGTGGCACTGTTGGTTAAGCTGCCGCATGCAATGCTTGGCATCCCCTACGAGCACTGGTTTCAGTCCTGGCTGCTCCCCTTCTGATCCAGCTCCCTGCTAATGTGCATGGGAAAGCAGTGGAGATGGCCCAAGTAAGTGGATCCCTACCATCCACATGGGAGACCTGAGTGGAGTTCCAGATTCCTGGCTTCACATTGGCTCTGCCCTGGCCATTGCAGCCAATGGGGAGTGAACCAGCAGATGGAAGATCTCTCTTTGTCTCTTTCAATCTCTCCCTAACTCTGCCTTTCAAATAAAGAAATAAATCATTAAAAATAATAAAATAAGAAGAAATGAAGCCATTATACATGGAATTCATTGCTGCCCTTCTTAAAAAGGTTTTCAAAGAAAGAAAATGGCAAGATCCAGATGGAGAATAATGAAGTAGAGTAAATGGTTGGGAAACAAAGGAGAGAAATCTGATGACAAGGTGAAGAGCTGGCAGAACTGAGGAAAGATTTTATTGTTTGGTCAGTTGTTTTAGCTTATCTTTAAGATAAAACAACCTGAGGGGTTTTTTATTTTTATCTTTTTAAAGATTTACTTATTTATTTGAAAGGCAGTTACAGAGAAAGATTCTCCATGTACTGGTTTACTACCCAAATGGCCTCAATGGCCAAGGTTGGGCCATGTGGAAGCCAGGAGCCTAAAACCAAAGCCAGGAGCCTGGAACTTCATCCAGGTCTCCAACGTGGATGGCAGCCAAGATTCAAACCAGTGCTCACAAGAGATGTTGGCACCACAGGTGGTAGCTTAATGGGCTGTGCCACAATGCTGGCCCCATCCTGGGAGTTTTTATAAGCAAAGGAAACAGACTAGCAGAAAGGCAGGCTAAACAGGGGTTAGCAGAGAAATGGGATGTTGGAGAAAGTACTGCAAGTACAGGCATAAGATTAGATAAGGAGAGGAGGGGACTTTGTTTCCTAGAAAAAGCAACAAGAAATGAGAGGGATAACAAAACAGAGATTCTGAAGTATCAACAGGAAATCTGAGGGAATTTATATTAGATGGCACTGATCTGTTTAGTAAACTAGAAAGCAAGGTTATTTGTTGTGATAAGAGCAAAGACCTAGATGGTGATTAAAACTGATGCAGAATTTTTAAGTTATTTATTTTTTTGAAAGGCACATAGAGGTACAGACAGAAAGAGCTCCCATTGCTGTTTCACTCCCGCAGATGACTGCCAACAGCCAGTGGTGGGACAGGCAAAGCCAAGAGCCATGAACTCTATCTAGGTCTCCCACGCGGTTGATAGGAACCCACATACTTGCACTGTCATACACTTCTTCCTAGGCACACCATCAGGAAGCTGGGTTAGAAGAGAGGAACAGCAGGAACTAAACTGGCATGCCTATATTGGATGCGGGAGTCCTAAGTGGTGGTGGCTTAACCCACCGAGGCACAACACCCACTGTAAAGTCTGAGTTCCTGGATTAATTAGACAAGGAGACAAAATCTGAAGAGAAGCAAGGTGAACAGGAACATATGTTGCTTGTCACAGCACATCCCAGGATCCCTAACAGTGACACTCGAATGCTGGTGAATCTTTTACTGAAAAACTTAACTCAGTCCCCCTTTTTTAATATTCAAGATCTATAAGAAATCACCTTTTATCGTTACTAGTAAAAAAATAATTAAGACTTGAGGATATAAAAAGAAGGGCTTCTTGAAAACTTGAGAAAAAGACTGTCTTTTGGCTATAATGTAAACTGTATCATTTTTACATTTACACAAATAAGGACACTGATTAGTAAAGAACTCACCTTCACAGACTGGCTGTTGGGATCCTTCACATCAACGTCATTGTACAAAATGGTGATTAAAGGAGGGTAGATGTTTCCACTTTTTGTATTGGGTACCAGGTGGATGCTATTTAAGGAAAATGTTTAGAAACACAGTGATAGATACGTCTAAGATCTTAGGCATATATTTAATTGGTAGTTTCTTTTGAATTTAATATAGATTGTCTTAATGATCTCAGAACCAATCAGTTAATAAGAACCAGAGAAGATTAAATAAATGGTAGCAACACAAGTTAACCTTAGCTGGAAAAATTTAATATTAAAATATACTGAAACAAAAACTCTTTTTAATCCAAGTCTTATGTAGTTTACAAGTGAAATCACTGAAGTACTATGAATCATCTTTGAGGAATATTCAAGATAATGCTACATGATGCTGAAAAAAAGGTAGACAGGATCCTGATTTTAAAAACAGAAAGATGAATTCTTAACAAAATGTATCAAATCTAGAACTGTTTATGCACATACAGGTGAACATTTTGCCAAATTCAATGTGTTAGTACTGTATAGCTTGTAAACTCAAAAGGGGAAGTGTCAATCACTAGGGGCCAGTGTGGTTTTATTAAGAACAAGTAACACCTAAATAGGCTCAATCTCATTTTTACTAGGGCTACACCTTGGCATCTTGAAAGAATACTAAAAACACAGTACATTTAGATTGCAGCAAGACATGACCAAGCTTCCATAATGCCTAATTTATAAGACTGTTACGAGAATCAAAATGAAGTAACAGTGGAAAAAATAACATGTATTTGCAGTGCTTTCAAGTGTCAACCTACTGCACATCATAGAATATTAGGGTGGAAGTCAGTTAAGATCTTAGATATAGGAGTCTCACACAGGAAAAAGACAGAGGAATTTGGCTTGTATGATACAACTGTAAGGTAGGATTCACATTTAGGTTATCCTAGGTAAATCTGGGCCAAGCTACAACAGTCATTAAAGGAAATGAGGATGGGAAGGCTGAACTATCAACAATCACCTGGCAGGCTGTTTCTAAAATGCCCATTTCAGTCACTAGTATTCTCCTTCCCTACCTTTTAAATCCCTCTAATTCAACAGGTCTAGAATGGAGACTTGAGGATGAATTCTGACCAAACTCCTCAGACTCTTAGGCCACAAATTACCCTTTCTCCCGGCTCTTCAACTTTACTGGTCTATATCAATCCACATAGATTATCTCAAAAATCTTGTATCTTGTTTCATGTGATAATTACTAGTAAACACTTTTCTTTATAACATTTGCCCATATTTTCTTAGCCGAATTTAGTCATTAGATGTTTGTTTACCTCAGTGATATCTGAGTAGCAATTCGAATTACTCTTGGTAGACTTCCCAAGTCATTTTCTCGTCCACTTACTGCGTCCACTAAGAAAATGCGTCGAGTAAGAAGCCACTTGCCCGAGTTACTATCTTTTATTATAGAAACAAAACAGGGAATTAAAAAAATCCTCATAGTTCATGATGGGTCTCAAGTAGTTTACTGAACAAATTTAAAAATATAGAGTTAAAATTTTATTTTAGATAAGAGGGCTGCAAAGAGCCACTGCTCTAAGACATTCCTGGCAATGGCAATCTCCACCTCACTTGAATGTCTGTTGACTAGAATTTCCATCAATTTGGAAGGCATTTCTCTGAAAATTATTTTAAAAAACAGGATTTGAAAACATAAGCAACAACAAAAATATTAATTTAGCCAAAAAATTGATCACTAACAGCTGAAACAAAAAGTCCCAATTTGTAGTTCTAAATATTTTTCTTAAGATATCGTCTTAGCTATATTATAATTTCTTAACAATATACCAGACAATCTAATTAGTAAAAAATGTCTAAGAACATATTGTTTTACTTTTTAACATACTGTATAAATTCATATAAGAAAGAATCCATAATCCTTCTTATAGTGATCTATATTAAATTATTATGTTGACTGAGTTATTTACTGATTTTTTTTTCCAGCTAAGAGAACAAGTGGTATATACGCATGTCTCACCTTGGTTCACAAAGATTTTATTGTGTTGAAGATTTAGGTTTAACACAGGCACAGCCCAAATATATTGCTGTTGATTTTCGTCAGTATATTCAAGGTACACATCATAAAATATAGGACTGGGGAAATCATTCAAGATCTTAGAGATAGGGATCTCACACTGAAAAACAAAATTAAAAGTAAATGCATTGCAACTGAAAATTTGAAGCCATGCTTATTATCTTTAAGTTTTTTTTTTTTTTTTAGTTTTGCAAAATAAAGTCATTAAATTCTCTTGTATATGTGTGTTTTCATGTGTCTTTTCCACATGAATATTATATTGTGGTTCTTTTATAAGGGCCCAAAAATCTAATAGCAGGGGCCAAATCTGTGGCACAGCAGGTTGCAGCACCAGCATCCTATATGGATGCCAGTTTAAGTCCCGGCTGCTCCACTTCCAATCCAGCTCCCTGCTGGTGTGCCTGGGAAAGCAAGTGGAGGATGGCCTTAGTGCTTGGGCCTCTGCACTCACCTGGGAAACCTGGAAGAAGCTCCTGGCTCCTGGTTTTGGCCTGGCTCAGCCCTGGCTGTTGCGGCCATTTGGGGAGTGAACCAGCGGATGGAAGATCTCTCTCTCTCTCTTTCTCTATCTGTCCCTCTCTCCCTCTGTAACCCTGACTTTCACATAGGTAGATAAATCTAAAAACAAACAAACAAAAACTAACAGCAAAAAGCCCCACTGTGTTCTTGACCTATATAACTCAGAGAAGCTATCTATGCTTTCATTTTTTTTATTTTTTAATTCTCATTTTATTTGAAAGGCAGAATAAGAGAGAGAGACAGAGACAGAGAGACAGACAGAGAGGCAGAGATAGCTTCCATCCACTGGTGCATTCCCCAGATGCCTGTAATTTCTGGGGCTGGGCTGAAGCCAGGAGCCAGGAACTTACAACAGGTCTCCCATGTGGGTAGCAGGAACTGAACAACTTGAGTCATCATCTTTGTCTCCCTAGGGTGTGCATTAACAGAAAGCTGGATGGGAAGTGGAGCCAGGATTCTGATATGGGATGCAAGCATTCTAAGCAGTGTTTTAACTGCTGCGACAAATGACTGTCCCTATTTTAACACTAAACGTACATCAGTGAAAAGGTTTAAAAACTACTGATCTATGGGATGAAGTCTCAAGTTTTTTCATGATATGTAATGACGTCTTTGATTTGGCTCCCCTTAACAGAGCCAGGCTTACTTCTCATAGCTCCCTGCTGGTCTGTAGTCATCCGTTCAAATCTACTTGCCTACTCTGTCATGCTTACTCTATGTCTCTCTAATGCTGTACACGTGGTTTCTGCCTGACAGTCTCTTCCTCTTAGGGTTCTGCTGGCAAACTTTGATTCACTGTAAAAGTCCAAGTATCACTCATTCTGTGAAGCTTTTCAATATTTCCCAGGAACTGGTACATATACACATCACAGAACAATAATTATCACATTCCTTGTAATTCTCTATGTAACTATTTTGCCTTCTCATCAGTGAACTACTTAAAAAGTTGTAGCCAAGTTGAATGAAGTATCAGTTTTAAACCTAACAGAACTCTCGAGCTCCACAGTTTACCTGAAGCAAGACTGAGAAAAACCACTTAATCGTCCTGAGTACCATTTCCTCATCTGTGAAGCCTAGGTAATATAAATTTGTCATATTTAATTTAAGTATCAAGTGGGTTAACAATGAAAACATGCTGAGCACACAGCAGCAGGTATTTAACAGGTATTGATTCTTCCAGCCTATTATAAACACAAAATAACATTTCAAGGTAAATATTAATAATATATAAGTCATTTTGACAATAAATTCATATTCATGGTAAAAAATTTAGAAAATATGAAAAAGAAAAAAACTCTAATCTCACCATCCAGAGATGACCACCATTAAAAATGTTTATTTTCTTCCAATCTGTTTTCCATGATGGTATTTTTCATTGTGGTTTTGTTGCTTGATATATGTAAAAACATTTTATCAAACAGCATTCTTTTTTTTTTTTTAGAATTATTTTTATTTATTTGAAAGACAGAATTACAGAGAGAGGTAGAGACAGAGAGAGATGTTTTCCATCCACTGGTTTACTCCCCAGTTGGCCGCAACAGCCAGAGCTGTGCTGATCTGAAGCCAGGAGCCAGAAGCTTCCTCCGGGTCTCCCATGCAGATGCAGGGGCCCAAGGACTTGGGCCATCTTCTACTGCTTTCCCAGGCCACAGCAGAGTTGGATTGGAAGAGGAACAGCTGGGACTCAAACTGGTGCCCATATGGGATGCTGGGGCTTCAGGCCAGGGCTTTAACCTGCTGCGCCACAGCGCCAGCCTTATTCTTAAATGTTCAATGCTGGGGCCAGCACTGCAGCGTAGTAGGTTAAGCCTTCGCCTGCAATGCCGACATCCCATATAGGCGCTGGTTTGAGTTCTGCCTGCTCCATTTCTGATCCAGCTCCCTGCTAACATGCCTGGGAAAGCAATAGAGGATGGCCCAAGTGCTTGGGCCCTTGTACCCATGTGGGAGACCTGGAAGAAGCTCCTGGCTCCTGGCTTCAAATGGGCCCAGTTTGGCTACTGTGGCCATTTGGGAAGTGAACCAGTGGATGGAAGACTTCTCTCTTTCCCTCTCTGTCTATAACTCTGCCTCTCAAATAAATACATAAATCTTTTAAAAAATAAATGTTTAATGGATTATTCTTTTTTAAACTTTTATTTAATAAATATAAATTTCAAAAGTACAACTTTTGGATTATATCGGCTTTTTCCCCCCATAACCTCCTCCCACCTGCAACCCTCCCATCCCTTTCTGAGAGATTCATTTTCAATTATCTTTATATACAGAAGATCAATTTAGTATATACTAAGTAAGGATTTCAATAGTTTGCACCCACACAGAAACACAAAGTATAAAGTACTGTTTGAGTATTAGTTATACTGTTAATTCACATACTACAACACATTAAGGACAGAGATCCTACATGGGGAGTAAGTGTACAGTGACTGCTGTTGTTGATTTAACAATTGACACTATTATTTATGGCGTCAGTAATCACCCGAGGCTCTTGTCATGCGTTGCCTAAGCTATGGAAGCCTCTTTAGTTCGCTAACTCTGCTCTTATTTAGACAAGGTCATAGTCAAAGTGGAAGTTCTCTCCTCCCTTCAGAAAAAGGTACCTCCTTCTTTGATGGCCCATTCTTTCTGCTGGGATCACTCGCAGAGATCTTTCATTTAGATTGGTTGGTTGGTTTGTTTATTTGTTTTTGCCAGTCTTGGCTTTCCATGCCTGAAATACTCTCATGGGCTTTTTAGCCAGATCCGAATGCCTTAAGGGCTGAATCTGAGGCCAGAGTGCTGTTTAGGACATTTGCCATTCTATGAGTTTGCTGTGTATCCCGCTTCCCATGTTGGATCATTCTCTCCTCTTTTTAATTCTATCAGTTATTATTAGCAGACACTAGTCTTGTTTATGTGATCCTTTTGACTCTTAATCCTATCATTATGATCAACTGTGAACTGAAACTGATCATTTGGACTAGTGAGATGGCATTGGTACATGCCACCTTGATGGGATTGAATTGGAATCCCCTGGCACGTTTCTAACTCTACCATTAGGGGTTAAGTCCGACGTGCCGAACTGCACATCTCCTCCCTCTCTTATTCCCACTCTTATATTTAACAGGATTATTCTTTTGTGCATATTTTAATTTCAAAATAGTTACCAAAAGAAGGACCAACAGGGCAGGAAGAGAGGAGAAAAGTCTATATAGAGAGGGCAAAGTATGGAGAGATAAGGAAGCATTTTTATTTGCTAGTGGGAGGTAGGATAACTAATTTTTATTAGATACTAAAAATAAAGCAGTATTTTACTTTATTCCAAATGCTCAGAAGTAGGTATTATGTTTGTTTTTTCTTTTAAATTTATTTGAGAGGCAGAGTTATAGAGAGGCAGAAGCAGAGAGAGAGAGAGAAAGAGAGAAAGAAAGAGAGAGAGAGAGAGAGAGAGGTCTTCTATTTACGTGTTCACTCTCCAAATTGCCACAACAGTGGAAGGTGGGCTGACCCAAAGCCAGGAGCCTGGAGCTTCTAATTCTCCCAAGTGGATGCGGCCCAAGCACTTGGACCATCTTCTACTGCTTTCCCCAAACACTGGCAGACAGCTGATCAGAAACAGAACAGCTGGGGCTGAAATCGATGCCCATACGGGATGCCGGCACTGCAAGTGGTGGCTTTACCTGCTATACCACAGCACCAGCCCTGGGTATTATATTTTAAAACCTGTAAGTCCAGGGACTGGCCCTGTGGCACAGTGAGTTAAGCTACAGCCTGCAATACCAGCAATCAAAAGAACACTGGTTCAAGTCCTGGCTGCTCCACTTCTGATCCAGCTCCCTGCCCATGGTGTCCAGGAAGGCAGAGGAAGATGGTCCAACTACCTGTGCCCTTGCCACCCATGTGGAAGACTAGGATGGAGTTTCAGGTTTCTGGCTTCAGACTGGCCCAGCCCCAGCTGTTGCAAACATTTGGGGAGTAAACCAGCAGATGGAAGATTTCTCTGTTTCTCCCTCCTTTTCTGTAACTCTTTCAAGTAAATAGATAAATCATGAAAACATGTAAAATAAAGCAAATAAAACTAATAAAGGTGGAAGCAAACACACAGTTATTTATGAAAATTTAACATTCATGGGGCCGGCACTGTGGCATAGTGGGTTAATGCCCTGGCCTGAAGTGCAGGCATCCCATATGGGCACCAGTTCTAGTCCTGGCTGCTCCTCTTCCTATCCAGCTCTCGGCTATGGCCTGAGAAAGCAGTAGAAGATGGCCCAAATCCTTGGGCCCTTGCACCCGCATGGGAGACCTGGAAGAAGCTCCTGGCTCCTGGCTTCGGATCAGCATAGCTCTGGCCATTGTGGCCAACTGGGGAGTGAACCATCGGATGAAAGATCTCTCTCTCTCTCTCTCTCTCCTCTCTCTGTGTAATTCTGAGTTTCAAATCAATAAATAAATCTTTAAAAAAAAAAAAAGAAAGAAAATTTAACATTCAAGGAAGTTTGATACTCTCTTCATGCTGATTGCATTAAAATTTTTGTGCTTAGATTGTGAAAGCTGTATTAAAATTATTCACTACTATCAAAATTATCTTTAATTTCAAAAATTCAAATTTTATTACAATTATTGCTGATGTAGGATTTTGATGAAAACAAAGCTAAAATATAGACTGCCTGATAAAATTCAAACTTACATTTTGTTGATAGGTTGTTCCAAAAGAATAGGCGGCATTTAGTCTTGCCTCTGTATCTGGACAAAGCTACAGCAAAATAATACAACTAGTAAATATCTCTCAGACCTTTTCTTTGAACATAGTCAAAAGGTTTCACGCCCCAACAAGGATATATGCTGTATATAAAGCCCATTTAATGTTATCAAAGGTATGAAAAGTTAAGGGATCATCTTTCTTATAAATTAAGGTAATAATTTATAGCAGTTTAAGAATACCAATTTAAAGCACTAGAAAGAAAGCAACTGCAGTATGTAACTGATGCTTTCTTCAAGCAATAATCCAGTCTTCTCCTTTTGTCTTTGCCACAGGCAGAAATAAGGAACATCAGTTATACTTGAACTAGAATCTAGCTCACCTGTAAAACACCTCCTTCTAAAGATTGCCACTGGAGAAAATTTCCTCTTATATCATAGGAAGCAGCAACAAACTTCAGTTTTGTATCCTGATTAAAGGAAAAACAAGAATTAAATGTCAAATATTCTGAAAACAATAAGGCGATAAATGAATGTTCATTGTTGACTGAGCCTGTCTCATTTTTGACTGATCTCTTTTGCTAAAAAATTCACTCACTGCTAGTTTGAGTTTAAATTATTCTAATCAATTATATGATTAAATGTAGATACATAAGAGAATTGAACTGGTTTTTTGCATGCAAATGATATCGTAGAAACTGAAAGGGAGCACTAGTGATAGATAATTGTTTAAAATTGTTAAATGGAGGTGTGGGCAGGAGAATACTTTCATTCTTTCCTCTGGAAGGCCACAAGGTAGAGGTGGAAATTTGGACCTGTGAGTGCTGGGAAATGACACAGAGCCCCAATCCATCTTGGAGGCACTTCTTCAAAATGTGGAAGTGCAGAAGGGCAGAGATTGTTTTGCACTTGATGAGGAAAACTGTTTTTCCTAATCCCACAAGTACCACTTATTGCAATTATTTCATCCTGAGGTATCCATGTACTTAGGACCGCTGAACTCTAGTTCCTATGTGTAGCTGAAATCTTTATCTAGTTTAGTAACTAAATTTTTAAGAATAACCTACCAACAACTGTGACTAATAACATCATTACCTTTTAAAATTGTAAATCAAAATGTAGTTAATTCTCTAAAGATATAATAAGTTGTACCTGGTTTTGTCCTTTAAAACTGAAATTTGTAGGAAGTGGTGTAGTAGTGAGTACTTGAGGTGCTAATCCTAGCTGATCTCCATAAAACAGCCATGGAAGGTTCTGTCTCCTATAAATAATTACAATTGTTTTAATAACTTTGAAGAGTCATTTATTAGCATTTTTGAAAATAATGCACTGAGTTGGGTCAATATGGCATTTTATCAATCAAAATGACATTTCATCAGTAAAAATCATTTCCTTACCAAAATGAAATAGAATGAACAGTGCCGAGTGCTGCAGTATTTTCAAAAACAAACTGAAACAGTCGACATGCATCAAATGTAGCAGAGTCGTAAGAATTCATGTTCATTACACACATATTTCCAAGAGTTTGGCAAGATGTTAGATTGGCATACACCTATTAAACAATAGCAAAGAAATGTAATATGACCTTAACAGACTAAGCAAATTTGAAATAAAAAAATTATGCATCATTTGAATATGATTCATTCTAATTCTTTTAAATTAAAATTCTTTTGTTCTTTAATATCTTTCCTCTAGCTTTAACAGAAAAGAAACTTTCCATATGGGAAAACAAATAATATGTACGTCATAATTATAAAATTTAGGCTAAAATACAAAGACAAACTACTGAAAGAACTAAGTAAAAAACTTATAGCATGATATTTTTAAAAATTACTAAACAAGGGCCGGCGCCGCGGCTCACTAGGCTAATCCTCTGCCTAGCAGTGCCGGCATACCGGGTTCTAGTCACGGTCAGGGCGCCGGATTCTGTCCCGGTTGCCCCTCTTCCAGGCCAGCTCTCTGCTGTGGCCAGGGAGTGCAGTGGAGGATGGCCCAAGTACTTGGGCCCTGCACCCCATGGGAGACCAGGATAAGTACCTGGCTCCTGCCATCGGATCAGCGCGTTGCGCCGGCTGCAGCGCGCCAGCCGCGGCGGCCATTGGAGGGTGAACCAACGGCAAAAGGAAGACCTTTCTCTCTGTCTCTCTCTCTCACTGTCCACTCTGCCTGTCAAAAAATAAAAAAAAAAAAAAATAAAAAAAAAATAAATTATTAAACAAAATATTAACATTTGAAAGAACAATGCTTATATATTAGATCTTATACATCTAACCCATTTTAAGTAATTTGTCTCCAAGGACAGGGAGAGGAAGCGACAAGATAGGAAAGAGAGAAAGAAAGAGAGCCAGTGAGTACACATGCTATCTTCCAGCTGTGGTTCACTCCCTATATGGTCACAATACCAGTGCTGAGCCAGAAACTCTATAGTGGTCTCCCATATGGTTGGCAGGGATGCAAGTACTTGAGCTATCCTCAGCTGCCTTCCCAGCTGTATTAGCAGGGGCTAGATCAGAAGGGGAGCAACTAGGACATGAACTAGCGCTTCAGTTTGAGATGTTAGCATCACAAGTGGTGGCTTAGCCCATTGTACTACAAGGCCAGCCTCCCATTTCTATTTCTAGGGTAGCAGTCTTGTCTGCACACCTAGTATCTATCACTTGGATTACTGTACTATTCCCCTAAACAATTTTCCTTTATTCTGTCCTTGCTCCAACAAACTCTGTACTCTAGGCTATGGTGATCCTTTCAAAACCCAAAATAAGATCATGTCTTTGCACAGAATTCTTCTATTTCCCTTTGAGCAAACCCCAGGTCCTTGCAACAATCACTTCCTTTTTTTTTTTTTTTTTTTTTTTTTTTACAGGCAGAGTGGACAGTGAGAGAGAGAGACAGAGAGAAAGGTCTTTCTTTACCGTTGGTTCACCCTCCAATGGCCGCCGTGGCCGGCAAGCTGCAGCCGGTGCACCGCGCTGATCCAAAGGCAGGAGCCAGGTGCTTATCCTGGTCTCCTGTCGGGTGCAGGGCCCAAGCACTTGGGCCATCCTCCACTGGATTCCTGGGCCATAGCAGAGAGCTGGCCTGGAAGAGGGGCAACTGGAACAGAATCCGGCACCCCGACCTGGACTAGAACCCGGTGTGCTGGTGCCGCTAGGCGGAGGATTAGCCTGTTGAGCTGCGGCGCCGGCTTAACAATCACTTCCTACATTCTGATCTCATTTCCCTTCCACTTTCCCTGCCTACTCTGCTTCTTTAGTGAAGTGCTTTGGGGTCTCTAATCTTGCTGTGCTCTCTGTTTAGAATACTCTTCCCCTACATATGCACATGGTTCACTCCCACTTCTTTGCTCAAATATCCCCCTTTGAGAAGTGCCTGTCCTGACCATCCTTCACGACATAGTACCCCCTACTCTCTATATTACTTACCCTGAATTATTACCTTCATAGCACTTAGTATAACCTGACATTCACAAAGACTAAAACTTCAAAAGCGATTTTTTTCTTTTTCTGAAATATTTAACCTTGTCTGAGAACAGGCCCTGATCCACAGGAGGTCATCAATAAACATTTATTAAATGACAAACAGCTTCCCCTCCCAATCAATCCCAGTAGAATAAGCCTGTATAAATTCAATTTAATATACGGAATGATATTTTCTTTATGTAATCTCTTTCAATCCACTAGAAAAGATTTGTTCTTGCAGACTATGGCCATGAAGACATATCTATTCAGAAGACAAACTTAATTCTTCAAAATAAAATATTTTTAAAAAATTTAACTTACACAACATGCAGCTGCTGATGATTGCAAGTACTTTGCAAACCATTCTGAAGTTAAAGAAATGCCCTATAAACAAAGAGATGAATTTTAAGTTCAAATGAAGATTCCTAAACACCACACCATTATATATAAATATATATGTTGTTGAATGGGAAATGACTAATGTCACTTTCTCAAAGTTAGTGGAAAAATAGATTCTAATGAGAATATAAAAATTACTTGTATCTAATATCATTTATTGCAAATACACTGTATTAAAAATAATGACATGTAGGCAAAAATTAGAATGTATCCATTATCCAAAAAACCTATGCTCATTTCACTAATACAAGAAATGCAGTGGCAAAAAAAAAAAAAAAAAAAAGAAAAGTAGTAGATTTTGACAGTGTACTGAGATGTTAGCATTTGCTGATTTAGAATATTATGAATATGGCATTAAATTGACAATAAACAGAAATTTGAAGAATGATTTGAAATCTCCAAAGCAGTGCATAGAATCTCTTGTGGAATTTTCTAAACATAGAAAATAACTGGCTTCATTCCAAGTGAAAGTAACTCAGAATCTCTAGATGAGATCAAAGCATACATGAGTTTTGAAAGCTATATATACAAACCTCTCCTAAGAACCACTGTTTTAAAGCTTATCTATATGTCTTGTTAAAAAAACGAGACACTGAGAAGCATCATTCAGACTAAGCTGACTGTACAAAGACAGAGTAGACATTACCATATTACCAAACTACATGGTACATGGCACCACGGCTAACAAAGAAATCTAAAGCAAAATGATGAGGTACTATTTTCATCTCTTCAATGAGCAAAACCTCTCATTTGTAAGAAAAAATATACACATAGAAAAAGGTTGAAGGGGGCATGCACTGTGGCACAGTGGGGAAGTTGCTGCCTGGGATACCCCATCTCATATGAGGGCCAGTTTGAGCCCTGGCTACTCTACTGCGCTTATGACTCACCTTCCTGCTAACATGCCTGGGAGACCAGGATGGAGTTCCTGGCTCCTGGCTTCTGCCTGGTCTAGACCTGGTTGTTGCAGGCATGTGGGGACTGAACCAGAGGACGGAAGATATCTATCTATCTATCTCTCTCTCTCTCCCTCTCTCTCTGTTTCTGTCTCTCTCTCTCTTTCCGTCTCTCTCTGTCTCTCTTTCAAATAAATAAAAATAAATCTTAGAGAAAGATTGAAGGACACACACACACACACACAACTGGTAAAGCGAAAACTGGGAAGCAGAGACAACAGTACCAGCAAATGCATGTAAAATGGAGCCACATACAGTGCCAGTGATAGCACAGGAGCTGCATGATCCTTTCACAAAGTAATACCCACATACTCTAACCCAGGACTTTAGAAACATTTAGGAAATTTATCTTAATGCAATAATTCCTACATATAGTAAAATACATTCTTATGCACAAGATCGTTGGCAACCATGTTATTAACAATTAAAAACTTAAATATTCACAGGAAGTACAATTATATAAATTTCAGTGCATAAACTAGATTAACACATAACTATTAAAATTATCAGAGCAGGGGCCTGGGCTGTGGCATGGAGGGTAAAGCCCCCACCTGCAGTGCAGGCATCCCGTATGGGCACCGGTTTGAGACCTAGCTGCTCCACTTCCGATCTAGCTCTCTGCTATGGCCTGGGAAAGCAGTAAAAGATGGCCCAAGTCCTTGGGCCCCTGCACCCATGTGGGAGACCTGGAAGAAGCTCCTGGTTCCTGGCTTTGGATCAGTGCAGCTCCAGCTGTTGCGACTATCTGGGGAGTGAACCAGTGGATGGAAGACCTCTCTCTCTCTCTGCCTCTGTCTCTCTGTAACTCTGCCTTTCAGATAAATAAATAAATCTTAAACAACAACAAAAAATTATCAGGGCTGGCTCTGTGGCGCAGCATGTTAAAACCACTGCCTGCTGGCAAAAACAAAAAAAACAAAAAAAAACAAAAAAAAAACAACCAAACAAGCCCACAGCACCAGCGTCTCTTATGGGCGCCGGTTCAAGTCCTGGCTGCTCCATTTCCAATCCAGCTCCCTGCTAATGCGCCTGGGCAAGCAGTGGAGGATGGCCCAAGTCCTTGGGCCCCTGCACTGACATGGGAGACCCAGAAGCAGCTCCTGGTTCCTGATAAGCTCAGCTCTGGCCATTGTGGCCATTTAAGGAGTGAACCAGCAGATGGAAGACGTCTTTCACACTCTGTCTCTATCTCTCTCTGTAATCTTTTAAAAAATTATCAATTATACAAGGTAAGCCTCAAATATGGTATTAAAAAAACATGGAAGTGCCTAAAGCCTATGGAGCTATGTCATAACAACACAGGAGCGATCTTACAGGGAAGTTTAAATTTGGTACATGTTAGCTTTGAAAAGAATACCAGTAACTGTTTATAACACATGAAAGATTCCATGAGATCACAGTAAATCCTAAAAAGAAAAAGCACAGAAAGAAGGTTTACCAGTCAATGTAGAGGAAATAACAGAATTATGGAATCATTAGAAATGACACATTTAATAATTAAGGCAAAGTTCATCAATGGTTATTTACATAGTCTCCAATTCTCCAATTACACAGTCTCAGACTAATTCATTAATTTACTTAATCTGCCACAGAGTGGCAGATACAACTGTGACCAAGTACCACCAATAACTGGACAACAGTGAGATATATTTGTGTAAGATTCTTGTAAAAGGATGTTTCACTGAGTCTCATCATGCGAAGACAGTCAGAAAAATCCAGAAAAGAAACAAACCAAACCCACAAAAGCAAAATGGAACAGGTATGACCTTTACATTACGGGAGAAGAGACTTAAAAGGACTAACTGCAATGTAGGATCCTTGATTGGATCTTGAATTCCTTCCCCTCCAAATAGGGGAAGTGGAATAAAGGATACTATTGAAACGATTGGGGATATTTAGATATGAACATATAACAGACCATTCTATTATACTAATTTTAACTTCTTGGCTGTGATGTTAGGTAAATGTCTTGCTCTTAAGTATACACTAAAGTATGTGAAATGAAATGTCATGTCTGTAACTTGTTTTGAAATAGCTCAGGAGGAAAAACATCTATGTGTGTGTATGTATTTAAAAAGATAAAGCAAATGTGGCAAAACAAAAATTGAATAACCTAAGTAAAAGACACATGTATAGTCACTGTCTTGTTCTTTGAACTTTTCTGCAATTTCAAAATTTTTCAAAATAAAAGTTGTGAAAAACAATAAGCCAAGATGCTAGTTCACTATGATCATCTTTTAGGAAAGGGAATGGAAAAACACTAACTTATAGAACAGATTTAAGAATAAAAGGTTGGGATTGAAAACAAGAGAGTGTATGGGGCCGGCGCTGTGGCATAGTGAGTAAAGCCGCAGCCTGCAGTGTCGGCATCACATATGGGTACTGGTTCAAGTCCTGGCTGTTCCACTTCCGATCTTGCTCTCTGCTGTGGCCTGGGAAAGCAGTAGAGGATGGCCCAAGTTCTTGGGCCCCTGCACCTGTGTGGGAGACCCGGAAGAAGCTCCTGGCTTTGAATCAGCACAGCTCTGGCTGTTGCGGTCACTTAGGGGGTGAATCAGTGGATGGAAGACCTCTCTCTCTCTCTCTCTGTAACTCTTTCAAATAAATAAATAAAAAGACTTATTTATTTGAGAGGCAGAATGATAGAAAAAGAGGGAGAGACAGAGACAGAGAGATCTTCCATTGGCTATTCACTCCCAAAATGCCTGCAACAGCCAGTACTGGATCAGGCCAAAGTCATGAGCCAGTAATTTTGCCCTAGTCTCCTACATTGACTGGTAGGGGCCCAAGTACTTGGGCCATCTTCCACTGCCTTCCCAGGCATATTAGCAGGGAACTGGATCAGAATCAGCACTCTGATAAGCAGTGCTGGTTGCAAGCAGTTGCTTAACCCATTGCATCACAACGCCAGCCCCAGTAATTTCTATTTTACAGTGAGTTACACATAAATGTTTCTCATTTTAGTTCAAAATTAATTACCAGAGGAAGAAACACAGAAAGTTCTTTAATAATGAAAAAAAAAATCAAAACATACTCACGAGCTCTGCATAACGCGCAGTTGAAATCATACGTGGAGGAAAATTCCTTGTGTTGCTGAAACACAATCCCCCTGTCTTCACAAATAGACAGGGGAGAAAAAAAATCTAGTTTATGGACATGAATATGCAATTGAATTAAAAAATATAAACTTGATTGATTAGATTAGCCTTACTAAAATGTTAGGTTCTGAACATGCACAGGACCGGCTGGTATTAATGAATGTTGGTTCACATCGAACACACCTGTTCAATATAACAGAAATAATTTTTAAAATGTTAAAGGATTATACTTTACTGATTTAATTAAGCACAGCGCATAGCAAGCTGTACTAATTTAATTAAGAACTTGTTTTCCTAACTGTTGTATTAGAATAGATTCATTCATTTAAACAATTACTTAAATAAAATTAAAATATAATGCTCATCTGAATATATTTATATCACTCTTGGAAATGTAAGACAAAGTAATCAAGATAATCAACCACTGATGACTATTTTTGAGTTACACAGAATATAGAGAATAAATAATACTGAATATATAAGTCACTCAAAAAAGAGGCCAAAATTCATAAATATGAAACTAAGTCAATATTTACAAGTAGTTATATCAAATATGCTTTATTTTATCTGTCACAAAACAAAAAAGTAGCACAGGCTGAAAAATATTATCTTCTCATCAAACATATAGCTAGTATTTTGTTTTTTGAAAGACATAGTTATTTATTTGAAAGGCAGTATTAGAGAGAGAGAGAGAGAGAGAGAGAGAGAGAAAGAGAGATAGAGACAGAGACAGAGAGGTCTTCCATCCATGGGTTCACTCCCCAAATGGCCGCAATGGCCAGGGCTAGGCCAGGCCAAAGCCAGGAGCTAAGAGCTTCTTCCAGGTCTCCCACATGGGTGCAGAGGCCCAGGCACTTGGGCCATCCTTTGCTGCATTCCCAGGAGCATTAGCAGGAAGCTGGATGGGGAGTGAACAGGTGGGACTCATACTGGGCACCTATATGGGATGTCAGCACTGTAGGCGGCAGCTTAACCTGCCACACCACAACCACAGCCCCTTAGCTGATATTTTTTTTTTAATAATTTTTTTTTAATTTTTTTATTTATTTTTGACAGGCAGAGTGGACAGTGAGAGAGAGAGAGACAGAGAGAAAGGTCTTCCTTTGCCGTTGGTTCACCCTCCAATGGCCGCCGCGGCCGGAGCACCGCGCTGATCCGATGGCAGGAGCCAGGTGCTTCTCCTGGTCTCCCATGGGGTGCAGGGCCCAAGCACTTGGGCCATCCTCCACTGCACTCCCTGGCCACAGCAGAGAGCTGGCCTGGAAGAGGGGCAGAACCGGCGCCTCAACCGGGACTAGAACCAGGTGTGCCGGCGCCGCAAGGCGGAGGATTAGCCTAGTGAGCCGCGGCGCCGGCTCCTTAGCTGATATTTTAAAAATAGAGCTATCATCTTTATTTTATGAAAATACTTCATTTTTTGCATTAATGAATGAGATAGAGGGAAGGAAGGTATTGGATTAGCAGAGACACTGATGAGTATATATGGGTATTCATTACTTGCAAGAGAGAACATGTAGGAAATGGGCCTGGGCACAGCATAAAACTCAGACTAGGCTTGGAGAAGTATTAGAGGGGTAAGCTTGGGGATGAGCCCAGTAGTCAATATCTGGATTTTGCAACTCAGGTCAACCTAAGATGACCCAACAGTAACTATCCCCAGAATTAGCTTCTCAACTACTTTTTGTATTAAACTTGGAAACTTAGAACTGTGCTTAGAAGAAATTTATCACATAGGCTTCTAAAAAAATTGAAACTAAAATAGGTATAATGTGTTTACATTAGAGGGAGTGTGTAGGTAGAAGTATGTGTGTGGAGTGCACAAAAACATACATAAAGGAGGAACAGGAAGTCATAAAATATAGTGTTATAAATCACTATATCTGGGGCTGGCGCTGTGGTGTAGTAGGTAAAGCTGCCCCCTATGGTGCCAGCATCCCATATGGGCGCTGGTTCGAGATCCGGCTGTTCCTCTTCCAATCCAGCTCCCCTCCGTGGCCTGGGAGAGCAGCAGAGGATGGCCTAAGTCCCCTGTACCCATGTGGGAGACCCGAGGACTCCTGGCTCCTGGCTTGGGTTTGACACAGCTCCCGCCGTTGCGGCCAGCTGGGGAGTGAACCAGCGGATGGAGGATGTCTCTCTCTGTCTCTGCCTCTCCTTCTCTCTCCGTGTAACTCTGACTTTCAAATAAATAAATAAATCTATTAAAAAAATAAATCACTGTATCTGTATTATAATTAGTAAACAGTTACTAACATGTTTTCTGGTATAACATTAAAATACATACTTTAGCACAGTACTTGGCACATAATTATGTACAAATTACATAGCAACAAAACATAGCTACATTTTATGGAGCCATTAATACATAGCACTACGCTAAGAAATTTGCATGTGATTTCTGAGCCATCACAGCCTGTAAATAGGTGGTATATTCTAAAGACATGGGACTGTGACTTATTGAACTATCCAAAGGTAAACAACCAATAGACTGAGCCAAGATTTGATCTGTATTCTGTCTCATGCTCCAGGCCTCGCTTCTTCACCTGTCAATGTCTACTTTTTTTGTTGTTGTTGTTTTTGACAGACAGAGTGGATAGTTAGAGAGAGAGACAGAGAGAAAGGTCTTCCTTTTTGCCATTGGTTCACCTTCCAATGGCCGCCACGGCTGGCGCGCTACGACCTCTGAAGGCAGGAGCCAGGTGCTTCTTCTGGTCTCCCATGGGGTGCATGGCCCAAGCACTTGGACCATCCTCCACTGCCTTCCCGGGCCACAGCAGAGAGCTGGCCTGGAAGAGGGGCAACCGGGACAGAATTCGGTGCCCCGACCGGGACTAGAACCCGGTGTGCCGGCGCCGCTAGGCGGAGGATTAGCCTATTGAGCCGCGGCGCCGGCCCAATGTCTACTTCTAACCTCTGTCAGGTTACTGTGAGCAACAAGTAATGTGAGAGGAAAATACTTTCTAAAATTACAAATTATAAGTAAATATATGATAATATTAACAAAGCCAACTCCCAGTGTACTACTTACCTGTTTCCTAAAGCATTTGCAACCGTAAAGGAGTCTTCCTTTTCATCACAGCGCTCACAAGTTGCTTGAGACAACAAGGTCCCATTAGCATCTCTTTCCACTAAACAATTTAGAAGCAAAGTTAAGACATAATGAACATACAAGTTTCTATATACTAAGAAAATACTTAATAAAATCCACTTGTAATTATTATTCCAAAAATTCTCAAAACACTTTCTTTGCACAAAGGTATGTCACACATCTTCATAATAAAGTATGGAAGAGGGGCCAGCACTGTGGTGTTAGTGGATAAAGCCATGGCCTGCAGTGCCAGCATCCCATATGGGCGCTGGTTCGAGTCCCGGCTGCTTCACTTTTTTTTTTTTTGGACAGGCAGAGTAGACAGTGAGAGAGAGAGAGACAGAGAGGAAGGTCTTCCTTTTTCCATTGGTTCACCCTGCAATGGCCGCTGCGCTACGGCCAGCGCGCCACGTTGATCCGAAGCCAGGAGCCAGGTGCTTCTGGTCTCCCATGCAGGTACAGGGCCCAAGGACTTTGGGCCATCCTCCACTGCACTCCTGGGCCATAGCAGAGAGCTGGACAGGAAGAGGAGCGACTGGGACAGAATCCAGCGCTCCAACCGACAGGGACTAGAACCCGGTGTGCTGGCGCTGCAGGCAGAGGATTAACCTATTGAGCCGCGGCGCCGGCCTGCTTCACTTTTGATCCAGCTCTCTGCTATGGCCTGGAAAAGCAGTAGAAGATGGCCCTAGTGCTTGGGCCCCTGCACCCGTGTGGGAGACCTGGAAGAAACTCCTGGCTCCTAGCTTTGGATCAGCCCAATTCCAGTCATTATGGCCATTTGGGGAATGTACTAGTGGATGGAAGATCTCTCTCTCTGACTCTTCCTCTTTGTCACTCTGTTTTTCAAATAAATAAGTAAATCTTTAAAAAAAGTATGGAAGAGCAAAGCCTTTAGATACAAAAAGTGAAACTGTATTATTGTAGGGTATGAGAATTTAAAACTTTAATAGATACTACCAAAAATCCTCCAAGTTATAGAAGCACAGTGTGACAGGACTATATAGGTAGGGAATAAAATCTTTGAGGAAAAAATATTACTGATTTATTGTTATGGTGACTTGAAACTACTTTCTATATTTTTTAGGGTAAATAGGAAAGGCTTTGCTCTTGAATATATTCTCTGAAGCATGATTTGTTAGAAAACAACCTAAATACATATCTAAAACAGCAAAATAGTGGTACATGCATAATGTGAAATACTGTAAACAGACTGAAAAGAATTTACTGCAAGAGGTAAATCTAAAGGATTATGTTGTTAACTGAAGAAAGTATGCTACAGAGCAATACTGGGGGTACGAAACATTTATGTAAAAATACCACTTATATTTCCTGTGACTATAATGTAGATCTTTATGATAAAAGAGGAAGAAAATGGGGGTTGGCGTTGTGGAACAGCAGCATAAGTCACCACCCACAGCGCCAGCCTCCCATGTAAGTGCCAGTTCAAGTCCCAGCTGCTCCACTTCTGATTCAGCTCCCTAACTGATGTGCCTGGGAAAGCAACAGAGGATAATCCAAGTGCTTGGGCTTCTGCCACCCACGTGGGAGATCAGGAAGAAGTTCCTGGCTTCTAGCATCAGCCTGGCACAGTACCGGCCATTGTGGCCATTTGGGGAGTGTATTACGGATAGAAGATCTCTCTCTCTGTCCCTATCTCTATCTGTAACTCTGACTTTCAAATAAGTAAGATTCTTTTTTTAAAGAAGAAGATTCTGGAAGGACACACACATACACACTCCAAAATGATAAGGATTACTTTGGGGCTGAGAAGAATTAGTATTGGAAAAAACAGAGAGGACTTTAGTCTTATCCATGACTAAGTTTTTGGATGGTGACAAAAAAATAACTAACAAAAATAAAGGGGAAACACTCTCTCCTCCTACAGTTGTCCCTACTTCAATAAATGGTAACTGCATTTAACCATGTATTTACCTAAGTCTCAGTCCTCAGTGTCTTCTCTTCTCATGTTTCACATTAAAACAAATAAACAAATCTGCAAATCCTTTCAAGTGTCTCTTCAAAATATATTCAGAAATGGAATTATTTTCTCTACCTCTACAATAAATCATTGGCACAAATACCACCAGCTATTACTTGGGCTTTCCTAACAGCTTCCTTCGTAGAGTGCTGTTTTCATGCTCAATGCAAAAGACAGAGTAAGCCTTTTACTGTTTAATTCTTTTTTATTTACTTGAAAATAGAACAAGTGATTACCTACCTATCTATCTAATTATCTATCCTATCTATCTTCCATCTGCTGCTTCATTCCTCAAATGCCCACAATAAGCAGGGTTAAGCCAGGCCAAAGCCAGGAACCTGGAACTCCATCTGGGTGTCCACATGGGTAGCAGAAGCACAGGTACTTGGGCCATCACCTCAGGATGCATTAGCAGGAAGCTGGATAGGAAGCAGAGGAGCTGAGACTCAAACCTGGCACTCTGATAAGGGATATAGGAGTCCCAAGCAGCAGCTTAACCCACTGTGCCACAACGCCCAATCCTAGGGTAAACTGCACAATCTGGTAAACCGTTTAAAACCTGAGTATGATCATGTCATGCTTCTTCTTACCCTCTACCATGTATTAAGCATCTTAATTGGATAAAGTCTACACTCTCCTCTCTCCTAGTACCACCAGCCCCCAACTTTGAATTAAACGCCTACATGAGTTCCAGAGCCAAATCCTCTCTGAACCATAGCATACTTGTTTTCTTTAACAGAATTTCTTGGCTTTTCATATATTATTCCTGACAAACTTTAGGGCCTGGTCAAATTTATTAGGGCTTGTTTAAATGTATAGAGTAGTGGGAGAGGTAACATCTTTTTATTTAATCTTCCAATCCAAAAATGAAAAATCTATTTTCATTTATTAAAGCTTGCTTTTGTGCTTTTCAGAAGCGTTCAAAAATTTCTTAAGGTATCAATCTTGCAGATTTCTTCTGAAGTTTATGCCTAAGTATTTTTTCTTTTTTTTTGGTTGGAAAATGAGATGCTTTCTCCCAATATATTTTCTTTTTTTAAAAGATTTATTTTGGGCCGGCGCCGCAGCTCACTAGGCTAATCCTCCGCCTAGCGGCGCCGGCACACCGGGTTCTAGTCCCGGTTGGGGCGCCGGATTCTGTCCCGGTTGCCCCTCTTCCAGGCCAGCTCTCTGCTGTGGCCCGGGAGTGCAGTGGAGGATGGCCCAGGTGCTTGGGCCCTGCACCCCATGGGAGACCAGGAAAAGCACCTGGCTCCTGGCTCCTGCCACCGGATCAGCGCGGTGCGCTGGCCGCGGCGGCCATTGGAGGGTGAACCAACGGCAAAAGGAAGACCTTTCTCTCTGTCTCTCTCTCTCACTGTCCACTCTGCCTGTCAAAAAAAAAAAAAAAAAAAAAAAAAAAAAAAAAAATCAAAAAAAAAAAAAAAAAAGATTTATTTTGGACCAGTGCTGTGGCATAGTGGGTTAAGCTGCTGCCTGTAGCGCCAGCATCCCATATGGGTGCCGGTTTGAGTCCCAGCTTCTCCATTCCCAATCCAGCTTCCAGCTCCCTGTTAAAGAACCTGGGAAAGCAGTAGGAGATGGCCCCAGGGCTTGGGCCCTTCCATCCACGTGGGAAACCTAGAAGAAGCTCCTGGTTTCTGCCTTCAGCCTGGGTCAGCCCCAGCTGTTGCAGTCATTTGGGGAGTGAACCAGTGGACGGAAGACCTCTCTCTGTGTCTCTTCCTTTCTCTCTGTAACTCTTTCAAATAAATAAAATAAATTTTTAAAAAATTATTTATTTATTTGAAAATCAGAGTTATAGAGAGGAGGAGAGCCAGAAGGAGAGACAGAGAAAGAGATCTTTCATCCGTTGGTTTACTTCCCAAAAGGTTGCAACAGCTGGGACTGGGCCAGGCTGAACCAAGAACTAGGAACTCCATCTGAATCTGCCACATGGGTGGCAGGGGCCCAAGTACCTGGGCCATTTTCCACTGCTTTCCCAGGTAAGTTAGCAGGGAGCTGGACAGGAAGTAGAACAGCTAGGACTAGAACTGGTACCATATGGAATGCGGGCACTGCAGGTAGAGTCTTAACCTGCTGAGCCCCAATGGCTAGCCTGCTTATCACATTTTCTAAAGGACTGTTAGTTTTATATAGAAAGATTACTACTCTTTGCATATTAATTTTATATCTGGGATCTTTAAAACCATAATAATGTTTGGTGACTCCCTTGGGTTTTCTATAAAATAAAATAAAATCATCTGCAAATAATGATTTTTCATTTTTTCCTTTCTGATGAGTTTTTTTCTGTCTTACTTAAGTACATAGTTTACAATTTTTGCCAGGTCCTGTCATTCATAGGAATGCTTATAATTTCCCCAACATGATTAAGTAGTTGAGGCATATATTTTATCTTATAAAGAAGTAGCCATCCAATCCTACTTCATAAAGATTTTTTTTTCAAGATTGATTTATCTGAAAGGCAGAGTTACAGAGAGGCAGAGGCAGAGAGAAAGGTCTTCCATCCACTGGTTCACTCCCCAAATGGCTGCAATGGCTAGAGCTGGGATGATCCAATGCCAAGAACCAGGAGTTTTTTCCCAGTCTCCCATGTGGGTGCAGAGGCCCAAGGACTTGGGCAATCTTCTAGGGAGCTGGATCAGAAAGTCACAAACTGCCACCCATATGGGATGCTGGCATTGCAGGCAGCAGCTTTACCTGCTACACCACAACACTGGCCCCTATAAAGATTTTTTTAAAAAGCCTGTTAACATCTTAACTGACATTAAATTTTGTACAAAAATAATTTCTCAAGATACTTTTAATTACCAAGCTATTTAAATTAAAGTCCTTTTCTTTTTTCTCTGTTTTTTCTTTTTTTGACAGGCAGAGTGGACAGTGAGAGAGAGAGACAGAGAGAAAGGTCTTCCTTTTGCCGTTGGTTCACCCTCCAATGGCCGCCGCGGCCAGCGCACCGCGCTGATCCGATGGCAGGAGCCAGGAGCCAGGTGCTTTTCCTGATCTCCCATGGGGTGCAGGGCCCAAGCACCTGGGCCATCCTCCACTGCACTCCCGGGCCACAGCAGAGAGCTGGCCTGGAAGAGGGGCAACCGGGACAGAATCCGGCGCCCCAACCGGGACTAGAACCCGGTGTGCCGGCGCCGCTAGGCGGAGGATTAGCCTAGTGAGCTGCGGCGCCGGCCCTAAAGTCCTTTTCAAAAAGCAAACATGGGGCTAGTGTTGTGGCTAGGCTGCTGCTTATGATGCCAGTATGCCATATCATAATGCCTGATTGAATACTTCTGATTCCATTCCAGTTCCTTGCTAATGTGCCTGGGAAGGAAGCAGAAGATGGCTCAAGTATTTGGGCCTCTGCCACCCATAAGGGAGACCAGTTTGGAGTTTCTGGCTCCTGGCTTTGGCCTGGACCAGTCGTGGTTGTTGTGGACATCTGGGTATTTGGGGACTGAATCAGTGGATGGAAGTTCTGGCTGTCTCTTTATCTTTCTCTCTGTGTAACTCTGCCTTTCAAATAAATAAATAAGTCCTGAAAAAAATAAATAAAATAGAAAGTATCCAAGAAATTATGAATTGATACTTAAAAAACACACAGCTATAATGTAAATTAAAAATGTTATCTCAAAAATTAGAAAGAATGAGAGAAGGAAGAAAATTATCACTGTATTCTTAGAATTGTATGTGTGAACTACTTTCAATTGATTCTTTGTATTAAAATAATTTTTTAAAAATTGAAACAAATTCCTTTCCTTTATAAAGTTAAAAAGACCAAAAAACACAAACACATATGAAGATTCATTGTTACCATTTCATAAACAATCTAATTCTTACCTAAAATATGGCCAGTGGGACAGTGGCATTTTCCTTCTGCAGTTAAGCCACTAGGACAAGAAATGCAGTTCCAGCCATCTTCAGTAACACCTTTCTAAATTAAAAAAAAAAAAAAAGAACTTTATTCCACTTTTAAGCTGAACTGCCTCTTCTTAATCATATAGGTTCAAAAAGCCACAACAGTGTAACTTTTAGTGAATATTCAACACCATACATGTGTGAGATGTGTAAGAATTCCCTGGGACAGCGAGGTGGCATAGATGTGTTAAGCCTCCACCTGCAGTGATGGCATCCCATATCGGCACTGGTTCAAGTTCCTGCTGTTCCATCACTTGCAATTCAGCTTCCTGCTAATGTGCTTAAGAAAGCAGTAGAAGATGGCATAAGTGCTTGGGCCCCTGTATCCATGTGGGAGACAAGGAAAAAGCTCCTGGCTTCTGGCTTCAGCCTGGCCCAGCCCTGGTGGGTGAAGCCATTTGGGGAGTGAACCAGCAGATGGAAGATCTCTTGATCTCTCTCCCTTTCTCTATCTCTACCTTTCAAATAGATAAATAAATCTTCAAAAAAAAATTCCTTGAGGCCAGTGCTATGGCGCAGTGGGTTAAAGCCCTGGCCTGAAGCGCTGGTTCGAGACCCGGCTGCTCCACTTCCAATCCAGCTCTCTGCTATGGCCTGGGAAAGCAGTAGAAGATGGCCCAAGTCCTAGGGCCCCTGCATCCACGTGAGAAGACCTGGAGGAAGCTCTGGCTCCTGAATTTGGATCGGCACAGCTCTGGCCATTGCAGCCAATTGGGGAGTGAACCAGCGGATGGAAGACCTCTCTCTCTTTCTGCCTCTCCTTCTCTCTCTGTGTAACTCTGAGTTTCAAATAAATAAATAAATAAATCTTTAAAAAAATTCCCTGAATAGCTAATTCATACTTATTTTCTAAAATTAATTTATATATTAATATATGTAGATACTATTAAGAGATCAATTTTTGGTAATAGTTCTTCTTCATGATCTTTAGTTCAAAAGGATTCTTTCATAATTAATTTTGTCATTTAATTTTTCCATTTACAAATACGAAGATTCTTAAAAAGTTTGTAGAAAACTGAACTAAAGGATGTTTATTTTGGTCCAAACAATTTTGAAAGCCACACAGAGATCTTCAAAAAGTTCATGAAAAATGTGTTTTATGGTAAAAATATGTATGCACTCCAAATTTTTTTGCAGCAAAATAAACACCTTTTAATTACATTTTTCCATGAACTCTTTGAAGTACCTTTGGATACTTCAAATATTAATACCTTAGGATACAACAAATATTAACAGAATTTAGTAAATGTTCCAAAATTACTTTTTAAAAAATCCAAATACATTAACTTTTAAAATTTAATTTTTGAATATTATGGTATGTAGATACATAATATTGAGGCCAATGTTGTAGCATAGTTAAGCCAACGCCTGAGACACCAGCAGTCCCACTTCTGATCCAGCTCCTTGCTAGCGTCCCTGGGAAAGCTGTGGAAGATGGCCTAAGAGCTTGGGCTCCTGCCATCCATGTGAGAGATCCGGATGGAGTTCCAGAATTCTGGCTTCAGCCTGGTGGGGCCCTTGCAACGGCCAATGGGGAGTGAACCAGGTAATGGAAGATCTCCCTTTGCCTCACCCGCTGTTTCTGTAACTCTTTCAAATGAGTCAATAAATATTTTATTAATTTGAAAGGCAGAATTAGGCCGGCGCCGCGGCTCACTAGGCTAATCCTCCACCTAGCGGCGCCGGCACACCGGGTTCTTGTCCCGGTCGGGGCGCCGGATTCTGTCCCAGTTGCCCCTCTTCCAGGCCAGCCCTCTGCTGTGGCCAGGGAGTGCAGTGGAGGATGGCCCAGGTGCTTGGGCCCTGCACCCCATGGGAGACCAGGAAAAGCACCTGGCTCCTGGCTCCTGCCATCGGATCAGCGCGGTGCACCGGCCGCAGCGCGCCGGCAGCGGCGGTCATTGGAGGGTGAACCAACGGCAAAGGAAGACCTTTCTCTCTGTCTCTCTCTCTCACTGTCCACTCTGCCTGTCAAAAAAAAAAAAAAAAAAAAAGGCAGAATTAGAGAGAGAGGAAGAGACAGAGATCTTCCATCTGCTGGTTTACTCCCCAACAAGCCACAACAGACAGGGCTGGGCCAGACTGAAGCCAGGATCCAGGAGCTGTAGCCTAAGTACTTGGGCCAGCTTCCAATGCTTTCCCAGGTGCATTATAAAGGAGCTGGACTAGAAGTAGAGCAGCCAGGACATGAACTGGTGTCCATATGGGATACCAGCATCACAGGCAGTGGCTTAACCTATTGTACCCCAACGCCGGCCTCTAAAATGAATCAAAAATTGTGTACTATCAAAGGATTTGGATAAAGAATATCATGCAAAATAGAGGTTATTATATAATTTAGGAGAAACCTAGGCAAAAAACATAGCAATAGCATGAATATAACTAAACTTAATAGCTGACATCTGATTCTAGTTCCAGCTGATCCACTTGTGATCTAGCTCCCTGCTAATGTCCCTGGGAAAGCAACTGAAGTTGGCTCAAGTGCTTGTGGCAGCCCTTTGGGTAATAAACCAGCAACTGGAAGATAAATCTTTCTTTAAAAAAAAAAAAAGATTTATTTATTTAGGATTATTTAGGATTTATTTATTTAGGATTAGCCTAGTGAGCTGCGGCGCCGGCCCATTTTTTTTTTACTTTTTATTCTTGGCAATTAGCTAGGATCAATACATACAAAAACATAATATCAAAACTGTAATCGGACTATAAGTAATAGCCATAAATTAGAGTAACTGGTAACTTTATAAATTCCCAGATTTAATAGTTTTTATATGACAATGAGAAGAAATACTATTATAAAAGTCAGAAAAGTCACACAGAAATTATCCAAAATGGCTGAGAAATATATTTCTATTAGTCAAGAAATAACATATATAGTAACTATTAATTTGTTAATTTTCCAAAAATGTTTATATAATGACTAATAGCAACAAATATTAATTAACCTATTTACTGATGCAACTGATGCTTCATGAACTTCTTACTTTAGATATCCTTATGAACATAAGTCATTACATAAAACTGCTGGCCCAGAGAAGACACTGAACTCAATCTGTACCAGTCATACTATATAAAAGTTCAAGGAAATAAAAAAAAACTATAGAGGGATATCAGATTTATTGCCCCAAGATAAAATTAACTTTTAATTCCATTTTCCATAAACTTTTTTTTTTTTGACAGGCAGAGTGGACAATGAGAGAGACAGAGAGAAAGGTCTTCCTTTGCCGTTGGTTCACCCACCAACGGCCGCTGCAGCCAGTGCGCTGCGGCCGGCGCACCGCGCTGATCCAATGGCAGGAGCCAGGAGCCAGGTGCTTTTCCTGGTCTCCCATGGGGTGCAGGGCCCAAGCACTTGAGCCATCCTCCACTGCACTCCCTGGCCACAGCAGAGAGCTGGCCTGGAAGAGGGGCAACTGGGACAGAATCCGGCGCCCCAACCGGGATTAGAACCCGGTGTGCCGGCGCCACTAGGCGGAGGATTAGCCTAGTGAGCCGTGGTGCCGGCTTCCATGAACTTTTGGCAGCATCTTCATATGTGTATTAGTAATCAATTTTAATTTATTATCAAACTATTCTATGAGGCAAAATAAAAGAAGCAAATTTTTATGGCTTTGTGGTTTTTTGTATTTCAGATTAAAAAGAACTACTTTTCTCTTTTTCTGTGTTTGCATGAAATTTCATTGATCTCCCAAAATTTTCTCTAGTAAAAGTAAATTTAGTACAGTAATTTTAAAGTTTGTGAGTAAGCATTAAACATTAAATTGTAGTATGAAAAATAAAAGCACTGAATTTATTACTTTTACAGTAAAGTTATTTTAAAATAAATTCCCCATACCATGTTCTCCGGGCACTTTTTACAAATAACAGCAGATCCTCCATTATTAGAGATCATCTGAAATCCTGGTAGACACACACATGAAGTACCTAAAGGGAAAAGAACCAATTTTGTCACTAACAACTGAAAATTAAGCTCAAAGACAGGAAAATTTTAACAATTCTTAAGATTTGCAGAAGTAGCATAGTGGTTAATGGCAAGACACCGAAATCAGTACTGCGTGGGTTCAAATCCAGAAACATATTCCTCAGATTCCAACCCGAGTTCTACTTAACTGAGTAAACTTGGGCAAGTTACCGAGTGTCTCTGTGCCTTGCCTTCCTCTTCAGTTAAATGGAGAAAACAGCAGAAGCTACCTTCTAGGGTTAGTATGAGTAATCATATGAAAAGATCTGAGAAGAGTCTACAGCACACAGTTAGCACTGTATTGCTACCATGTTAAGTGCAAGTCTAATTAAACTACTGAACTATTCGACTATTTAACTGCTGTGGGAAATTTCACACTTCTTGTTTCTAAACCATATGCATATATTTAATGAATTCAAATTTACTTAACCAGCATTTTATTTGTAAAGTTATCTTAATTCAAATAAATTACTATTTCCCACTGTACAGACAGCAAAAATTGTAAGACGAGCACTATTTTCTTATTAGATAAGAAAGAAAAGCATTCTCTAAGGAGCCATTAAGTAGAAACAGTAGCTATAGGAGTCTTTGTAGTATAGCACACACAGTAGTTTGATTCATAATTATGAAAGTAATACGTAGAGTCTGAAATACTTTATCATTCATATTTTTGAAAAACTTATCTGAAAGGCAGAATAGCAGAGGGAAAGGAACAGAGAGATATCTTCCACCTGCTACTTCACCCCCAAAAGCCCACAGAAGCCCAGGCTGGGCTAACTGGAAGTCAGGAGCCAGAACTCCTTCTGTGTTTCCATGTGGGTGGTAAGGACTCAACTACTTGAGCCATCATCTGCTGCTGCCTTCCTAGGTGGACTGGCAGGAAGCCAGATCAGCAGTGCAGGTTGCTGGGACTTGAACCAGCACTCTGATATGTGATGAGGGTTGTTTAGACCATTGTGCCACAAGGCCTGTGCCTCATTTGTATTTCTTTTCCTGAACAACTTGACCTTTCCTGACTCAAAGAAGGATATACCAAATCCAAAGATGGCAGAAAGTTAATACAACATGACTAAATTGATATAGGAAACATCCCAGAATGGGCCCCTTGGGTTAAGCCGCTGCCTGAAATGCTGACATCCCATATCTGAATGCTGGTTCAAGTCCCAGCTATTCTGCACTTCCTGCTATTGTGCCTGGGAAAGCAACCAGGAATGGCCTAACTACTTGAGCCCCAGACATGCCTGTGCCAGAGTTTCAAGCTCCTAGCTTCAGTTATCTGGGGGGTGAACCAGTGGATGGAAGATTTCTTTCTCATTGTTTTCCTCTTTCTGTTACTATGGCTTTCAAATAAATAATTCTTTTAAAAAAATCTGACTTTGGAATATGAGAAAAGACTTCTGAGCAACTTCTGTGAGAACTAAGACCAAATGCTGAACGTTTTAGGAAAAAAAACTTAATCTAAAGAGACTTTACAAGCAATCACTTATTTTCAACAATAAGAGGGAGATAAGTCCTTTTAAAAAATCTATATTAGAGGCACAATGTAAGTGGAAATACATGGGTTGAGACTGAGGGCAAAGAGACATGAATTCTTCCAGTCCCCAGTTCAGAAGACCCAGAAGTCATCAACCTCATCTGGGCTTCATTTTCCCTGTTTGTACTGGGGAGAATGAAGTGATCATAGTTAAGTCTCCTCTAGCTCTAAATTTCTGAGACTTGAAAAGATACAGGATTATTAAAGTTTGCAAGTGCCAATTCCCATTTCTTCCCAAATCTTTCCTTCACCTCAGATTTCTTCTCTACCATAACTTTTCTAATAACGGTAGGAGGCTTTCCAGGTGCCGCCCTAACGATTTCCATGACCGATAGCGGACTCAGGGTTCCCCAAAGTCCTTAGTGGACCAACTGCGATCTCCCGAGGAAACCCTTTTCTCAGGCGTCGACACGTAACATTTATGAAACATTCCCCCTGCAGACGAAAAGGTGTCTCGGCCTGGGGACTGCGCCGGGAAAGGGAGCGTTAAAAGCCAGGCCCACTCCAAACGGTCTCACCTCCAGGACTCTGCCTCTGGTTGGCTCCACACGGGACACAGGAGAGTGCAGATATATCGAAGTACTGGTTGTGGCCGCACGTCTCCGGCTGCCGAAAAGGGAATGAGAAGGTCTGGGTATGGGAAACGCTGGAGCACACCAACAGGAGAAACGCTATCAAACCCGAGGCTGGGAACATAGACCAAACCGCCATTTCCACCGAAGCCTCACGGCGCGTCGCCATGGTAACCGCGCCGGCGGCGGTCGCGCAGTTTTCACCGTCCCATCGGCCTCTGCGGCGGCTCCGCTGAGCGCATTGGACCACCAAGGTTTGGGGTCCCGGAAGTCTCCGCCTGCGACGCTTGGTTGCTAGGTTACTTAAGCCTTGAGGAAGTGGCGGTTCTGAGACACTGAAGAGTAGACGCGGGCTGTTTAAAATGTGTCTTTCAGGGATCGGCTTTGTGGCGCAGAGGGTTAAAACGTGTATTTTAAACTCCTATGCGAGCCTCTAATGGAAAATCAGAGTCGAGAAACAATACTACAGCAAAGAGTATATCCAATTAGAGCTCATAAATTAATAACTATTGTTTCATGAAACCCTTAAAAAATGATCTTTAAAAATTTATCCAGTCTCCGCCCCCTGCCACGAGGCATCTCAAATAAGCCCAGGTTGGAGTCTCTCTCCCTCTCTCTCTTTCTCTCTACCTCCCTCCCTCCGCAGATGGCTGCAACAGCCAGAGCTGTGCCAATCTGGAGTCAGAAACCTCCTCCGGGTCTGCCACGCGGGTGCAGGGGACCAAGGACTTGGGCCATTTTCCACGGCTCTCCCAGGTTCATAGCAGAGAGCTGGATCGAAAATGGAGCAGCCAGGACTCGAACCGGCGCCCGTATGGGATGCAGGTGCTGCAGACCAGGGATTTAACCAGCTGAGCCACAGCGTCTCCCCCACATTGAGATTTTTTTTTTATTCCGTATTTTATATGCTCAGGCATACAGCCTCATTTGTTAGCCTACTGTATTGATAGAGTGTTCAGGATTGCAGTCTCTTTCGTTTTTCCATCCTGGAGACAAAATTCATTTTTCTTAGGCAACAAATTATTCAAGTCGGAATTCAGAGGGTCCTATTCAATTGTTATTTATCATACATCAATCACTTGTTGAGTCTGTCTTTTGAATCTGACTTCTGTCACACACAACTGACTAAGCTCCTTTGTTTAATGAGTAGTATTCAAAGAGTGCTCCTATGGTCACTAGAGTTTCTGGAGATGTGCCTCTGCAGATGACAGCAGGGGATATGTTGGCAAGAAGCATGAGGGCTGCCAGAGAAACATCATATTTCCATGTTCCATGCCTTTTTTTTTTTTTTTTTGGTATTTTACTATGTGCCTTGCTTAGTGTTTTCATTTAGTATTAGCTCTTTTTTAATCTGTACAACTCCACTCTTGCCATCTTCCTTAGATAAATTGAGGCTCAGAGAGATTTAGCAACTAAAGTGGCACAGCTAGCAAGTGGCAGGTTTAGGATTGGAACTCTAGTATTCTGATTTCTGTGCCAGTCTTATTGATTTCTAAGTTATACTGGAGTTTATTGTGTGCCAGGAACTGTACTGTTTTACAAGCATTATTTAATTTGTTCATTATAAATGTCCTATATTATGGGTACTATTATCTTTGCAAAATGAAAAGGAATTTATTCACAGTCATAAAATGGCGGATCTGGATTCACATTTGGATCTGCCTGACTCAAGAGCCAATGGTTTTAATACCTGTGCTTTACACATCTTCCTGTGTGTGATGACCAGCTGAATGTGTATGCTTTCTTCTCTGCTGAGTATGAACTTCTTGAGGAAATAAGACTATCTTCTTTATTGTCTTTCAGGAGCCTTAGCAAGATGCTTGATACATAGTCCCTGAGATGCCAGTTGAATTGGATGCAAGACAAGGTATGCAAGAAGGAAGAATGAAAGTCTCAGGGGTTAAGAAAGCCAAGTAGCAGACCAAATGATGCAAGGCTGTTTTTGTGATGTTGAGGCGCTAAGAAAGGCAGCTGCAAATGATCTCATATAAAATCATCCAAGAGAATGGGCAGTGCAGCCTTTGTGGCAAAATGCCCTGGGAAACAAACTTTGTGGACAGCACTCTAGAGTGGCTATCGCTCTTTGTGGTCATTGTGTTTCAGGGTCTTCTGTGTGTTGTTCATTTTCTCTTTGATCGCCCAAATAATTAGGTTTTCTTGTAGACACACTAAAGAACAATAAACTATTCCATAACCAGAATACAAGGTGGTTATACCCAAATAACCTTCATTAGAACTTTCCTCTTAAAAAATTATAGTATGATCATTTAGAAAAAGACAAGAAGCAGAATATAAAACATAGACATTCACCATAGTGTCCTATGGTGTATAAAGTCTGTGTGTATAGAAGGGAGATGGTTTGCCCAGAACAATGAAGGAAGCTATGGGAAACTGACAATGCCTGGTGAAACCTTTCCAGGGGAGTGTGACCTGATGCCCTTAGCCATGTGAGTCCTACAGTAAGTGTTCAATAAGTGATAGCTATTAGATGTGTGGGAATGCCTCCAAGGAACCTTAATTGAGAATCACGTTTTAAGATTATTTAATTCCTCATGTTTGATTTCCAAGCATAGCAAACAACTCTGATAATTTGACTTTGTATAGAAAGCATTCTAGTAGTCGAGAAAAGTGCTAGTCACTTTGAATTGATCTCAAGTTCATTTTAGTAGAATTTATTCTTCTTATCAGTGAGTATGGTCCAGATTGACACTCGAGAGTATTGCTTCTGTGTACTCGTTTAAAGGGAGTCTGCTTCAGAGGACACAATCTTCTCTCTGTGTAATACAGAGTGTTGGTCTCTTGGAGGCAAACTACCAGGGTACAATGCCTGGTTTTATCTTGTACTATCTGTGACCTTGGGCAGACTATGTTATCTTCCATGTCTTTATCTGGAAAACAGGAGAAATAATGGTACCTACTTCTGGAAGTAGTTAAGGGTAAAATGAGATGAGGCACAGGGACCAGCACACGGTAAACCCTCAATAAATGTTAAGTGTTTAATGTCAGCCTGCAGGTGAGGACCAAATCCTATATATATATTTTTTCAAATCCTATATTATCAAGGTACATAATACCTAATCAATGAGCAAGCTCCCCAAGCTGGCATTGTCTGCTTTTATTTTTTCTTTTCTTTCTTTTTATCTTAAATATTTATTTATTTGAAAAACAGAGTTACAGAGAGGCAGAGGCAGAGAGAGAGAGAGAGAGAGAGAGTGAGAGAGAGAGAGAGAGAGGTCTTTCATCTGCTGGTTCACTCCCTAGATGTCTGCAATGGATGCATCTGGGCTGATCCAGAGCCAGGAGCAAGGTGTTTCTTCCAGGTCTCCCACGTGGGTGCAGGGACTCAAAGACTTGAGCCATCTTCCATGGATTTCCCAGGCCATAGCATAGCTGGATCAGAAGTGGGACAGCTGGGTCTTGAATCAGGGCCCACATAGGATGCTGGCACTGCAGGTGGTGGCTTTACCAGCTGTGCCACAGCATCGGCTCCTCTTTTTTCTTTTTAAATTAAGATTTATTACTTATTTGGAAGGCAGAGTTACAGAGAGAGTGAGAGAGAGGTGGTGAAGACTGAGAGAGATTGTCCATTGGGTGGTTCACTTCCCAAATGACTGCAATGGGTGGGGATTGGGCCAGGCTGAAACCTGGAGCCTGTAAGGACATCTGGGTCTCCCTAGTGGCATCTTCTGCTGCTTTCTCAGGCGCATTAACAGGGAGCTGGATCAGAATTGGAGCAGCCAGGACTCAACCAGGTCCTATATGGGATTCTGGCCATCCCAGGCAGAGGTTAAACCCTCTGCAACAAAATGCCAGCCCTTGTTTTTCAATTTTCCAGACTGGCTCATCTATTGCTGCAAAAACAAAAAAAATAGAAGATGGCAACAATTTTTAAAATATATGTATGTATTAAGATTTTATTTATTTATTTGAGAGGTAGAGTCACAAAGGGAGGGACAGAGAGAAAGTTCTTCCATCCACAGGTTCACTTCCCAAATCTAAGCTGATCTGAAGCCAGGAGCCAGGAGCCCCTTCTGGGTCTCAACGCGGATGCAGGGGCCCAAGCAGTTGGTCCATCTGGAGAGCTGGGTCGGAAGCGGAGCAGCCGGGATTGGGATGCAGACGCGCAGGCGGAGGCTTAGCCTACCGGCCCCAACAACACATTCATAAAAACACGTCGCAAGGTTATTAATGTCGGTGAAATCGATTAAGCAACATGCAGTTATTAAGCCCTCAGGCACTGCAATATTTGGCGAACTTGTAAGGCGGTAAAATCAACATTCCTGTGGCTTTTTAGAGCTTTCAAGTCTCAGAATGCTTACCCCACACGGTAATCGCAGAATTGACAAGACAAGAAATAGCCAACTTTTCTGTTTTTGTGTCTCTTTCTATAGCTCCTAGAAATCTTGAAAGTTTGCTCGCTGTACTTAGCAGTTAGCCGCTACAGTCTCATCACAACAAACACTTGACCAACCTCGCCCTCCCCGACTCCGCCAACGAATTTTGCCCTTTCCTGGCCGAGGCTCCGGGATTGGCTAGAATCTGGGCGTGCGCAGAAGCTTGGCAACACAAGGCTCCGCCTTCCCAGCCCTAACAACGGGAAGCGGGTGCGCGTCAGGGCTCGTGCGCAGGCGTGGCCAAGGCGCTGGGGTGGTGGGTTACGCCTGGAGAGCGCATGGGCAGACAAACTGTACGTCCGTTTGTCCGGACCGGAGGGGAGAGTGGGCGCCATCTTCTTGGCTCACTGAGGGTTGTACTTGTTCTGTGGAGGCTGCCGCGACGAGGAGACCCCGGCCCCCGGCCTTGTGTGTCCGACTCGGCAGCAGTGGTGTGTGTTTATTGCCAAGTGCGAAGCAGTTACCCTTGGGGCATGGGGCCGGGGAGGGGTTGGCGACCGAGACGGAAGAACAGGGAAAGGCGGGGCCGGCGGCCGCGCCAGGTTGTAGCGTAGCTTCTGCCGTTAGGGCACCCTCTTTTCTTGCTAAACACCAACTCTCCCTCTCCCGTCAGCCTCCATGTGGTGGTGTGTGTGCGCTTCCCAGCGATCTTGAGAGAAGATCTCGAAGGATTTCATAGGTATTTTTTTCTTTGCTATGTCATCGTAGTCGGTAGTGGCAGAAAAGCTCTGAAGGCCCAGCTCGTTAAGCTTGAGATGGGTGAAGTATCTCAGATTTGGGATCTGTTCACCCTGTGGCGAGTTGGGGTGGAACGTTTGCCCTTGGGACGGCGTAACGGAGATGCACGGGGGTTGGGCGGTGCAGGTTAATTTGAAGGCTGATTTTGGCTGAAGGTCTGGCGACAGCATCGGATCCCACGTAGCAACTTTGGCCTGGCGTGAAAGAAGGAAGCTCTGACCTCTGGGAGTATGGACAAAGGCTTTGGGCTATAGAAGCGATGCCTTCGGATGATTACCATTTGAGAATGATGGATGTTATGGGAAACCCTGTGCCGTATGATGGATTCGTCTTCACTTACAGTTCCTATTGAGGACTCTGGCTCTGTGTGGTCATGCCTTTGGCTTTTATATTAACCATCTACATTATAAAAGGCAGATCATCATAAAGAATAATTGTGGACTGGGGGACATTATTTTCTGCAGGAGAAATTCATATTTAGAATTTGAATATGCTTCATCACAACCTTGGGTTTTAAGAAATAATCACAGGCAAAAAGTAAAAGAATTTCTCTCCCTCTCCATGTTTGGAAAACGACTTTATTCACTATTTAAAATCCAATGGATCTGAGACTACACTACTTAAATCCAGTTTCCCTGTTTTCTGCTCAGTCTTACTTCATATTTTGCGTTATAATAAGTATTAAATGGGGTGAATTGCTGGATAAAACGAGCTGAATTACTTAAAATGTATTTTGAATTTCAGTGACTTACCTAACTTCAAAGGATCTATTTTTCACAGATGTCCTAACAGATCACTGTGTCTTTCAATCAGTGCGGAGATAAAAATACTTTTGCTTTCACATTAGAAAAATGTTAAGTGCAGAGTGCCTTAGGTTAATTTGTGTGTTTTGTTTTTTGTGTAATTTGCTGTTAGGAATATAGTTTCTGGTGAATTTTCTTAAGGAAATGATATTTTGAAACTGCAGGAGAAGTATTTATTTTGAGAGTTGGTCTCTAGATAGTCTCCTAGGTGTGTTATGGAGGGGTAGTACATTACCTTACTATCTCATGGGCAAAGACATTTAAGCATTAGATATATTTAACTTAACCATTAGGAACAAACTAGTCTGCTTGAGTCCATAAGTTTTATTTTTATGAAACTGCTTAGTTACTGAGAGTTAAAATAGTTAAGAAGGTAGTTTTTAAGTTAAGAAGGATAAATTACTAGTTTTCTGAAATTGACATGATTAAATTATTGCTCAAAATCTGATCTTTGTCAATCCTCTAATTCATTTGTAGGTGAATTTTAGTTCTCATAGTAAATAAATACCTTTGCAATTAAAAAAAATTAAGAGAGTTAATTTGCTTTTTTAAAATGTTGAAAAAGCAGCTAAGCCAGTCTATGCTTATGGGGGGGCAGTCTGGAACCTTAACATAGATACATGTTTTAGAAGTCATTTGTACTTTTTGTTGAATTGTTGGTGTGTATATTGACTAGTTGAAGAGAGAGGGCTTACACTGTTTCTTTTATGATACTGTGCAGATAAATTAATAGTAAACCTCAATATTTTTCAGATGTGGAACATGCCATCTTGTTATCTCTGTTATTTAGCTTATAGATAGTTTAATCTGTAGACTATTTTTAAAGGAAAATAGTCTTGCACACCTCAGTGAATATGTCTCAGACCCTATTTTGGAACAGTGGTACTGTAATTTGAGCACTGGACTAAAGCAACATTTATTTGCATATTAAAATATGTAAATTGTAGTTACTCAGTTGGCAGGTCTTAAAACTTGATTAATTAGCAAGACTTCAAAGAAAATGGGCAAACATTTGGCATAGATATTTGGGAAGCCCAGTTTCATATCAGAGTGCCTAGGGTTCAAGACCCAACTCTGTTTCCATTGCCAGCTTCCTGCTGATGTGCATTCTGGGTGGCAGGAGGTGATGGCTTAAGTAGTGGAGTTCCTGTCACCGACAAGGGAGGCATGGATTGAGTTATGGGCTCTGGGCTTCACTGTAGCCTGGCCCTGACTGTTGGAGGCTTTTGAGGAGTGAACCAGCAGATGAGAGATCTCAGTTTTTCAAGTTAAATAAATAATTTAAAAATACTTTGTTAGGTACTGTTAGTTTGGTTATCCCTGAAAGTAGTAAGTGTAAGTTTCCTTAAAAAGGTAGTAAGGGGCAGGTATTATCAGTTTAAACACCTATGTCCCAAGTTGGAGTATTTGGGTTCTATACCTGGCTCTGGCCTCTTTCTTACGTGAGCCCTGGGAAGCTGCAACTGATGGCTCAAGTATTTCAGTTCCTGCCACACACATGGAAGACTTTGAATTCCCAGTTCCCAGCTTCAGCCCCCCCCACAACGCTGGCTATTGTGGATATTTGGAAAGTGAACCAGCCTATAGAAGCTGTCTCAAATAACTAATGAATTGAAAAAACACCAAATTTAGTTAATACTGGTAAACCCGGTATCTAAAATTAATGAATTTTTATATTGGGTTTTCTCAAGAGTATGGATAGTTGTTCAAAATTGAGTAAGTCTATTGTCATAGAAAAATTTTGGATCTCAACATTTTCTATGTGAGATGAATTTTAATAGTTACTGTGTTAGGACTATAAGAGAGAAATGGTGTTGAGATTTTTTAAATTTAGGGATGGGGTAGTATTTGTCTCAGTTATGTTGAAGTCATGAAATTTGGTTGTGTGTGTGGAAGTGAGAGTTGAGTATATTCAAGTGGTAGCCATAGGTTTGGAGTTACTGCTTCAAAACAATTGTTTCTTGAGTTTCAAGATTTGGTGTTTTATTTATTGTATCATTTTGACTCACTGCTTAATTAATATGATTAGGTCTTAATGTTTTGAAAGAGAAGAGAAAAGAGAGTTGCATGTAAGTGTGATCTAGATTCAGTGAGAGAAGGTGTTTTTGAATTTTAGGTATTCTTAAATTGATATTGAGCTTGTAGAACTTCTTTTCAAGTGGGTATAAAACTCTTCTATACAGTACAATGCATAGACTTTACGGATAGAACTCAGTGAGTGTTGATAAATTTTACATATCTATGTAACCACCATGGCATTCACACAGTATAACATTTCCTTCACTCTTCTCATACCACTTCCAATCAAGGAGCACTTGTTTAATTTTCATCAAGATTTTTTTTAATGGTTTGCACATGTTTACTTAGATTTTGTACCTCCTTTTTTACAGAATGATGAAAATTTTCCTCTTTGAACAAAGAACATTTTGTAATGCTGTAATTGCAATTCTTTATATTGCTTCATTTTTGATAGGTAATTCTGAAATGAATTTCCTAATCAGGCGTTGTTTAAGCTCAATTACAGGGTTCAAGGATTAATTATATTTCATTTTCTTTCCACAGTTAAGTTGCTTTTACAGAATTAACAGGTCTCCAAGAAAAAAAAATTTTTTAAAAAGGTAAGACATACAAAGTTTAAGGCTTTTCACAGACAAAAACCGTGTAAAGTAGAATAGTACATCTTGGTACTTGTGATTTCTGTTCTTTATATCTGACCAGTGATACATTTAATGGAAGACAATTTATTATCATGATCAGAAGTTAGATACCATATATGGTTCTTCTAAATATCTAAAATTCATTGTGGTTGGTAAAATAACCTACAAACCTCTCTGAGTTTTAGAAGATACATTTCTAATGAATTCAGGAGTAGTTTGGTCTTGTTGTGAGGCAGCATTTGGCAGATTTACAAAGGCAGTTTTGATATTTTTGATGTTTATATTGTAGAGGATAGGTGAAATGAAATGTTTCTTCAAGGTAGTTGGTTCATTTGTATGTTTAGATGAGAGAAAGTTTATTCCTTGCTTAAGACTTAGAGACAATCACTGTTTTTGTGAACTTCTATCTTGTTTTCATTTATAAATGCTGAAGGAGGTAGGAACCAGGTAATTATTAAGCTTAGTTTGGGTTAAGGTACTTCAAAAGTAAGACTTGCTATTATGTGTACCTTTTTGTCTGCAGGTCATTATTGCTGTGGTTTGAGCTCAGCATGGCTGTAGTCATCCGTTTACTGGGGCTTCCTTTTATTGCGGGGCCTGTGGATATTCGTCACTTCTTCACGGGATTGACTATTCCTGATGGAGGAGTGCATATAATTGGAGGGGATGTAGGGGAGGCTTTTATTATTTTTGCAACAGATGAAGATGCAAGACGTGCCATAAGTCGTTCAGGAGGGTATATCAAGGATTCATCTGTAGAGCTCTTTCTTAGTAGCAGAGCAGAAATGCAGAAGACTATACAAATGAAAAGAACTGATCGTGTAGGAAGAGGGCGACCAGGATCTGGGGCATCAGGGGTTGGCAGCATGTCTAATTTTATTGAGGCGATTAAGGAAGATGCAAATAATTCTGGATATGGCTCTTCAATTAATCAAGATGCTGGGTTTCATGCTAATGGTACAGGACATAATGATTTAAGGCCAAGAAAGACAAGGCCACTGAAGGCTGAGAATCCTTACTTGTTTCTGCGAGGCTTACCTTACTTAGTAAATGAAGATGATGTACGAGTCTTTTTCTCTGGTTTGTGTGTTGATGGAGTAATTTTCTTAAAACATCATGATGGCCGCAATAATGGTGATGCCATAGTTAAATTTGCTTCCTGCGTTGATGCTTCAGGAGGTCTTAAATGTCATAGAAGTTTTATGGGTTCAAGATTTATCGAAGTAATGCAAGGCTCAGAAGAACAGTGGATTGAGTTAGGAGGTAATACAATTAAGGAGGATGATGTTCCTATGAGGTCTGAAGAACATTCTCCAGCAAGAGGAATTGATAGACATTTTCGAAAACGGTCTCATTCAAAATCTCCCAGAAGAACACGTTCTCGTTCTCCTCTTGGATTTTATGTTCACTTAAAAAACCTGTCCCTTAGTATTAACAAAAAAGATTTAAGAAATTTCTTTAGAGATACTGATCTGACTAATGAACAGATTAGATTTTTATATAAGGATGAAAGAAGAACAAGATATGCCTTTGTGATGTTCAAGACTCTAAAAGACTATAATACTGCTCTAGGTTTGCATAAGACTGTTTTACAATATCGCCCAGTTCATGTTGATCCAATTTCTAGAAAACAAATGCTGAAGTTCATTGAATGTTACGAAAAGAAGAGACCAGGGTTAATAGAGAAAGAGAGGTCTGGACATGTTTCCCAAAAATACTCTCAAGAAGGCTATTCTGGCCAGAAACTCTGCATTTATATAAGAAACTTTCCATTTGATGTTACAAAAGTTGAAGTACAAAAGTTCTTTGCAGACTTTTCTCTTGCTGAGGATGATATTTACTTGCTTTATGATGACAAAGGAGTTGGTCTGGGAGAAGCGTTGGTGAAATTTAAATCAGAAGAACAGGCCACGAAAGCTGAACGCTTAAACCGACGAAGATTCTTAGGAACAGAGGTATTATTAAGACTTATATCTGAGGCACAAATGCAAGAGTTTGGGGTAAACTTGATGTCTGGTGAGAAAACACAAGACCATTCACAGTCCCGTGATAGAGACGACCATTCCCATTTATTTAACTCAAGAGATGGACAAGTGTACTCACTTGGCTCTTCTGAAAACTTCAGACATCAGGAGTTGAGGCAAGTGGACAACTTCAGGCATCCCCAGGGGGATTTCCGGCGCCTTCCGGAAACCTTCAGGCGCTCTCCGGAGGATTTCAGATTTCCTGCAGAGGACTTCAGACGCTCTCCGGAGGACTTCCGGCACCCTCGAGAGGAGCACTTCCGGCGGTTTCCTGAGGAGGATTTTCGGCATCCCCGGGAGGAAGGCTGGAGACGGCCTCTTGAGGAGGACTGGAGTTGGCCACCGGAGGAGGATTTCAGGCGGCTTCCAGAGGGGGATTTCAGGCGGCCACCCGAGGAGGACTTCGTGCACCCTTGGGAGGAGGACTTCAGGCGCCCTCCGGAGGATGACTTCAGCCACTCTAGGGAGGAGGACTTCAGGCGACCGCCCCAGGGGGAATGGAGGCGACCACCCCAGGAGGAATTCAGGCAGCCCCCTGAAGAGGGTTTCCGGCGGCCCCCAGAGGAGGATTTCAGGCGTTCCCCAGATGAGGACTTCCGGCGGTCGCCTCCAGAACATTTCAGGCGGCCACCTCAGGAACACTTCAGGCGGCCGCCCCCGGAGCACTTCAGGAGGCCGGCCCCAGAGTACTTGAGGCGGCCACCTCCTGAGCACTTCCGGCGGCCGCCCCCGGAGCACTTCCGGAGGCCACCGCCGGAGCATTTGAGGCGGCCACCCCAGGAGCATTTCAGGCGGCCGCCTCAGGAGCATTTCAGACGGCCCCGGGAGGAAGATTTCAGGCATCTGCCGGATGAAGACTTCAGGGGCCCTCCTGATGACGACTTTGGGCACCCTCCTGATGAGGACTTCCGGAGCCCTCAGGAAGAAGATTTTAGATGCCCGTCTGATGAGGACTTCAGACAGCTCCCTGAGGAAGACCTCAGGGAAGTTCCTGAGGAGGACCCCGGACTTTCTGACGGCTTTAGGCCTCCCGGTGAGGATTTTAGGAGCCTGCCTGATGACTTCAGAAGTCATCGTCCTTTCGTGAATTTCGGTCGCCCTGAAGGTGGCAAGTTTGATTTTGGAAAGCGCAATGTGGGAGGGTTTCCTGAGGGAAGGTTTATGCCTGATCCAAAATTAAATTGTGGTTCAAGTAGAGTAACTCCTATTAAGATAATGAATCTTCCATTTAAAGCTAATGTTAATGAAATTTTGGACTTTTTCCATGGTTATAGAATCATACCTGATTCAGTTTCAATTCAATATAATGAGCAAGGATTACCTACAGGGGAAGCTGTTGTTGCTATGATAAATTATAATGAAGCTATGGCTGCTATCAAAGATCTGAATGATAGGCCAGTTGGTCCCCGCAAAGTTAAGTTAATTTTGCTCTAGAGGCTGCATGTCTAAATTCAGTTACCTTCCACAGTATTGATGCATTTTTTTAAAAAAGTGTTTTTTAATTAATGAAAAGAAACATTTTAATTTTGACCTGTGAAATAGAAAAAATGTAAATAGAATTTGAATTGGCTTTTTTTTTTTTGGCTTGGAAATTGCTGTTCATTTTTTCTAATTTAAAACTATATATGCCTTTTTCTTTGAGAGAGATAACTAATTCCTTGAGTTTGTTCATTTTTGTTGATGATATGGATAAATCTCAAGACTTGTATAGAGTTGTATTTGCGGAAGACAAATTTTATATTCACTTTCATTCTGTAGTTTACGTCTTTTACTCCGTCTGTATAAGGAGCTGGTCAGTAACTGATTGTTCAGGTTTGGCATTTTCATTGCTACCTGCCTACAGAATTAACCCCCACTTTGTCTGAGATATTGCTGTTTTAAGCCTCCTGTTAATTACAAATAGTTCAAAATGGACAGACTGTGAACTTGAAATATACTTATGTAAAATGCTTAGGAGATTCTTAAAGTTTCCATGTTCATTACTTTGCAGTTTTATAAAAATAAAAATATTGCAACTGAATAGAGCAACTAGTTAATTTGTATTTGTATAAAAAGAAAAAATAATTGCAGCTTGATATTACGAAGTTTTTCAACTATGTTTATGATGGGAGGGACCACTCTATAATAATAATGTGTAATTCCATGATTTCTTCAACATCTTGACAACTAAACTGATAAAGACAAAATACTTGAAAGATAAGAATGTAATTTTAAAAGGTGCAAGGAGACTTCCAGGCTTCTCATCCTGGCAAGTCTCTGACAAATGGATATAGTTTGTTTTTCTAGGAAGAATTTATTGATGATACGTAAAACTTGTATGTTTTATTAGGTTCTTTTTTTTTGGCTTCAAAACCTTCTGTCCATTCAAAGACTCAGTAACAAGGTTTAAGACTTGAGAGATTGGATTTTGACTTCTTTGATAATCAACATTTAATGTAGACGTTTTGCAAATACTGGATTTGATTTTTTATACTCATAATATGAGTGGCTAATATATATTGGATGTTTACTATATGTTAGGCACTATAAGCACTTTATGTGTATAATCTTAATATTCCTTAAGTACAGGTTTGTCTGAAGTCACAGTAAGTCATGGAACCGTTTCAACCCAGAATAACCATAGGTTCCAGTTCATGCTCTTAATACATTTGTTACCTCACTTTACTAAATTGTTTTAATTTTAGTAAGACCATGCCAAAAGCATTATAAAGGGTGAGTGGTTTTCTTACTTCCATTGCTGCTTTAAAAATACCATAAAAAAAAAAAACAAACCCTAGGGTATTCAAACATTGTTAATAAAAGACCAACAGCTTTAGGAGGTGTGTGTGTTGTTTTGTTTTTTTTCTTTTTTTTTTTTTAATATCCAGGGTTTTTCTTGAGATGTGACTATGTATTGGCTTCAAATTCAGAATTGTTCATTTTATACAATGTGATTCAAGTTTGGTTGGCCTTTTATGCTGGTTTATATAAAACATAAAGTTGTATTTCCTCAATTCTTTGATTCAGAGAATTTCTACATTCAGTAAAAATAAAATTGAATTTATATGTGGTAATTTAGTCATGTAATAATAGGATATTACAGAAGCAGAATTCCTTGTCAGTGCTTAGGCAGTTACTACCTGTGAGTATTTTGGGTTAATTTTCAGTGATTTAAAGAAATCCAAGAGAAGCCCGCTTAAATTTCCATTAAAAATATTTATTTATTTATTTCAAAGGGTTACAGAAAGAGAGGAAGAGACAGAGAGAGATCGTCCATCCACTGGTTCCCTCCCTAAATGGCTGTAATGGCTGGGGCTGGGCCAGGTATGTTTCTTCAGAATCTCCCAAGTGGGTGCAGAGGCTGAAGCAGTTGGGCCATCTTTCTATTGCTTTCCCAGGAGCATTAGCATGGAGCTAGATCAGAAGTGGAGTAGTTGGGTCTTGAACTAGCTCCCATGTTGGATGCTGGTTTCACAGATGGTGGCTTTACCTAGTATGCCACAAAACCAGCCCCTAAATTTCTATATATTTTTTAAAGATGTATTTATTTATTTGAAAGTCAGAGTTACATGAGAGAGGAGAGGCGGAGAGAGAGAGGTCTTCCATCTGATGGTTCACTCCCCAGTTTGCTGCAATGGCTGGAGCTGTGCAGATCCAAAGCCAGGAGCTTCCTCTGGATCTTCCCATGCTATTGCAGGGACCCAAGGATTTGGGCCATCTTCTACTGCTTTCCCAGGCCATAGTGGAGAGCTGGGTCGGAAGTGGCGCATCCGGGACTTGAACCCGTGCCATATGGGATGCTGGCACTGCAGGTGGTGGCTTTAAGTGCTATGCCACAGCACCAACATTTCTATATGTTTTTAATAGTAAATATTTTAGTAATAGTAAAGAAACTAGTAAATTCATTTCAATAAAAGTACTTCAGTGTGGATCTTTAGTAAACTTATAAATAGAAAATTAATAAACTAATTGGAATAAGCAAACTATGAATAACATAGGAAGAGAGGATATTTTTAGTTGCTCAAAGATTACAATAGATGGTTAATTTGATCAGCCTTTTTGAGGAATGTACACTAGACTAACACTCTTCCAATACATAGCAGTAAAGCTAACATGAAGCTGAAGGTGAATGATCACTAAGTAGAATTGCTTCTCATACTTGGTGGGATGGTAGTGGTAGAAGAGGCCAGCTAACTGATTTATTCCTTACTGTATCAGGATTTAATTACAGAAAGCTGGTTTCTGGTTGGAAGCCATTTTTATGGATGTTTCCATCTCTGCCTTTGGTGATAGGTTGACTTAATCATGATGGGAGTATGTACCATGGAATTTGGTAAGTACCATGTTAAAATTGGTAAATGCAGCAAATTAGGGCAATCCTCTGTGTCTCACAGAGAAAGCCAGGTTATCAGTACACCATCAATTTTTAACACATAGTGTACTGAATCCTCACATACCCATCACCTGGCTTCAGTAATTACCACATATAGCCAGTTTTCCCTTTCTGTCTTCCATTAGCAGGTAATCAGTAACACTGAAGGCATAGTGGTTCTCTAGTGTGATGCCAATGTCACTCATTCTGAATGCCAAACATTTCTGTCTAGAAGGTTCCTGAAAAATAATAGGTCGTATCTAGAAAGTAAACTTAATCCCATAACCAAAAGATAGGTAAAAATCATTAAGGGTGCACTTCTGTGAATTTACACTGATATAGTGGCTCTTGATTTGCCTATCATCTATTAAGCAACAATCCTGGTACTTCTATCTTTGCATTAAGTGTTACCTGTTATTTAATGAACTGCATTAATTCCTATTTTATAGGTAAGAGAAGGAGCCCTGCAGGCTAAGTAACCTGTTGGTTTGGTTGCCTGTTTTTGTTTTTTTTTTAACAGCAGGGAAGCTAAGAATGGTTTTCACATTTTTAAAATGTGGTTACATCTTAAGTGGTTTATAAACACCCACATAATTGCCTTGATTTTGGCTCTTGGCCCCCAAAACATATTTACCATTTGGCTCTTTAAGAAAGTTTACCAAATTAAAATTGGTCTAAATAATGAAACAATTTACATTGATGAAAATATTTCTGTGGCTACTTTTCCTGTTGTTCTTAGAATGTTTCTTTGAGGTAGATCATTTGTTTTATTCTAGAATTATTTATGTGTTAAGTACCATTTTACTTTGCAAGTAACACAACTGGAGAAGTTGCTATTTATATTTAGTAAGCAGCAAGAGAAATACTGTGACCCTGTTTTTGTTCTCCTTGAACTACACATCATATTAAAACACTACGAGAATAATAAGTCCAATGATCACATCAATTTCTTGAGAATATTTAAGTAGGGTTTTAAATGTTTTGAATATTTTCAAAGAAGTTGACAATTTTTATCACTTAGAACTCTTCCCAGGAAGCAGTTCTTTAAGAACAGAATTATGAATGACAAGTTAAAAATGCTTTCTAGAAAGTCTTTACTTTTCTGTTAATGAGTAATTGCTTTTTTGTATTATCCAAATGATTTTATAAATTTCCTAATTTTTATATGCCTGAGATCCATGAAAGTAAAATTCTTCACCATAAGAAAAAAATAGATACACTAAAGGGCTCTGATTAAATTTTATATAATTTTTTAAGGGTGAATGACTGTATATCCTTTCATTATTAGGTGGTAGCCTGGTAAAATTTTTGAAGAATTTTTAATGATTTATCATGACGCCACATTCCAACAAATTACTTGTTTCCCTAAAGCTGTACCATGTGTACTGTTTTTGTAAGTTTTGTTTTAAAGTCAGTCTGATTGTGGTTCTTTTATAAAGGGAAACTTTATGCTTTATGTAAATTTATAAAACCCTAGTATCTTAGTGTCCTGTAAGCTTTATTCTTGTTGAAAAGTATATCAAATACTGAAACTTAGAATTTTACTTAACCCTTCATGGAATAGATTTGTGTCATCAGACCTTTTCTGGTGATGAAAGCACAGAGTCCTAACAATTTAGTTAAGTCTTTAGTTGTTTTGTCATCCTCTTAACTATTGCAACTTGAACTAGGTATATTGCATTAATATGAAATGCTTTCAAATACATAATCTTTTCTTTAAAAATGGAATTTATACCAAAGAACCTGTACCACCAGGATGTGGAAATGACTGGTGTATAATATTTAAAACATCCATTTTTGGTCAGCATAAATTTCATTTAATTTTTTTTCCATTTCTAGTAGAATTTCATTTTGAGGTTTAATGTTTCAAGTGAGTATAGCATTTTACAATTCAGTAATCTTGGATTTCAAGTCATTAAAGATGAAAGTGGAAATGTGAAGTTAAGAAAATCAGTTTTCATCTTCTGTAACATCTAAATCTTCATCATCTGCATCATCATCTTCTGTATGTTGGTCCTTTCTTAGTCGAGAGGTGGATACCTGTTAAAAGTGGTTAACACAATTTTAAAAATAAAAAAATTAAAAATATTTTTACGTTTGGTATCTTTATATGCCCTTATAGGAAAGGTTACACAAAACACGCATTTCAGAAAAATGTCCATATGTCATTGCTTAAAAAGTTTTATTTATTTGAAAGGCAGGGCAACAAGGCCGGGTGAGGGATAGAGAGAAAGAAAAAAATCTTCTGTTTGCTGGTTCACTCCCCAGATGACTACAGTACTGCGAGCTGAACCAGGCTGAAGCCAGGAACCAGGAATTCCATTCTGGTCTCCTACATAAGTGGGTGGCAGGAACCCACATAATTGGATCATCACTTGTTCTCTCCCATGGGCATTACCAGGAAGCTAGAACAGAAGTAGACGTGAGACTTGATCTCAGGTACTTCGATATAGGATACAAGTGGCAGTGGTGACTGAAGCCACAGTGCCACAGCACTTGCCCCTTAATCATTTTTATTAATGAATATTCCCTATAAATTACTATATTTTAAGGCTGAGAAAGCCAGTATTCATTTTTATTTTTTGAGTATAAATATGAAATTATCTGATTCCAGTTGACAGTTCCCTGTACTTCAGTAAAAATAGATTTTCAGAGAAAAGCATAGCTTCATTATATGAAATATCCTTGAATCATAGAAACAGTATTTGAATAAAAATCATCAAATGAATGACAAAAACACATCATTTCAGTGAGGTAGTGGGGTAGAAATAGTAGTATAAAAGTGATTTAAGTTGCAGTCCTGACTGTTGGACCTGGGACATATGTTGCATAAAACATCCCTGAGGAGGATACTGGGCAATGTCTGGAGATACCAGTGGTTGTCCAGATACCTAAATTAGCTAAAATATGTATAGCACTTTAGAATACATATCTTAGATAGAACTTTACATATATGACATTGTTTGAATTTATGTGCAAAGCCTTTATTGCTGGAATAATAAAAATACAGTTTGGTTAGGAGAAGAGAGAAATACAAAGAAGAAATGAATGCTTACAAGAGAACCAAATGAAAAAAAAGCATGGAGTAAAATTGTATTTTCAAAGTATTTTGTTTAATTCTTACATAAAATGTCTTAGCTCTGTTGATCAAAGTTTGGCAAGTTATGGCTTAGACTGCTTCCTATTTTTGTAAGTAACAGTTTTATTAGAACACAGCCATAGTGATTTGTGCGTTATTTATAACTGCTCTTAGTTGGGAGCTCTTAGTTGGCCCATAAAACCTAAGATATTCTCTCTGGTCCCTTACAGAAAAAACACTGCTCTGGATACTAGGTCACTTAGGCTTTATTGACAGAATACTGGAGAAAACTGTCTCTCTGTCTAAAGATAGCTGCTTCTGGAACTATGATTATGTTTAACAAAAGGTCCCTTATAGGTATGATACTCAGATCCTTTAAATCTTATAGTGAAATTTAAACTTAAGCCATTTGACCTCAAAATTTATTGTCTTAATATTATACTAGACCATTCTTTCGTCTTCTTTGCTCCCAAGAGTTCTGGTTTTGAGAGTTAAATGTAATTATAAAAGATGGGAAATTTCTTAACTGTTGGACCTTGTACAATCTTCCATTATTTTATAGAAGGTAAGTTATGTGAGATCTGATGACTGAGGGAAAAACATTTTTAGTACTGAATAATTCCTTTAAGATGGTTTCTAACTTACCTGCCCTGTTCCAGATACACATTTAGCTGACAGTGATCTCTGAAGAGGCGACTTTGAATTTGCTCTTACGATATCTAAACGGGATGTGTAATCTGGTGGATACAGAGAATTTCGGAAAACCTATTGCAATGATAAGACAACAGTGTAAAATACATGCTAAGCAATGAAAAACTAGATGGCCAAATTAAGTGCCTTCTACTTATTTTTAAGCAACTCCTCCCCAAAATGGACAAAATTCTAATTATTGTAAATTTCAAAGAAAAACAAAAATAAATTCTAGACTTAAGTTAGAAAGAGGAAAGCCAAATCCAGTTTGAATGTGTAAGATGATGAGGGATGTAAACAGTAACTTGTATGAAAGAATCACTTGAGTGCGCTTGCCAAAGGAACTGTAGTTCTGACAAGCTAGTGGAGAGGCTGCAACTCATACCTTTGTATTCTGCCTAAACTCTTGTATCACTTTTAATTTCACTGAAGTACTGCTGTGGATAAATCCCAGAATAAACTGGAGCTGCTAATTTAATGGATTCCACTAGGATTCGGAATTTGCAAGTTATCTATAAGCTGTATTTCCAAATCTTAACTTCAAGTCTGTTTTCTCTTCCTCCATTTCTTTTATATATATAGGCTTACAGTAAGGTTATCAGGTGTGAATTGCTTCAGTTCCTCTCTTATTCACACTTTTCATCCCATCCTTTTCTTTTTTAAAAAGGCGAGTATCATTCTGGTCTTTAAAAATGTAAATTTTTCCTTTATTCAAAATTTCAAACAAGCAAACAGACTTTCCCATAGTTCCTTTCTTTTGGAAAACATGCTCAATATCTAATACCTTTACTCCTTAACTTCTCAGATATTCTTCTTGATTCTTTTTTCAACAAACTACAATTTGAACTCTCATTTTGCACTAAAATTGCTCTTGCAAAAATTGCCAAAGTCATCTTTGTCTTCATCCTCCCTGACCTGGTCCTGAAACCTTTTTCTATGTCATCACTTAACTCTTTCATTTTGCCAGCTGGCCTATTTTTTCACATCTCCTTTTCTACTGATTATAATTTAAATATTTTTGAAGGTTTTCTCTTAAGCTACTTAGATATTCCTCTGAAAGATCTTACTTGCAGTGTTTAATGGCTAGCTTTGAACCAATCCTCTATACTCCATAAACTCTCTTGACAGCTGTATTCATTCCCAGCTACACCAGCTCTGTCCAATAGAACTTTGTTATTTAACCTTAGTAGCCATACACTTTTAGCTACTTTATTGGATGGTGCAGCTCTAGATTACTTTTACAAAGATACTAAGGTAGACCAATTTATAAACTTAGGCATTCTCCCTACATTTAACTGAGGTATTTATTTTAGGTCATAGACTCCACACATCTTTTTTTTAGCTTGTCTTACTAAAGACCAAAATATGTTATTTCTCTATTCAAAAACGTTTTGTGGCCCTGTCAAGTCCAAATGCTTTAGATGACACCCAGGGCTTAAGCTCGCTCAAAACTATCCACTACTCTTCTAGCCAACATACCTATATGCAAAGTATGTTATACTATGCCTTTGTAGTGCTGGTTCCTTAAGAGCCAAATCAAAATGTTACCTTTTGCTCAGTTCCAACTGTTCATACCCTCAAGTATTGCTTTTATCTCATTGTTCTGTAACAGATTACGTATCTCTCTCTACAACTTATCTTAAATTCCTATAGTACAAGGAGTTCTGGTTTATCTTTGCAACTCCTAGCTTAAGATAGCAGCAACTTGGCAAATATGTTAATTCATTTTTGCCAAATAAAGGATGTTAACCCTCATGTGGTAAGAAAACAAGGCTATTCAAACAAGAGAATGTCTCTACATTCACTGAAACCTTGGAAAACTGCAGGACATGAATCAAGGGATAAAACTCAGGAAGTGAGATAGGAGTTGTGGGGCAGTTCAGATACTGAGTAGGTTAACAGACTACTGAAGACCAAATTATATTTTGAGGCTAAAGATGGAACAGTGACATCCTAAAATGATATAAAAACTAGATGATTCATTAAATGGTACTTGGAGATTCATTTTTGATAGAACTTTTAGCTTTTCTAACAAAGATGAAATAGTGGAAAATGGAAGATAATATATAACCACTGGGATGAAAATCTCGACCAGGTTAAATACTAAACCTAGTGCAAAACAGATTTACAGGAATATTAATTTATCGGTAGTAATGCACTTTCTACTTCTTATAGCAGTGAATCTCAAAATCTAAATACATTCTGAAAGGATTGCACAGAGGTGATCTTTTGAAGTGAAAAATGGACCTGATAGTACATAATGTGAAGAAGCATACAAAATGGTTTGTGATAAAACTAAGAGTGTTAGATTGCAAAAAGCTACTTGCTGCTGAAATCTCAGCAGCTCTCATAAAGGATGGATTACTTGCAAGGATAGCAAGTTATTTCCCTGCCCCTTTCTGCGTGTTTTGTTCACTTGTTTCCAAGAAACTTTGTATTTACAGGGTCCTTCCTCCTCTTGGTACCTCCTCCACTGACTGCTCTGCTCTCCTCTCTCTAATTGCTATATGGTGTAACTGTTTATGCCTACGTTTCACTAAATGTGCCCTGTACTGTGCTGTTTTAAATATACCGATCTTTATTCATGACGGTCCTGTCTCACAGCCTTTGTGTGTCTGTGTCCTCTGTCTGAAAGCTTTTGCTAGATATCTTCCTATTCCTCAAGATTTTAATTAAGAAATCATTTTTTTTGATTCTGTCAACTATTTGTGACACATACAATGAATCTCCCCCCATTCTAATTAAGACATCATTTTTTGATTCTCCTATTTGTAACACACAAAATTTCTCTTGGTTTTACTCACACACACACACACCAAGCATACTTTTTTCTTTATGGAAGTAGTCATATCAAACTTAGTTACGTAGTACTTTTTAAAATGTCAACTCACTGGTACATTAAATTTCTGCTTTGAAAGTTTGGCTCATTTCTCACAACAGTAAATCCTCAGCACTCAGACTGGTGTCTAGCATGTAACAGGTGCTCAATAAATATTGAACCAGCCATATTATGAGGTAAATACTATAATCTTCATTTTAGAGAAAAATAATCTGAATTGTGAAGAAGCTCAGTATTTTTCTACTAGAATGGGAGAAGTTGATGTTAAAAAACACATTTACCACCCAGCCCTGAGATCTTCAGTTTTTCATAGATCTCCCACAAACTACCTGGCCAGTGGATTATAAGTAATGATAAGACAAGTTACAAAGGAGGTGCTGTGATAGAAACGATGTCTAAGCTCTGGAATGAGAAAGAAAATCTTGGGGACCACATGGCTTGAAAGAACTTTATTATCAATTAACAAATGGCCTATCAAGGGTATTAGAGTAAGGAAGAAAATACTTGAAAAGGGCCCCAGAGAGGGATCACTTTTGAACCTGTCATGAAATACAGTGTTATTTCTTGTAGGAAATGGTTCATGTGACCCATTAAAAGCCATACTTCTGGCAGTCTCATGTATAAACAGAGCACGGAAGGAAACATGAATTACCCTGACTTGATCAGTATGCACTGTATACCTTTATTAAAACATCACAATGTACCCCATAAATAAGTACAGTTATTAAATGCTAAAGATTTTAAGAAGTATTTAAGGAAATGAAAATGCTAACCTGGTTGGATTTTCATACATAAAATGAAAAAATAATCTCCATAGCACTGTATTCTCACCTTTGAATTTGACTGTCAACTCTGCTCTTTACAAGCTATGAGACCTCTGGGAAATCTCTTAAGCTTACTGTGCATCAGTTTTCTCATCCACAGGATGAAGACAGTAAGTACTTTTTAATCAAACTTTATTGCAGGATGAAAACAATTATCTTGGTTAAAATTTTTAGATTGGTAGCTGGCCCAAAGCATTTAGTATTATAAATATTTATTATTTTACTACTTTACAAATGGCAGCTAAATGCCTGATAATCCATTTTTTAAAAGATAAAGGAATGAAAATTTAGAAGCCAGCTTTAGTATCTGGAAGGAAAGGACACTTAGCAAGTCATCTGTTGACCAAGAGAAAATACAAATGTAATCTTGTGTATATAACTGTCATAAAATGCAAATCAGAGTTTGTCATTGGAAACATATGCAATATACACATTCAAACGTACCTTGATTTTAAGCTACATTCTGGTTTTATAATGATTAAGTTCCCTGGACCAGTGAAGTAATGGGACAAGAAGGTGCAGAGGATCACTCTTAATAGCCTGTTTCTCTAGTTGTAAAATGAGAATATAGTTTGATAGACCTTTTTTGAAATGCTTGGGGCCAGAAATGTTTTAGAGTTTGGATTATTTTTTTCAGATTTTGGAATATGTACAGACTTTAGATACCTAATTCAATTTGAAATCCAAAATGTTCTAAAATATGAAAAGAGAATTTTGACAGAAAGTTTTGTTTTGGAACATTTTAAATTTCACACTAGGGATGCTTAACCTGTAATGGTATGCACATACCTCTTAGGATAGTGTGATGAATTGAGAAAATACATGTATAGAAAGTACATAAAGAGAAAAACATATAAAGCATTTGAGCGCTGTGCATGTCATCAACATTCAAATGTTGCTAAAGTCAAATACTAGTTAACTGTTAGCGCACTTTTGTGGGGCTTCTATCACCAGTCAAAATGGTAGAATTTTATTTCATGTAATGGTCTTATATAGACAGTATTTTACTAGCTATATTAAATTAACTCTTGGATCTTTTACTATGGTTTATTTTAAAAGTTAAAATGTAAGTAAATAAAAAACATAGCTATTTGGGACTGTAAACCATAATATAGGAACGTTGTAGTACTCTAATTTACGATTTTTGTTACCCATACAAACTAAACTAACTACAAACTAATCTCATATTAACAGAAGAACAGAGGGAGCTTAGACAGACATAGTCCTACCTCTAAATCTTCATCCTCATCAATCTTCTGTATATTTTGGTAGGCAGCAGTGTAGACCTCTAATGCTTTGCCGTGAAATAACATTTCGATTGTGATAAACTCTGAAAATATAGTCTTAAAAAATTCAGATTTAAACAATTTTATAAGTTGTTTTATGAATTCAGTAAATTTCACTTTTATGAAATGCAGAAAAATTTTTTTCTAGAAGGCAAATAAAGCACAAAAATTAAAATAGTTGCAAAGACCTTTTGCAGCGAAACCTTCAAATTATGCAATGTATATCCTATGTCACTATTTACTCTTAATTCTCTACATACCCTGTAATTGACATTTGTAATAATAAAAGATCAAGGGTTGGTATTATGGCACACCAGGTTAAGCTGCTGCCTATGACACAAGCATCCAGTAAGATTGCTGGTTTGAGCCCAGCTGCTCCACTTCTGATCAAGCACCCTGTTAATGTTCCTTGGAAAGAAGAGAAAGATGGCCCAAGTGCTTGGGCCCCACCACCCACAGGGAAGACCATACCACATGGCTGTAAGTTTTAGTTTTAGAGCAGTGCAGTCCTGAAGTTGGTAGCTGAGCTACTCCAGGTATTAAAGCAATAGAACTTTTTTTTAGATTGGAATTAGGTTCCATCATATTTCTGATTATATGTTATCTTTATTCTCTAAACAAAGGAACTACTTGGTGGTAATGATGATGATACCACTGATTATGGCATCTGCATAGAGTTTTGCAGTTTGCAAATGCATGCTTTGCCCAGTGTTCATCACAGCCAGAATGTTGAGATGTGGATCTGATTCTAAGGTTATAGTTATGGCTCTTGCTCACTAAGAGCTATAGATTATAGCTCTTGCTCTTTGTACTGTGCTGTTGTTAAAGTCATCATTTCTTTCAGAAACTGAAGGTAACCTCTATGAACACGATGAAAACTTAAGGAAGATTATGAGCCAAAAGATAATGCAACAGGGTGAGATGATTGGTAGTCAGACAGGATAGAAACCAGACGAGCTTTTAGTAAATATACTCTTATCTTTTGAATTATTGCCTCTTGGAAAATAAAATGTCCAAGCATTAATATGGAATGAACTGGAATGAGTAAGAACAAGGTAGAAAGTAAGTATTGTCTTTAAAGCTACAATGGAAAAGGTGGATTAGGCTAGAAGGCAATAGTCAAATACATGTTTCCCTTCATCTCTGCACTCCTGAGATATTCATCAAGCAAGGAGTGGTCATGTGCTTTGGAACATAACCATACAGCTATCCATTAGTGTCCTGTGATTCTTTTCTCCATCTTGTTTCTTAAACAAATATTTGAGTCTTCTGATTGCTGCTTGAGGGGAAAGAGATCCATAACTGAAAATACCCTTTGTCACCAAGCAAATGTCAATCTGATTAAGATATTGAGCTCTGAGATAAGAGATTTGTAACTGATAGTGAGCCTTCCTGTCACTTTATATAATGTCACAGAGGGCTCTGGTATACTGGACTGGCAACTGACTGTTTACCAAGGTAACAATTTTGGAGGTGGGCATTTGGTGTAGTGGTCAAAGTGCTGTTTAGGATGCATGCATCCCTTAACAGAGTGCCCAGGACTCTGCTTCCAGTTCCATCTTCCTGCTAATGCACACTGGTGATTATCAGCAAGTGATAGCTCACATAGTTGGGTTCCTGCCACCCACATGAATGACCTGGATTGAGCTCCAGGCCTCAGCCTGGCCCAGCATTGGATGTTGCAGGTATTGGGAGGGAACTAGTGAATGGGAGACTTTTTCTATGTTTGCTTTTCCAAAAGAAAAAATATATATAAACAGAAAAAGAGGGATACAATTTTGGAAATATATTAGAGCTAGAACAGTTTCTGGCCCAGACTATGACTACTTTCCTTAGTTGTCAGCCTAAGATAGTTGCTAACCAAAAAGATGTCAGGAGCTCTCTAGGAGTGTGGAAACTCCATGGAAAAGAGCAGCAGGAGGCATCAATTACAAACCAAAACATCTATTTTTTAATACTCAAGAAATAAAACAGCTAAATGAGAAAATGTCCTTTTAGTTTAAATGTCCATTTAAACTTTGATTAACAAGCAAGATATTTAATAAAAGAACTGTAAAATGTCAATATTTTGGTAAATAGGGGGAAATGACAGCTTTTTAGAGTAGAGGCTATTCAGTAAAGGATTTCATAACTTTATCCATTTGGAAATAATATGGTTACATATTTACTTCATGCCAAATGAAAAATAATTGCTAGAAAAAAAAAACATTTAAATGTTTGAGATAATTCAAAAATACTAGAAGAAATGTTTTAGGCCGGCGCCGCGGCTCACTAGGCTAATCCTCCGCCTTGCGGCGCTGGCACACCGGGTTCTAGTCCCAGTCGGGGCGCCGGATTCTGTCCCGGTTGCCCCTCTTCCAGGCCAGCCCTCTGCTGTGGCCAGGGAGTGCAGTGGAGGATGGCCCAGGTGCTTGGGCCCTGCACCCCATGGGAGACCAGGATAAGTACCTGGCTCCTGCCATCGGATCAGCGTGGTGCGCCGGCTGCAGCGCGCCGGCCGCGGCGGCCATTGGAGGGTGAACCAACGGCAAAGGAAGACCTTTCTCTCTGTCTCTCTCTCTCACTGTCCACTCTGCCTGTCAAAAAAAAAAAAAGTTTAAAAATTGTACCAGAGGGGTAGGCATTGTGGTGTAGGAGGTTAAGCCAGGGCCTGTGAAGTTAAGAGTCCTGGCTGCTCTGCTACTGATCCAGCTCCCTGTTAATGTGTTTAGGAAAGTAGTGGAAGATGGCCTAACTGCTTGCAGGTTGGCCCCCCTATGTGGGAGACCTTGATGGAATTCTAACTTCTGGCCTGGCCTGGGGCCAGCTGTTGTGGTCTTTTGTGGAGTGAACCAACAGATCTCTTGTCTTTCTTCATTCTGCCTTTCAAATAATTAAATCTTGTAAAAAAATTATACTAGGAGAAAGTAAAAGCAAATATTTATATAATCTTACGGATGAAAATGATTTCCTAGACATGATGCCATGGCAGAAACCAAATAGAAGACTGTCTAATAAATTTGGCAACAAAAACACTAAGTATCAAAACCATCAAAGGCAGTAGAAATGAGAAACTATTTAATATAAAGGGTTCTTTCAATATAAAGAATTTTTACAAATAAGAAAAGCACTATTACCCAATAGAAAGTGTAATTTACTAAAGTCATTAGATTATATGAAAAATATTCTGCCTCAATAGTAGTAATGAGATTATGATGCAATGATTTTTAAAATTAGATTGGCTGTTATAAAAATATTACTACTAATCATTGTGACTCCTATGCTCATGCAGGGTTTAAGAGGGAATGTAACTGGTTCAATTTGTGTTGGACATAAGCTTTAAAAACAGCCATTCAAAATGAGTATTCTCTTTGGACCAAGAACTCCACTTCTGGGCCAGTACATGGGCTGGTATTTAAGGATGTTTAATGATGCAAAGACATTTACAAGTGCAAAAATCACCTAAATGTCTACTAATGAGGACTGATTAAATAAACACATCCATATTGCAAAATACTATGAGGATACCAAAAAAGAGAATATGGATTTTTGTTTCTTAGCATGAATATGTCCACAATATAGTCAAATTTAAAAAGATGTTAAAATATCTCATTTATATATAACTATTATATATGTGACTATGTTGTGAGGAGTAAATGAGTATCCACATAAATTTCTTAGAATGCTACCTGGACACAGTGCTTAAGAGATAATTGTTACTGTTTTTATTCCCTTTTCTCTATATATACATGCATGGGAAAAGTCTGGAAATGATATAAGCTAAAATACCAACTGATTATTTTTGAGTGTTAGGATATATTTTTCCCTGTAATTTTATGAAAAAATATGATGTTATATTTATAATAAAAAATAAAGCTATAAAATTAAAGTTATATTTCTTTCTCATGTCACCCTCTTCACCATATATACCAAGTTCCTGTCCCTGTTTGTTCCAAGAGTGATTCCTGGTCAAGATCTTTTTTTGGGTAGGTCTGAAATTACTTTGACATTCATATCAGTGATGATTTTCCCAAGGGTTAACAAATAGGATTGTGATTTTTGTCTGTCATTGGTCACTAAGTTCTTCACCAACCCAAAGACAAATTCTTTGGAAAGTTCCTATGAAAAGTCTTTAGTCTAAAAATTGTTACTTTTTCTGATTAATGTAAATAGACTTGTGCATTCAGCCCACAAAGAAATGCTTTTTTAAGCTGTGCTCATTACTGCCAATCAATTCTACTCCTAGAGTGGATAAAGGAAGAGCCATAAGCTCTATGCATATCTGAAGCAGTAGTTTGATAACAGGTAAGAATAAAAATAGTTTATATCTGCTTCTCCAAAGGGTGGTATCAATAATGGATTTTTCCAAAGATTTGGCTCAATCAGGAATGTTGTTTGAGATGTGCTAAAGTCAACATGACAATATTTGATTAATCAGAAAATAAGGGAGAGTACTGTAGCTCTTTTTGACTGAAATTTGAGACTACTGGTATCAGAAGATTTCTGCATCCCTCTTTATTGTAAAAAATCCCAAATTAGGTTTACCTTGGGAAAAAAGCAATTTGACAGTAAAAAGGAAAGATATGCAGAATAGAGATTCATAATCTTAACAGGCTTTATGCTTATATATCTGGGAATCTGCTAGAACCATGGGAGTTTGAACTAAAAGTGTAGGTTGTTGCTGATGATATGATTTTTGTATGTATTATATCTTAAGGAATCCACTGAAAACACTGAAATAATAATCAAGTTTGTCAAGTTCAGGCTATAAAGCCATTGTACAAAACTCTATTTCTGTACATATCAATGAACACTCCAAAATCAGTTCCATTTATAGGAAGATTTAAATGTAGGGAAAAACATCTTGTGTTCATGGGCTGGAAAAATGAGTCAAAGATGTCATTTCTGCACAAACTTACACACAGATTCAATGTGAGCCCATTGGAATTCCAGTTGACTTCTTTGTAGAAACTGATAAGCTGATTCCAGAATTTATATAGAATTGCAATTGATTAAGAATAGGCAAATCAATCTTTTTTTTTTTTTTAAGTTCATTTATTTGAAAGAGTGACAGAGACCGTCCATCTTCTGGCTCACTTCCCATATGGCCAAAACAGGGCTGAGTCGGGTTGAAATGAGGAGCCTGGAACTCCATCCAGGTCTCCCATGTTGGGGCCCAAATACTTGGGCCATCATCTGCTGCTCATCCAGGCACATTAACAGGGAACTGGGTCAGGAACAGAGCAGCTAAGAATTGAACTGGCACTTTCGATAGGAGATTATCACCAGTGGCAGCTTAATCTGCTGTACCACAACATTGACCCTCATGAGGGCAGGTTCAAGTCCCAGCTGTTTTCCTTTGATCCAGTTTCCTACTAATATGGATGCAAAAACAGTGGAGGGTGGCACAAGTATTTGGGCTCCTGCCACCCATGTGGGAGACTCAGATGGAGTGCCAGACTCTGACTTTGGCCGGCCCAACCCTGGCTACTGTATCCATTTGAGGAGTTAACTAGTGCAACTCTTTCAAGTAAATAAATAAATCTTCAAACAAACAAACAAACCTAGGGGAACTTACACAGTCCAATTTTATAATTAACCAGTACTTGGGACCCTGCTACCCATGTGGGAGACTGGGATAAAGCTCCTGGCTCCTGCCTGACCCAGCTCCAGGCGTTGGGGCCATTTGAGGAGTGAACCAGCAGATGGAAGATCCTGTCTCCTCTTTAACTCTGCCTTTGAAACAAATAATCTTAAAAAACAAAAACAAAACAACGTCAGAGCTGGAACTGTAAAACTGTTAGAAGAAATTGAGAAAAGTCTTCAGGACCTTGGATATGGAAATGGATCCTTAGCCATAAAATTTAAGTATAAGTTAACAAAAGGTGGATAAATTGTACTGCATCAAAATTTAAAACTTGAGCATCAGTGGATACCAACAAGTAGGTGAAAAGACAATTCACAGAAAGGGAAGAAAAAAAACCACAAATCTTTTATTTGAAAATGGACATACCTAGAATATACTAAAAACTCACAACTCAGTAATACAACCAGTTAATTAAAATGTGGACATAAGACCTGAATAGCCCTTTCTTCAAGGAAGATTTATACAAGTGGTCAATAAGCATCAGCAGGGAATGCAAATCTAAACTACAGTGAGACACTACTTGACACCCACTATGATGGCGACAATCAAGCAGTCTGATGAAAAGCAATTACTGAGCATGAGAAGTCAGAACCCTCACATACTGCTGGTGGGACCGAACAAGAGTGTAGGGAAAATAGTCTGGCAATTCCTTAACTGACTAAACAGTTAACCATATCCGACAATTCCATACCTAGGAATGTACCTAAGAAAAATGAAAGTATATGTCCAAACATGAATGTTTGTATCAGCATTATTCACAAAAGGTGGGAACAACCTAAATGTCCATTAACTGATGGACCAAAGATTGTGATAATACCCCTACAATGGAATATTATTTGGCCATAAAAAGGAATAAAGTATATGGGCTTTTGGCCAAGTGGTTAGGACACTGGTTTGGAACACACACATTCCACACTGGGTGCTTGGGTTTGATATCTGCCTCCAGCTCCTGACTCAAGCTTCTGCCAGTGTAGACTGGGGGAGAATGATTAATAGCTGTAGTGGGTAGGTTCCTGCCACCCTTGTGGAAGAAATCTGGATTGAGTTCTGGCTTTTCAGTGTCATCCCTGCCCAGACCTGATCACTACAGGCCATTTAGGGAGTGAGCTGGTCAACAGGATCTTTCTGCCTCTCAAATGAATTAAAAAGAAAAAAACTGAAGTGGTGATATATACTGCAATGCAGATAAGCTTTCAAACCATGCTAAGTAAAAGAAGCCAGTCATAAGAGACCACATGTTTTATGATTCCATTTGTATGAAATATCTAGAATAGCCCCATCAAAGACAAAATTAGTGGTAGCTGCTTAGGTCTGAAAAGAGGCAGGGAGTTAAAAACTAAAGTGTACAAGGTAGAGGTGATGAAAATGTTCTCAAATTGGTGATGGTTGCACATATCTGAATACCCTAAATCCACTGAGTTGTAGACTTGGAATTAAACATCAATTTTTAAAAGTTAAGGTTTTTTCTCCCCCTGCAACCATGAGAAGATTTTCCTCTTTTGGAGATACAATACAGTAGGCAAGGAGAAAATTTTGGAAGCTCTTCTTTTCTCTATGCAGCCTGTACAGCCCCTCCATCTCCTACTGCTTCAGGAAATCCCAGGTAACGGAAACTGTAGCTGGAATTCTGCACTCACAACTTTGTCCTAGTTTTGTATCTGGTTATGCTCAGGAATTAAAAACATAAGTAGAGGCACCAGCAGACAGGAGGAACACAAAGGGGAGTCTAAATGTCAGAATACTGATGAATTTCCATGTGTAAAAGAAAATTTTGCAGGCATAAGAACATTGGTAGAATAAGCACAGATTCCCATCACTAGGAAGTCCTTAGGTATCAACAGAATGAAGGCCATTCTCACTTTTCAGGTTAAGGCTAACCATTTATTTTAGTAAACTGCCTTCCTTTGTCTCACAATTTTAGCAATTATAAAATATTATTACACCCTGTTCTTACCCTCCCAGCTTGGTAAAGGTGTT